AGATATGTGGCAGGACATGAACAATAACAGGGATATTGATATCCGTCTGTTTGTCTCAGTCAAGCAGTACTATTCAACTTTTTCTAACCTTGACCTATGGTTGAGTCCCTCTGACAAAGATTGGCACAGCCCTTTGGGCTTCACGATACAACCAATCCTTACAAAAGGGAAACACAACCGGTCAGATGCCCAGGTCCAAAAGATCGCTGACAAGCGAAAGGCTTACAAGCAGCGTAATGCTGAATACTGGGGTTACAACGATTCATTCGTTTACTCATCCGGCAACAGCTGGTACGACAAATCGCAACCATCAGGTAGCCATCACAGATATGGAAGATTCTGGGAGTGGCCACAGCCTGAACGTCCCAGCGAGCCTGAAGGTCCTCCTCCAAGAAGGAACCAGGAATCATCGTCCTCTTCACAACAAGATCTACCAAGATCAAGGTCCAGGCCTCAAAGAACCAATATTGTTGACAAGCTCAACATGTCTTTGGAAGAGCTGGATGGACTAGAGAGAAGAACCGTCACCAACAAAAAGTGACATCGAAGAACACGAAAGAGAAACATCAAACTTGATGTCTGCTCAGAGAGATGAAGAGGAACAAGAGGACGAATCCTCCAGCCGGAGGAGAAGAAGGAAGGCATCGCGTCCACCGTCTGCTCCGAGCGGCAAGGCACTCAGAACAGCTGCTACAGCAGCGGGGTTGTCGGGCTGGTTCGGACACCGCAACCGAGGTGGAGCGAACGCAGAGTCTATCAAGACTGATGAAACTTCACTTCCAAACTCACTAACCAGTGAGCAGGACTTCTCCGTCTTCAGCATCGCGTGGAATGTGTTTCTGCTGCTAATGGGCTTACACTGGATGTGGAAGCAGATTACCAGGCCTCCTATCAGATGTATGGAGCGCCAACAACCAAAATCAAAAGCAGCAGCGAACCAAAGAGTTCCATTCCTCGAACCCGAGGATGAACCGCAGACGCGTGAACCTTTAGGACCCAACAGGGTCAATTCCGGAGAAACAACTGATCTGCGACCTATCTGGCATACTTCCCGAAGCGAAGTCTACCATCTCTCAGACAGCTGTTACCAGCTCAAGCAAGCAAGAGATGTTTGCAAGAAGGTGCTATGTAAAAACTGCCTCCATGCAGTACAAGTTGCGGAGATTCGCAGGAACGATCCTCTCCAAGGAGGTGATACACGACCACGTGGCACCGAAAGAGACATTGAGCGCTTCCAGACCTACGATGATGCAAGTAACACTCCTCATATGACACAATTATTCAAAGATGCCTTGCATGCACAAATGGCCGAAGAAGCCATGCAGATTACCTATACATCGATCCCCAAGGGATCCTCGGCAAAGGCCAGAGGTACATCTGCACTCTCAAGTGCCGCATCGTCATCAGCGCCCAAGGCAATGCCACCAGGGCCTAACAAGGCAAACATATCACCTCCACCTAAGAGTCCTCCGCCAAAGGCGAAAGGAACAGTACCTTCTGATCCTCCAAGACCAAAAGGTCCTACCAGAAGAGGAGGTCAAAATCGGCGCATTCAACGAAAGGCAGCTAGAGAAGCCCACAACAGTGGACTCTGCACCTATGCAGACGCTGCACTTAACGAAGCCAATCAAGGCCAGGCAATTAACGTTACGTGCCGAAACATGGCAGCAAGACACGTCAGCTCTATCGATGCAACGGTAGAAGCAGCCGGCCAGTTTACACAACGCGTGCTACAGCACGTAGAAACATATGATGAAGAGGAACCGTGGAGCACGGAGTTCCTACCAGTCGTGGAAGTCCTATTCAGGAACTTAAGCGGCGACGAAACAACTGTCATACATGACAATCAAACGGTAACTATGCCTCTTGCGAAATACACAGACCTCCTCAGAATCGCACAATCATTGCGAAGCTCTATCCAGAGAGACAAGGAGGAAAGGAAGGAACATCTTGACACCATCCAAGATACTCTATCCAGAGTGGAAATCCTTCTAACAGCACTGAAGGACTCAAGGACAGTCTTTAACCAATTGGTCCATTCCTCACTAGAGATAGAGCGAAGAAATAACAATCTCAAAAATGTCCTCGAGACACTTTTTGACGACCAAAGCTCTGAGGAAGACCAGTCAGAATCTGACAATGAAGAAGTCCTAACTCCTTCTGCAGCACAATACTGGAATAGCCTTTATGCCCACGCCTTATCTCCTTCAGGAGATGAAAGTGAAAGATCATGGGCGTCCTCAGACGGACAGCTTGAAAGAAGAAGGGCTGAACGGGCAAAGGCTAAGCAGCCACAACCGGCAAAGCCAAGGCAACTCCAGTCAGCTCACAAGCTGCTCCAAAGGCCGAGCCAAAGGCGACAACATCCAACCATGGATATGATACTGCAGACGCCGCCTTCACCAGGGCTGAGAACAGATTACTCGGAATCTTTTCAAGTTCCGAAGAAGATCACTCAGACCCGGATGAGCCACATCCGAACGTCTATGCTCGAGCCTATGATCCAACCCTGGATCCGAATCTGAGATAAGAAAATTCTCAGAGTTTCACAACAGTGAATCACAAAGCTCTAACAAGAGCACAATGAAGGGCTGCATAATTCGGTAGAAGAACATTACCAGACCTGATCTTGTACAGATGATCTCTCTGACCAATATGCATGAGTGTGTGCAAAAGGAGTGACCTCAACAGTGTACTTCAGTGCTATACCTAGCATAAACAATATGCTGTTTTTATCATGAGTCCAAACTCCGCAACTGTGACAGTGGGCATAATAGTATATGTGTGAATGTGCGGCCATGCTTCCGGTAAAAGAAAATTAGTGTCTGTTTGAAACCATAAACCTCTAAAGGGGTAGCTCTAACAGGTACCTACAGCAATGGCTGCATGCTCATACATATACATTCCGCTGCCCATTGGCTCACAGTGGTTTTACCATATTGAGACAAGACAAGCTCTCCTTGCGTAGCAAGACAAAACAACTACTGTCCGTGTGCAGGGCGCTGCCCTTTGATCCTTAGGGAATAACTGGTCATACACCTCCTCACAAGGAGTATCCCTTGGGGGTGTATCGGCACAGGGGGTGGGGGGTGGGGGGTGTGGGGGTGGTGGGGGGGTGGGGGTGGTGGGTGGGGTTGGGGGGGTGGGGTGGGTGGTGGGTGGGTGTGGATGGGTGGATGGGTGGATGGGTGGATGGGTGGATGGGTGGATGGGTGGATGGGTGGATGGGTGGATGGGTGGGTGGGTGGGTGGATGGGTGGGGTGGATGGGTGGGGTGGATGGGTGGGTGGGTGGGTGGGTGTGTGTGTGTGTGTGTGTGTGTGTGTGTGTGTGCGTGCACGAGCATCATTCGTGCCGTCGGCATGTGTTCACGATTGCTACGTTCAGCATTGGTATGCCCAGTGTCTCAGATACTACGAATTTACCACCAATATTGCTATTCGTTGGTTCATATTTGGCATTCATCTTCGAGCATTTGACCATTTCTACTCTACTGTAACAGTATATGGTTTGAAGATTGTTGGTGTTTGTCTTGCTTAACTTGCTTAACTAGTTGCCAATGCAGTTCCGCCGTCGATTACTGGCATCATCGTGCCTTTTCGCATGATATGCTGTATTGTAACAGTTCTCTTGACAACACGGCATGTATGCAGTCTTGCATGTTTGTTGCCGTTGCTACTCTATCTATCGATGGCTGATGCCTCATGGCCCCAAGGCACAGCCCTGAAGTAAACGCTGAAGAGACCCGTCCAAAACCTCCCGGGGAACAAAGCCAGGCCGATCTCGAGTTACGTACCAACTACATCCTGGTGGGCGAGGGGGGCTACTTTCAGGCCGGGATCTTAGAGATTCCTGGTTTTTCGTGGGATCTCATGGGTTTAGGAGGAAGTTTCGGCCTTGCAGCCTTGCCGTTTCGGGGAGGTAATATCATACAGGTGCCTCAACAAACCTGATTAATGCTTCTATGCCCTTGTAGCTCCTTCCCCTACATAGTTCTGGTGTAGTAGCCCATGCTTGCAGATTTGGATTATCTCAGCTCTGCCGGTGCGCACTGGGTCAGTAGCTGCTTTCCCCCAAAACAACCTATTTTTGAGGATAATATGTAAGTGGCGTGGGTTCGCTGCATTCGATGTTCAAGGTGGGCTCGCGAATGAATCCCATGCTGCTCCTTGTGCTGCAGTCAGGAGGTTTGATCTTGACAAGGAAGAGCCTTGATAGCATAGTTTCACGTCGTGCAGGCATGATGAACTGAATTGATTTTTTTTGCTGGTAAGGTTGAATGCCACCATCTACATCAAGACGCTTGACTGCACCGGCTACACTCCAGCTAGACTGGCCTGCATGAAGGATGATCCGAAGTAGGGGATCCCAATCTAGAGAACCAACCCTCAAAGTACAGGATCCCATAAGTAAGAACCTCCCAGAAGAAGGGAGCCCCTCACCTTTAAGACTGGCCCTGGCCCCGCCAACTCTTTGACTCAGGAAGAGTCTTGAAAGCCACCGCTGGTTCGGGGACCGCTTCCTTGCAAGCGAGGGGGAGGTGCATCGTTGCAACGAAGTCTCAGGGCTTAAAAAAATCCGAAAGCACCGATGAGTTAGAAGCCCCAAGCCCTGAAGCCCCCAGCGACTTGCATCTGTTTTGGAAACTGGTTTTTGCATAGCCTCACAGATCCCGGGTCTCAGACCTTCAGGGCCCTTTATCCCAGAGCCCTCCTCTTGAAAGTCGCTGCCAAGCCCCGAGCGGCGCGCGCGCAGGCCCGAGTGGAGATCCACGGTCAGGAGTCTCTCGGATCGCAACAGGAAGTTTGTATTCTAAACGACGGTGGATCCGCATCCAGCCTGCCATTTCGATGCTGCGAACGACGAGTAAGCGCCATGCGTAGCTCGAGACCGCCACGGGCGGGACGATGCTCTGTGCAGAGAAGCCAGTGCTTCCACTGCCTGTGCTCAAAGCAAGGAAGAGTAGTTGAGAGAGTGAGCTTGAGAGCAGAGAAGCCGAGATGCTTCGCTCCGTGGGTTTGCTTGGTTGGGCCGTGCTGGCCGCGGCGTCCGAGATGCGCAGCGACGATTTCCCCAACTACGACCAGGGCACCATCCCAGCCTGGAAGGACTTGGCCTCCTTGCGCGGCGCCCACCCGGATGCCCAGGTGGGCGGCAAAATTAGCTGAGGGCCGCTGACTTGTAAAGCAACGATAAACAGCTTCCACTGTAGCCCCATGCGGACTTAGCGACGAGCATCCGTTGGTTGCCGTTTGCAGGTCATGAGCAAAGCGGAGTACCATCGCCAGCTGAAGTCCCTGGACATTCCGAGGCTCTATCGAGAGATCGCGGCGCTGATGACATCTTCGCGACCCTACTGGCCCGCCGACGGCCCGCAGGACGGCGACGTGCCCAGCTATGCCGGGCTCTTCGCCCGCTTGGCCTGGCACTGCTCGGGAAGCTTCCGGCTGATCAACGACACGCACGCCGCTGGGGGCTGCGAGGGTGCCCGGCAGCGGCACTGGCCGGAGAACGAGTGGCGTGACAACACCAACTTGGACAAGGCTCGGGGCCTCTTGGCGGAAGTGAAGCTCCAGTTTGCTGACGTGAGCTGGTCCGACCTCATGACCTTCGCGGGGACGGCAGCGATCAAGTTGAGCGGCGGCCCAGCCAAGAAGTTCTGCTTCGGGCGAATGGACGATGTGAACGGCGATCGCTCCATCCCACTGGGCGTAGAGGGTGTGACCCAGTGCCGTGGCAGCAAGTTCTGCAAGTCGGACGCCGAGTGCCCGAACGCCTTCCGGTGGCCAGAGCAGAACGACACAGACCATGTTCGTTGCAACATCGAGCAGCCCAAGCATCGCCTCCAGGCCAGCCACTCCGTCGGCTTGATCTATGTTTACCCCGAGGGCCCCGAGCTCAAGAGCACGGCCGACGGCTACCATTCTAACTTGGTACACAACCGCTCGCCGAAGCTCAGTGCCTTGGCACCTCGCCTGCATGCATCGCACACAGCGGGACCCTACTAGTGGAAGTAGAAGCTGTCTGAGAGCCAGAGCCCTCGCTGCGCCAGGAGGTCCGAGACACCTTCCGTGATCGGATGGGCTGGACCGACCGCGAGACCGTGGCCCTCATCGGCGGCGGTCACACCCTGGGCCGAACCCACGGCAACTGCCACTTAGATTGAGACTTTTGAGTCAGCGTCTCTTCATATCTCATGCCTTGCAACTGTCGGTCCCTGCAACGAAGTCCGAGGCAACCTCACCGGCACCAAGTGGGCACAGGCTCCTTACAACAACGTGGGCCCCTACTTCGAGGCAGCGCCTCTCTGCGCTCGTGAGCAGGGTGCAGAGCTCACACGGGTGGGGGGGGGATCTTTCTGATGGTGGTGCAGGGGTCTATATATACCTGGACACACACACAAATCAAGGTGGAACTTTTCTTCATTCTTTATCCGGCAAGTCCGAGCCAGAAGGGGCACCTGGCAGCTGAACTAACACTTGAAGCCGCTCACAAGCCGATCATAGCTGAAACTGTGCATGAGAGTCAAGCATAGACGATTAGAAGATTGTTTTGTAGACCCAGCCGTAAGCCGCAGGCCACGCCGGGCAGCCTGCGGGGGCCGACAGATGGCACCTGCGGCACCGGTGCGGAGGTCGCTTTGGAGCTTATGAAACGTCGAAACTTCGCCCTCACAGTCTCAGAAGCGCTCTCGACAGTGCAGTCGAGCCATTGCCATGTGCCGAGCTGCTCGCACGCACATGCAACGGCGCATCACCCGCCAGGCGGGCCGTGGCAAGAACACCGTGTCCTCGGGCTTTGAGGGCCCTTGGACGCGTGGCTCGGAGCAACACCGAAGTTCTTTGATTTGGCAGGATCTTGCTTGTAGATGGCAGAACACGTGAAAAGTACGAGTGAAGAGAACATTGCGTGGGTAGTTGGGTAAAAGCTCGCGCAAGTTGAAAGGGGATTCACAGATCGCTCTCTTCTTCTTGCAACAGACCAGTCTTTTGCTGCAAGCTCCAGTGAGGTAGCCCGTCCCGCTGGAACTATGACTTCTTCGAAGCCCTGCTGTCGGAAGAGTGGGTCCCGGCGAAGAGCCCGCCGCCTGTCCGCATCCGCACCTGCCGCCACATGCAGGGAGGGCTTTAGGGCATTATGGTTGAGGCAGGTTCAGAAAGCATCGTGACCTCCTCGGGAGACTTTGCAATCTGTGGCAAGCCTAGGTATGGCGCTGACCAGTGGCACACCAGGAACGAAACCAGCAAGTTTGCTCGGACCATGCGCCTGACTTCGGATGTCTCGCTGGTTGCGGACAAAATCTACCGCCCGATCGTCGAGGAGTATGCCGCCGACTATGCCCAGTTCGATGCGGACTTCGCCGATGCTTGGTTCAAGCTGGTGCACCGTTCGGAGGACCATCCCCACAAGGACGACCTTGAGAAGGATGCCGGCGTTTGCACCAGCTTTGAGTTCGCGACTCTCCTGCCTTGAGTGCGTTCTCACGTGTACAGTCGCAAGCTGCTGCACAGCTTGGCACACGATGCACAGCGCACCTCGGCGTAGGGCTTTTGGTGCGGTTGTAGCTAGGAGGAGCATTGTGTAACATGCCTTGGTACAGCAGCAGTCAGTGTAGCAATGTCTGCAGTTTCTAATTCAACGTACGTAGCTTCTCAGGGGCTTCCTTCACCGACAGGGGAGCGGCTGGCTCCTGCGGCCCAGGCAACCACGTCAGGCATTCGACCCACCCGCTGTGAAGTGTACAGGCCGGGTGTGTGATTGCCTCCTCGCAACCTTAGCCTCGGGCGCGTAGTCAATTGGCCACGCCGAGCAAAGATCAGACGTAGCGCCTTGCTTGCTGCCTGGTGGACTGGCGACTAACTACATTCATACACGGAGATTCTGTGCTTCCGTGCTCAAAGCAAGGAAGAGTAGTTGAGAGAGTGAGCTTGAGAGCAGAGAAAGCCGAGATGCTTCGCTCCGTGGGTTTGCTTGGTTGGGCCGTGCTGGCGGCGGCGTCCGAGATGCGCAGCGACGATTTCCCCAACTACGACCAGGGCACCATCCCAGCCTGGAAGGACTTGGCCTCCTTGCGCGGCGCCCACCCGGATGCCCAGGTGGGCGGCAAAATTAGCTGAGGGCCGCTGACTTGTAAAGCAACGATAAACAGCTTCCACTGTAGCCCCATGCGGACTTAGCGACGAGCATCCGTTGGTTGCTGTTTGCAGGTCATGAGCAAAGCGGAGTACCATCGCCAGCTGAAGTCCCTGGACATTCCGAGGCTCTATCGACAGATCGCGGCGCTGATGACATCTTCGCGGCCCTACTGGCCCGCCGACGGCCCGCAGGACGGCGACGTGCCCAGCTATGCCGGGCTCTTCGTCCGCTTGGCCTGGCACTGCTCGGGAAGCTTCCGGCTGATCAACGACACGCACGCCGCTGGGGGCTGCGAGGGCGCCCGGCAGCGGCACTGGCCGGAGAACGAGTGGCGTGACAACACCAACTTGGACAAGGCTCGGGGCCTCTTGGCGGAAGTGAAGCTCCAGTTTGCTGACGTGAGCTGGTCCGACCTCATGACCTTCGCGGGCACGGCAGCGATCAAGTTGAGCGGCGGCCCAGCCAAGAAGTTCTGCTTCGGGCGAATGGACGATGTGAACGGCGATCGCTCCATCCCACTGGGCGTAGAGGGTGTGACCCAGTGCCGTGGCAGCAAGTTCTGCAAGTCGGACGCCGAGTGCCCGAACGCCTTCCGCTGGCCAGAGCAGAACGACACAGACCATGTTCGTTGCAACATCGAGCAGCCCAAGCATCGCCTCCAGGCCAGCCACTCCGTCGGCTTGATCTATGTTTACCCCGAGGGCCCCGAGCTCAAGAGCACGGCCGACGGCTACCATTCTAACTTGGTACACAACCGCTCGCCGAAGCTCAGTGCCTTGGCACCTCGCCTGCATGCATCGCACACAGCGGGACCCTACTAGTGGAAGTAGAAGCTGTCTGAGAGCCAGAGCCCTCGCTGCGCCAGGAGGTCCGAGACACCTTCCGTGATCGGATGGGCTGGACCGACCGCGAGACCGTGGCCCTCATCGGCGGCGGTCACACCCTGGGCCGAACCCACGGCAACTGCCACTTAGATTGAGACTTTTGAGTCAGCGTCTCTTCATATCTCATGCCTTGCAACTGTCGGTCCCTGCAACGAAGTCCGAGGCAACCTCACCGGCACCAAGTGGGCACAGGCTCCTTACAACAACGTGGGCCCCTACTTCGAGGCAGCGCCTCTCTGCGCTCGTGAGCAGGGTGCAGAGCTCACACGGGTGGGGGGGGGATCTTTCTGATGGTGGTGCAGGGGATTGCAGGGGTCTATATATACCTGGACACACACAAATCAAGGTGGAACTTTTCTTCATTCTTTATCCGGTAAGTCCGAGCCAGAAGGGGCACCTGGCAGCTGAACTAACACTTGAAGCCGCTCACAAGCCGATCATAGCTGAAACTGTGCATGAGAGTCAAGCATAGACGGTTAGAAGATAGGCAGATGGATCGAGAGGTTTGATCTCAAGTCAGAGATGGCATGTTTTGTAGACCCAGCCGTAAGCCGCAGGCCACGCCGGGCAGCCTGCGGGGGCCGACAGATGGCACCTGCGGCACCGGTGCGGAGGTCGCTTTGGAGCTTATGAAACGTCGAAACTTCGCCCTCACAGTCTCAGAAGCGCTCTCGACAGTGCAGTCGAGCCATTGCCATGTGCCGAGCTGCTCGCACGCACATGCAACGGCGCATCACCCGCCAGGCGGGCCGTGGCAAGAACACCGTGTCCTCGGGCTTTGAGGGCCCTTGGACGCGTGGCTCGGAGCAACACCGAAGTTCTTTGATTTGGCAGGATCTTGCTTGTAGATGGCAGAACACGTGAAAAGTACGAGTGAAGAGAACATTGCGTGGGTAGTTGGGTAAAAGTTCGCGCAAGTTGAAAGGGGATTCACAGATCGCTCTCTTCTTCTTGCAACAGACCAGTCTTTTGCTGCAAGCTCCAGTGAGGTAGCCCGTCCCGCTGGAACTATGACTTCTTCGAAGCCCTGCTGTCGGAAGAGTGGGTCCCGGCGAAGAGCCCGCCGCCTGTCCGCATCCGCACCTGCCGCCACATGCAGGGAGGGCTTTAGGGCATTATGGTTGAGGCAGGTTCAGAAAGCATCGTGACCTCCTCGGGAGACTTTGCAATCTGTGGCAAGCCTAGGTATGGCGCTGACCAGTGGCACACCAGGAACGAAACCAGCAAGTTTGCTCGGACCATGCGCCTGACTTCGGATGTCTCGCTGGTTGCGGACAAAATCTACCGCCCGATCGTCGAGGAGTATGCCGCCGACTATGCCCAGTTCGATGCGGACTTCGCCGATGCTTGGTTCAAGCTGGTGCACCGTTCGGAGGACCATCCCCACAAGGACGACCTTGAGAAGGATGCCGGCGTTTGCACCAGCTTTGAGTTCGCGACTCTCCTGCCTTGAGTGCGTTCTCACGTGTACAGTCGCAAGCTGCTGCACAGCTTGGCACACGATGCACAGCGCACCTCGGCGTAGGGCTTTTGGTGCGGTTGTAGCTAGGAGGAGCATTGTGTAACATGCCTTGGTACAGCAGCAGTCAGTGTAGCAATGTCTGCAGTTTCTAATTCAACGTACGTAGCTTCTCAGGGGCTTCCTTCACCGACAAGGGGAGCCGCTGGCTCCTGCGGCCCAGGCAACCACGTCAGGCATTCGACCCACCCGCTGTGAAGTGTACAGGCCGGGTGTGTGATTGCCTCCTCGCAACCTTAGCCTTGGGCGCGTAGTCAATTGGCCACGCCGAGCAAAGATCAGACATGGCACCTTGCTTGCTGCCTGGTGGACAGGGGATGCCGTCTTTACGGCTCCTGGGAGTTTCAATCTCCCCGCAAATAGACCCTGCAGGAGCTCGCAGCCGCCTGGTTGTGAGGATGCTTAAAATAAAAAAGAAAATAGTAACAAGAATAGTAATAACAATAATAGTAGCCAAAAAAATAATAACAATAATAATAGATACCCCGCATCTTCAGAAGCCCCTGAGTCTTGCATGGTATCAGACACTGTGTCATTAGGATGGTTGCTTAAATTCGGGCTGCTTAACAACAACCGCATCTCAAACCTCACTGAACAGCCCGATAAAACGCAGGACAACCCCGCAAGACCCTTGCACAAACTCGATAAACACCCCACAGCACACCTTCACGACCTAAATTAAGATTGCCAGCGAATCTGGAATCATAGGCTTGCTCGCACGTGGACGCTGCTAAGCCGCAATGCCGAGAAAGGCCGTGGCGGGTGTTTGCAGGGTATGTTCTATCGGGTTCCAAACAAAGTCACGAGATGTTGAGCATGTTACACCGTGCGGTGTCCAACATGACATCCAGTTTCCCTCCATCCGCTCGCAGCGGCATGAAAATTATTGGCTGAGCATGGAGAAAGATGCATCCAAGAGTCTTGATGGTTGATGTTTCATTGAGTCACGGTCACCGGTCGACGGATATGTTTCCCTGTATCATCATCACAGTTCCGAGTTTCCGGTATTGGAGTGAAAACTAATTTCCCGCGATCAGAAGGCGGTATTTAAGATGGCCCTGCAGGGATGTTCAGGCAGCCTGCGACGATCGCTCGGCCGGACATTCCGACAGGAAACGCAGAAGGGTTGGTTACAAGAGGCCAAGGGCCAGCACTTGAGCCTGCAGCTCGAAAGTTTGTTCGAAGCCAGCCTTCGTCCGAAAATTGCAGGCAGCCGCCAGCTGTTCCTGAAGCATGATCCCCACCTGATGGGCTGGAAGGTGGGGGATCACATTGGGATGCTTTGCTGCAGTCGGCATGCGGGGTTTCGGAATTGCAGGTTTGCATAAACACGACTGAATGGGACTTTGTAAGTAAGCTTCTAAGTACCTTAATTGGGGTTATAAGTAGTTATAAGTATAGTTACCCCCCAAGGCCCAGAAAGCGAAGACTGAATACTGGCCCTGGGGTCTGAGGTGATGCCCTGATCTAAGCCTCAGCCCGAACCTGATAATGTTGCAGGGGGATGGCGGGCCTATGCATATTGTTATAGTATGGTTACAAAGTATGTTTTTTTTTTAATTTGAGTATTATCGCTAGTAAAAATTGATAAGACAAACAACCAAATATGTGTATTTGTTTTTACATCTTCATATGCATTCGTTAATAACAAACTTTGCTACTACGATGATCAAGTATTATAGTTGGTACTTTTTGCTATTGAGCCTGTTGTGGTTTGCAATCGCCTCCCGCCGAGGGTCGCCACGACTTCTCGGGGCAAGTCCACGGAGCACCGGATTGTGGACATAGGTGCTCGGGATCCCAAAACCCTGTAAGTCCTAACCTTCTCGACTCTATATGGGAGCCTCGGAGAATAGGGGACCCTAATGTAAGATAATATAAGTACCCTAAATACTAGGATCCTTATTATGAGGCTTATAAGGACCCCAAAACAAGGTACCCCTGATTTTCGGAAAGTCCCATATCCCTCCAGCCATCCATACATCCTCCATCCACCATCCTCCATCTGCGCAGCCCTTTTATGAACCCCTTCTTTCCATTCTGTTCCCCAGAGGGTTCTAAGTACCCAAGTAGTAGGGTTTTAGATCCCAAAATCCATACTCTGAATGGTTTTGGGGACCTAAAGCCTTCTCATTTGAGTACTTGGAGCCTCTGGGTTCTATACCTAGATATCAGCTCAACCCTTCCATGAACCTTTCGATAAACCCTCGACCCATATCCCCCTCCCACGCGCGCCCGGCCCCATGTACGGCGGGATTCAGGATTCAGGACTTCAGCCGACATGCTACCCCTATTGAGTCGGATTCAGAGACATGCCCAAGCTGCTTCCCAACCACCCGCGCAACGTGGGTTCCTCATGGCCGAACATGCCGGTGACAGAGGATTAATATAGGGGCCTGAATACATAGAACAGGGTTTTGGGGCCCAGTATACTATACTTAAAGTAGGAACCCCCAAAATTGCATAGGTAATTATTAAGGCCCCTGTAGTACAGTATAGTACAGTGGTCAGTATACTATACGGAACCCCCGAAATTGTATAGGTATAATTACGAAGGCCCCTATAGTACACTGGTCAGCTCCGAGCATGAGTCGTCACGTGCACGACATGTGCAGCTCGAGCGGCGACTACAGCGAGCCGTGCGCTGTGCGTTAAAATCGTACTGTGTGTGATCATACCGCACATCATGCCATCCAGCAGACGTCAGTCCATTTCTTTTGGAAGCCACCGCCTCAGACAATTCAGGTAGAAAACTCCTGTACGCCCTCAACCTAAGCACATCTAAGTGGGATGGTTGTTGCAAAGCTCCATGAGGGCCGTGAAAATTATTTGGACAGCTTCATGGCTTGCTTAAGCTTTGCACGTTTTTGATGGCCAATTTCTTAGGACTTCTGTCAGGAAGGCCCGAAGGTTGTTCGTCTACATTTTCACAGGTCCCCCGGACGAGTGGCGCCTTGACCTCTGCTGTGCCCGAGCAGGCTGGGAAACTCTGTGGCCCCGGACCCGGGTTTGCTGACCTTTGGTTAGTAATGGAGGAAGGGGGTACAATTATAACTACTTTTACTACCATTCTTCCAGTCCCTACTACATAACCAAAGGTAAGTTTGGGGTTTGGGGAACCCTCGCCTGATGCCCAGAGTACGGCGCCGGCTTCTCCGAGTAGGACACGAGTTTCCCCCGAACCGAGCGCTAGCACCAGCACGGGCCGATCCGTTGCTTTTCACTCGTACTTAGCACCTGCCAGCTTCGCAACAAATGTAGAAGTGTTACTAGCTTAATGCGAGAGGGCTGCACACAGCTGCTGCTGTGCCCGGACATCCTTTGCCAGCAAATGCTCAGGCGTTGAGCGCTACGATGCTCCTGCCAATGCGATTGACGGGCCGCCCGGCGAAGTAGTATTGATACATAGAAGGGCATTTGTGTTTGCAGAAAGCTGCTAGGGCTCCGGCCTGGGTACGGGTCCCAGTTCTTGTGGCAAGTAGGCCTCTCGAGATCCACGTGAGGTACGAAGACACTCAATGGTCGAGTTGGTGTGCTCCTTATTGCACAGGCCCGGCCCGGAGGGGAAGCATGACAAAGCTCGCGGGAATCGGACTGTCCGATCTCGTCTTCTCAGCCGCGAAACCTCCGATTCAGGGCTCCGGGGTGCAGCCCTTATTCGGTGAAAACGACTGAAGACCAATCTGAGCGCCCAGGTGTTGAGTGTTTGGGTTTGGCGGTGTATTACAAGTACAGTATAGCAAGGAGCCCCCAGAACAGCATTGGTAATTAATGTAGGAACCTGATTCAGAAACCTTGGGCCTTTATTGGGGTTCCTTATACGAATTTGGAGGGTTATAGGCCCAGGGTTTCTAAATCAGGTTCCTACATTAGGCCCCTGTATCAAGCCCGGAGGCTCTTCAATCCGAAAGCTCCGAAGAGTCGACACAGGTTTCTATCGCCGTGGCCGTAGTGGAAGGAGTACTGTAGTGGCAGTAGTGGTGCTGGTCGTGGTGGGAGTAGTAAGAAGAAGTAATTTGTAGAAGAAGAAGTAGTGGCAGTGGCAGCACCAGCAGCAGCTGTTGTAGTAGTTGTGGTAGTAGATAGTAGTAGACGCGGAGGTGAAGAGCACTGGATCGAGGTGCAGCTGGCGGCGCCAAGCGATGTTACCCGTGCTCCGCTTCTACTGCGGGTTTTTGCATTGAGAGGTTCAGGGTTGCAGATCAGGCATAATGGGATGAGGTGTGTGTGTGTGTGTGTGTGTGCGTGTGTGTTTAGATTTAAGGGATTACGGACTTTGGTGGAGATCCGAGATTTTGCGGATTTCGATTTCCGGAGCAGGCCTGCGGGTACGGATAGAGGGGGTAGTTTTTGCCGGAGTTCACGGCGAATGTGCCCGTGATGTTGGAGTTAGCCTTAGATGCAACCCTCGAGACTCATAAGGCAGTTATAATTGCAGTATACAGCAGGAAGTTTCGTTCCCATGATGATTACCATTAAAATTCGTACTGCTATGGTTTGCCTGAAGTTTTATTAGGCGCATGCATGCTCCGGTGATACTGGTAGAAGAAAGATATAACAAAGTATTCAGGTGTCTACAACCAACGTAGGGCCTGGAGCCATCAGCTGTCGAGCATCGAGGTTTCGGGTTGACTTGTAAGTACTAGTAACCCCCTTATGGTCCCTAATATATATATATATATATATATATATATATATATAAGGCCCCCACACTAGCCCCAAACCGCACATCCAAGGGAGTGGTCAGGGTTTCCGAGGAGTCCAGCCGCCCCCGAAAGGCCGACCCCTACAACCCAGGAGAGGAAGCTAATATAGGGGCCGAAATGAATACTTATACTGTTTTGGGGGTTCCTTATTATACTTATAGTATAATGGGCCCCAAAAACCCTATTCTAAGTATTAAGGCCCCTATATCAAGCGACATATTCAAGCCTCAGTTTAGGCTCCGTGGAAAGATGTGGAAAGCCCAGGCGTGCAGCTTCTGTGGGACACCAACCGCGACGCCCCTGTCTACACGGCCGGCCAGATGAAGAAAGTGTTATTTTGCTGTCACTGCCGGTTCTGTTCTTAACTGCTGCTACTGCTACTACTGTTACTATACTACCAGTTGCCGCTGCGACGATGCCATTGCCTGTGTTGTTGTTCATGGAGGACTCGGTTTGTGTTTGGGTCATAAAGTTTGCGGAGCTATTTGAAGCTAAAGTGCAAAGCTCGAGTTCTCGGCATGTTCTGTCATTGTTCGTTCCTAGATTCCTTGGAGCAACTTGCCACCTGATCCTTGCTGCCATGGCACCTACTAGCATACATATCACAATGCCAGAAGAGCTGCTCAGCCCCTCAATCCTCAAACTTTCAGCCTGAAGACTCTGAAGCCCCCAAGCCCCCAGACCTGAATCCGCGACAGGTGGCGGTGTGCGATGGCCCTTGGACGGAGGAGTCCGGGCTTTCGGGGTTGTCTGGGCCACAAGCCCAAAGCTCCCACGAGCTCCCAGGACTGTTCGCGAACGGTCCGGAAGGAAGCGAAGGGAGGCGGCTGGCAGGACACCGGGTTAGGGCCGCTCGGGTTCTCGGGTCCCCCGATACTACCACCAAAACAACAGCACCTCTCAGGCATACAGAGAGCTAAATCTTGCCTAAGCAGGAAGTATCAATGGGCCTTCCTGCTTTCGGCACACACCTTCGTGTCACTGCCGACTACAACAGCCTGCACTTCGGCTGGACTTTTTTTGCTTTCAGCTTTTGGACTAGAGTGGAGGTTGTCGGCTTCGGGTTCATTGATCTATACCCCTACTACGATGACGACTATACTCTTACCACTACGGGTGCAGTTGCGTGTGACTGCTTCCATTCACGTTCTCTGCGCTGAGAGGGATTGAGCACAGAGCAGCCTACTCATCCCAATGTTGATAGATCCTATAGGATCAATATCCAAATCCAGCAACTCCACGTAAACCTACTGACATGAGTCCTCTCCGCCAGCCCAGCTACTCCCAAGCCTTTCTCGATCTGAGGTCCCGACGCGCCGATTGGCATCCTCCCTGGGCTGGGGTTTGGCTCTACGAGATCCGCGCCTACGGGAAGGAGGTCAACGCCACGGTGTCCAACGTCGGCTGCTGCAACTGGAAGGGAACTTTGACACTAGGAGCTTAATGGAGTAGGATCCCTTCTCGATGGACCCCTAAGAAGAAGAGAAACACCGAATCAAAGTTTGGCTGTGAGTTTTACCATGTCCTGTCGGGAACATGCCCTCCGAGGTGCTGTACTTGGACACCCCGCTTGAAGCAGATCACTGGGGAGGCCTCCGTGAGGCGGGACCTCAGACCTTCCGAGCCCTCGAGTCTAGCCTTTGAGAGGCTCTATAATCTTACTCCTTTATAAGCACTTCAAGGGTGTTTGCTTAAGGCCTGTACCGCACCACCTTCAGCTTTTCAGACTCAAGAAGATGAGGCTTCTTCCTTTAGCTGAAGCCCACAAAGTTGGTTCAGTTCCTGGGCTTGAACCAACATGTTCGAAGCTTCGAAAGAACCGATTAAAGGATACCAATGACGACAGCCAGGTGGAGGGCTACTGGCTTGAAATGGCTGCCGAAGTGGTGACCCAGCAGCAGAATGACTCGAGTAGAGACTCAAGGATCAAGCTGGATAGTCCTGACAGACTCCAGACGGCAACTGCTGCAAACTTGAGATGTTGGAAGCCAAGGTGAACCTACAGCGTTCTGTCGTAATCACTGGCGACCACTATGATTTCTCGACTTCGGCCAAAGGCAAGCCCAGCCTCGATTGCATCTGAGAGAGATTCTTCTCGCTCTTTCTGTGAGACTGAAAGCTGAGAAGATCAGCAGCGCCAGGCCTCCACACCATCAGCGCCCACGGGGGTGTCATGGACATCCGCTTTGCACGCGTGGAGTACTGCCGGGAGCTCAGAGCAGGAGAAGTAGGTGGCGGTTTAAAAGTTGACAGTGGTATATGGGAGTTTCCGAAAATGGGACCCTAATAATTATGGTACCCTAAATAGTCGGATCCTTATTATAAGGACCCCAAAATAAGGTACCCCCATTTTCGGAAACCCCATATATAGTAGTATACTCAGCACTACCAGAAGCCTCTCCCAACCTTGTCAGCACGGAAGACGCGGATGTTTGGGTTCTGAATTTGGATTTTGCAGTTCGTCTCTTACCCGAGCAGTGGCCTCATTGTTTTCTGTCGCATGGCAGGTGGCCAGCGCAACTTCATGGGCAAGTACTGTCTCCATTTCCACCATGCCGGGCAATGCCCAGACTGCACCTTCAAGGGCAACGCGGTGTACCAGCCTCCTGGCCGTTGAATTGAGTTAGCGAACAGTTTGTGGGACTGACCTGTGTTTCTGATGGCAGCTTTATCGGAGTTTGATCCTGATATCTGTGTGTTGAAGCCGCAATCTACACTTGCATGCGAATCACACCAAACCTGAAAGTGCACGAGCTTTCAGTGATTGGTACATGTCAGCAGATATTCCCCCGTGCCCGCTTTCTGATCGGTACACTCTGCAACGTGCCGTTCCTGTAACAACGCGAAGCTCCTTCTATCAGCGATAAGGTCCGCGCAGATTGGAATTACCGTCCATGGTGCCCTGGATCGCAATGGCCCTGCGTGTTGTTGAAGGTTTGGGGCTTTCCACGGGCAATCCTGGCTCATGGGTTTTCGGGTAGTGAGCTTGGTTTTGGTCGTGGGGTGGTATGCTCAACCCGGCAGGGTGTTCGAAGCAAGCTCGAAGAGTCATGGCATCACAACACTGCACCCGGACCGATAAACCGCAAAACCCTACACCTCACGAGTCCTCATAAATTAAACAGTCCCAGTGCTGGCTCACAGGCACTCACCGCTCCCTCGTTGAGGGCAACGTTATGTGGGATACGTCCTCTGCAGGCAGGGCTGGGCGGAGTGAAATCTTGCGGCTCATCGTTGAGGCCTTGGGAGTCAAGATTTTCGATGTTAGTGTCCTGGCCTGAGAGGGTTTTCAGATACGTGGATCTTGTTCCTGTAGCCGCCGGCGCCCTAGCTCCAATCTCCTCTGGCAGTGTGGGAGGCGTCTATGTGGAAGATGGCAACGAGATGTTCAACACCATCAGCCGCTCGGGTGCGAAGCAGAAACAGCACGCAGCACCGAAACTCGCCACCATGCAGACGAAGTGCTGAGTTTTACCTGTTTGCGTCCAGTATTCCCGGCATTCCATGTTGCAGCAACAGTCTAAATTAATAGTATGAAAGCAGCGGCAGCGAAGTCGTTATCATCATCGGAATGATCACCAGCATCGTCATCATCATCATCAGCATCATCATCATCAGCATCATCGTCATGCCAACAGCAGCGAGCAATGACGCCAGGGAAGGCTGAACAATGTGGAATAAATGGTGCGTATCGCATGTAAGGCATGTGGTCATGTCATTCACTGTCTGCGTGTGTGTGTGTGTGTGGGTGTGTGACATGTGGGGAACCCATACTACAACGGGAGTGCAGCTTATTGCTTCCCATGAGTTATTCAACCCTTGATTTTGTTTCATGTTCATCTCCATCTCATTTCGTGCTGTGCCCTTCCTGGTGTCTGACACAGCGAGAGCATCAGCCATACCCTCACGGATCATCCTCATTGTAAGTTGCGTGTCATTCTTGATGTCTGGCATGCTCGGCACCAAAAATCCACGTTATTATCGTTTTATATCGTTTTCATCACCATCACCATCGCCAACATCATGTGTTTCTCATTATTAAACATCAGCAAGGAAATGTGCGCCCATTGAGAGACCTCCATCAAGGCTTTTCTTTTGGATGTCTCAGCTGAGTTCTTGGGCTCATTGCTGAGTTGAGATCACTCTTGAGAACTACCCACCAGGAATGCCTGGGCTGCGAGTATGTGGGGGTGTGTGGGTGTGGGGGTGTGGGTGTGGTTGTGTGAAGTGTCCAGGCAATGTTGAAATGTTGGCATTCGGCTGAGTCCTGAGGTAACAACGTCATCATCTGCTCGGTACACTCCAAGTGCTCAACGCCATGGGATGTACAGCTGGACAATGCTGCAGGAATCTACATGCGCCTTGGCCGAGCGACTTTGCCTCGGGAACTCGGGAGTGGAGCTGTCATCAGAATCTCCATGATTTCGGAGTGATCTGTGCCGTTTTCAGTTTGGTTTTGCACCAGCTTCAGGATCGGGATGACGAACAATCTGATCGAGAATCGTGTGGCCGGCTTCGAGAACTGCGGCTGGTCCGACTTACTAAAACGAAAACTAGGTAACATGTCTCGAGGCAATTCCTACCCAGAAGCTTAGTATGAGAAAAGCGAATCTAACATTGTTGTAAGGCAATTCAGCAGCAACTGCGGCACGACGACAAGAGTAGCTGCCGCCCAGTATTTCCTCGAATATTTTCGAGAACCGCGGCGACGACGACAGAGCCAACAACAAGACGAAAACCAGCAGCAGCAGCAGCAGCAGCAGCAGCAGCAACCACAACAACACCAAAAGCACCACCAGCACCAGCACAAGCACCACCATCACCACCACCAAGCAATTAGTCCGTTGCACCAAGACCCCGATCATCATCCTCAGAGTCTTCATCGCCATGTTGATGATAATCATCAGAGCCCCCATTGGCATCATCATTACCATCATATTTGGCATCGTCATCGCCATCATCATCATCATCGTCACTATCATGGATGTCATCATCTACATGATACATCTGGGTCAAACAGCCAAGAAGCAGATGCGGCGGTCCCAAGATTGCGAAAAGAAACATCGTTGACGCTTCTTGATCACGCTTCAGGAGGCATCGACCCTCCTCCTCCTCCTCCTCCTCCTCCTCCTCCACCCAGTTAGTTCAAAAAACAACACACCACACGCGAATTCCATGCTGCAACTACAGATACAAAAGCTTCCGCACAAAGCAACCATGTCCAACCGCAATTAGGCGTGAGGTCGACACACCTTTTGTGTGGCCAACGCACAACAACAGCAACATCGCACCGGCAACACCAGCAGCAGCAGCAACAGCAGCAACAGCAACGGCAACAACAACAGCTTCAGCGGCGCCAACGCCAACACAAGCAGCGGCAGTGGCAACGGCAACGGCGACAACCGCAGCAACAACAACAACAACAACAACAACAGCATCAGCATAAGCGTCAGCAACGACGACGCCAGCAGCAGCAGCAGCAACAACACAACAAGCGCGACTTGTCACAGTGGCAGCACGTGATGTCGGAGTACGTTCCGTAGCTTGGGGTGGCTTGTGATGCTTCGTGCTGCAGAGCATGCTGCTGCGGAGGGTAAAGCGGTATACACCAGCATATCAAGGATAACACCTTATGTTATCACGGTTTGCCGAATTCCCGGCTTTTGGAGATTCTTGGGGATTCGATCCATGCTTACTGTAAGCAGACATCTGGAGAAAGCTGAAGAGATGAGTGGCAAAGCTCTAGACCAATGTGCCTAACCCATCGTGGCGACAGCAGTCCCTTACCTGACACATCCGAACTCCAACTAAAGGACATCTGTTGCCGTTTGCCTCTCACAGAAATCACCCCCTCAAACATTAAGAGTGCACGCGAAGCGACGCCAGCCTGACCCCACCAAGCTCCGAAGCCCCTTCTTCTTAGGGGTACTTAGAAATAATTTTTAGTTTTTGGTTATTATAATCCCTAAGAAACAGCTAAAATTACATTTTTTGGCAGGGTTCTAAGTTCAGTATTCAGCCCGCCCAGGCATCTGGACCCACGGCTCCATCTACCTGAACGGCCAGGGCGCAGCCCTGGGCAAAGTCTGCCCGCAGAACACGCCTTTCGGGATCTTCCGGGGCAATGCTACCCGGTGAGAGCTTTTGATGCTTCGGGATGGATCGAAGTTGATTCGTGTGATCAGGGGCGAGATTTTTCTTTTTGCGTGCTGAAGGGGCTCCTCTTTGGTGTTGAGCTGGTTTTGAGTCGAGGTGCAAAGCTCGCATGTCTCGCGCATGACAGTCCGCGGCACAAAATGGTAATATGAATGACATGCTATGTGCTATACGGTTATGTATACGGTTATGCATCCATGTTTCAGCTCTCTTGATCAACACTACGCATGAGCTTCAAACCGGTTCCGGAGGATTTAGAGTTCAGGGCTTGGGGTACCTGGGTTCCCAGAGACTCCAATATCCCTTAGTTAAGGAATATTCCTTAAATTAGAGTAGGAGCCCTAACATGATTTAAGGAATATTCCTTAATTAAGGGATATTGGAGTCTCTGGGATGAGGGTTGTAGAGTAGCGGTTTGGGGAGCCTCGAGTTAGGTCTTTCCGTCTCAGCGACTGCGATGAGTGTTTAGGCAGGAGGGCGGAAGGTGTTGAAGAAGGCTGCAGCAATGTTCCGGATAACTAGACGGGCTAACGCTGCTTTGGACAGCGACAGCGACAATATCGTTATCATCATCGTCGTGACTATCACCATCGCCACCATTATCATCGTTTTTGGCTTCGCTACGTCACCAGCACAACTCTCGGTACAGTAAATTGGATGGTGCTGTCTCGCTGCCCGGAACCTACATCCAGGTTTGCCACGACAACAACCGCTTCGGGACTGGCACCTTCTTCCCTGCAGGGGCTTGTGCCGCCATAGCCTTTAGGGCGTGGTGATGTAGTGCCACCAAGTTGAGGCTGTGTTTTGGGACCTAGGCCTCCCAAACACCCGCAAAAACCTTAGGCTTCAGCCAGTTTTCGGTCTAGGGATTAGGGATCTAGCCTTGCTGCAGAGCCGGTCCAGGTCCTGTCTTCGAGCCAAGACTAGACGAAACACGCTACAGTGGGAGAAGGTACTTATCAAAAAAAGTGGCACGCTGTGTGACCGAGCATACAGCATTGTATGAATGAGTACTTGCAGCAATGCACATACTGGTACATGTTACATACATGTGTATAGTCCTATCTTGGCTTTGCAACCTGCACAATGTGTGCATGAGTACCACGTTCGCCGCACACTCTGTGTGCCACAGCACACCCCTAACCAAGAACTCTAACCCCTAACCCCTAAACCCCTTAAACCCTAAACCCCTAAACTCTCAACCCTAAACCCCTAAACCCTAACCAAAAACCCTAAACCCGAAGCGCAGCCCTGGGTATCGGCAGGATCTACCTCGACAACCAACGGCCTCGAAATCTCGAGAGGGACGGGAACCCCGGTACGCATTGGCACAGTCCAGAGTCCAGTCCTTTAGGTAACTTGAGGAGATAGATAAGTAAGTACGTAGAGGAGGTGCAAACGAAATATACGAATAAGACTTCTACGTGTATACTTGCATTGGTTTACTGTGTTACAGCATAGCATCATATGATAGGAACATAGTACGTTACAGCACAGTATGATGTAATAAGTGTAATGGCTATTATGTAGCATAAGTACAGTACAACATAGTATAATCTGTTCAAAGATGAATATGATTTAGTATAACGTAATGCCAGGCAACATAGCCTAGTTCAATGTATTATAACTTCTAATGTAGACATACATATCATGCGCATGTGTATACACAGATATGTAGATAGATAGCGCTGTATCTCACACTGTAATTATGTATACATGTGTGTGTGTGCGCGCGTCTGTACGGGTGCATGCATGCATGTATGTAGGCATGTAGTTTGTTTGTCTGTCTGTATGTATGTACGTATGTATGTACGTACGTGGTCTGTGCGTATGTATGTATGTATGTATGAGCGTATATATGAAAACATGAATGAAGTATGTGCATGCGTATACACACACACAACTGTGACTACATAGATGGCTACAGACACATGTGCATGCACATGTTACCCATACATATACACCTGTACACACGTTCACACACCCACACAAGTTGTTATGTGTGTATATATATATATATATATATACGTATGCATATGCGCGCATACACAGACAATGACTCATTCCTTCATGCATGCATACACATACATTCAGTCACATATTCCAAGTACCTACATACATAGGTTTACATGTACACACAGGTACACACACACACACACACAATCTCACAAACCAACAAGCAAACAAGCAAGCGGACCAAGAACGACATCGATGCACATCCATAACTTTGTTGTCACATGGGGCACGAGCCGGGTACGACAGATAATTCAGAGTTCCAGGAGTATCCGACAGGCTCCTATTGGCCCGCTATCTGTTCTCCGAACGATCCTTTCCAGGATCGTGAAGAGCAACGATCGCTTGAGTTCAGAAACTAATTCAGAGTCCGTCAACGAATCACGGTCGACACTCCAGTAGGCGCTAAGCCTCCCCATGACAAGGGCGTCAATGTGCCCCGAATCTTTGATCCCTATGTTCATGTGTCTGTTGGGGCCTTACACAAGCCCACAAAGCGAACTCCCGAAACCAGGAATGGCTTCGTCGCAGACATGGGCACCTGCGGCGAGTTTACTACGGATGGCCGCGACAACGGAGTGACCCCGGCCAATGTCATCGAAGACCAGCACCTAAGCTGTTCAAGGGGTCGTGGACATTTTGCAGAGGATAACACCTCCTTCTTGTTCGAAATTCAACGTAGTCATGGGTTCGACCAGTACCAGCAACTGTTTTCTTCAGTTTTCCTGTTGTATGCAGTTATGCATAAGATGTTGATGTGCGTACCTCCAGATGTGCTTGAACTGTTTACATACTGTGCATATTCGTATGTACATGTATATATATATACAGACATTTGTATGTACATGGTCAAACGAACAGAACAGTCCCCCGCAGTACTATTGTGATAGATGCCTGCATGCAGTTATGCGTGTTGTGAATGTGGCATCCTTTATGTGTATCACTTCTACTACGGTGGTTGTGATGGTGGTGTGATGATAGTGTTGTTGTTGTTGCAGCTGGTGATGATGTCAGTGTTGACTACGGTTATACTGTCGTTATTGGTACTGCTGATATCAATCATGACGACAATGGCGATGACTATGATGATGTTTGTGGTGATGATGGTTATGAGGATGACGATGATGATGCTGATGATGGTGATGATGATATGATGCTGATGTTGACAAGAAACGATGATGATTGATGACGACGACCATTTGAGGTGATGATGACGATGATGGCAATTCTTTTGCTGGTCATTGTGGTAGTGCTGGTGATGGTGGTCATCGCCTCTACACGCTAGTAGGGTCGTATCGCATGAGTTGTCTGTGGGGGTGAAAGTGCCACGGCACAGATCCGACTTCTGGCAACGAAGGTTTGACTGGCACAACGACTTCGTCGGCCAGCTGCTTGCCACAAATCGACGGGGTGTTTTTGCTTCATCAAAGGGGTGGATCTACAAAGGTCGCAAAGGCACACCTCCACGGATCTGGGATGTGTCGAGCCCACGGATTGAACTAGACCCTTCGAGCCTTCCCACCAGCCCCTCAAGCCCTCAAGGTGTCAACCGAAGAAACGATTCAGAATTCGAGTCAAGTAAGTGAAGCCTCGGACTGGTCTGCCGCTGTCCGGCGCAGCGAAGGTATTCCATGGGTGACATCGCCTTCCTGCGCTTTGTGAGCGTCAACAATGCGCACGACCTGTACTGGAAGCTTTGTCAGAATTTGGGGAGGAGGCAAGCAGCACGAAAATGACAGAGTAGGGATCGGGTCAAATCGGGTACTCAAACATGGGAAGACGGCAATGAGAGTACGGACAACCCAGCGGCAACAGCAATGGCAACCACTACCACATACCACCAGCGAAACTGCCACTGCCACTGCCGCCTTGTGCGACAGCATCAGCAACTGCAACCACATTGCAGCAATTCCACGATCGACGAAGAGGAGGAGGACGGCGATGTCGACAGCCACGGTTACGATGGTGGAATGTCATAAGGAAACTGTCATGGCTAGCCATGCTAATGATAGTGCCGCCGATGCCCATGAAAGCCTCGCTCAAGGATTACAGGCGCAAAAACCCGAGAGCGCCTTAGGGTTGTAAAATAAGACAGCCGAAGTCAGCAAGGAAAGAGTCGAAGAACTTTGCCGATGGCATCTTTGCTGCAGCTGGCTACGATCGCCCGGGCTTCTAGGGTATAGGGCTTAGGTTCTGGATGGTTTTAGATTTCCTGGATTTAAAGTTTTAGAGTTGTAGCCCACGGTCTCGTCTCCGATACAAACGAACTTCATCGTGAGGCTCCCACATTGAGACCATAAGCCCTTCCACAGGTGGATCAACATCATTACCGTCACAAGCCACGTCCGGATAGATCCAATTGTTCTGGTAGGTTGGGCAGGCAGGTTAAGAGACTGTGGGAGCCGCGCGACTCCCATGTCGTGCTTGCATACTTCATTGCCATGTACCTCAACACCTCTGATACGTCCGCCTTGTATATGTATGTGCACATGAAGGGGTCTTTGTGTGATTGGAATAGGCTTCTGGGTTGTCAGATACCCACTACTACGAACCGTTGTGGCCGTAGAGACCAGCATCTACTCGCACGGGACGCAGTGCCCCCAATTGAAACTTCGGTATTTCCTTTCGGCACAGGGGGTTACAACTATACTATACTAACTATGTTATATTCGTATATTCTGCTACATTACTCTAACGTATAAGGTCTCTTTTATGTTGTTACTGCCAGGACAATCCCATCACATCCGGGACTCCTTGTTCCTTAGCGATCCGAAGGCCATGGCCTCAGCTCAAGGAGGATTGATAGGGCTTTAGGGTTTAGGGTTTAATCAAGCGATCAAGCGTGCAATGAAGTTAGGAATAGGTGCTTCCGGCTATGAAGATTCTGCTACTAGCACGACCACTGCCATGACAACTACCACCACCACCGCCACTGCCACTACCACGAGAACTACCAGCACCGCTACCTACTTGTGCTGCTGCTGCTCCTCCCACTACTGGACTACCACGACGACTGCTACTGCCAGTGCTACTCTGATACTCATAACTTCTGCTACTCTTCGTGGTACATTGATTTTGATGAAATCAGAGCCGTCCAGATGTTGAAAAACCTTGTGGGGTTACTTGTCGTCACTACCATTGTCGTCGTATCATTGTCACAGTCATGGCGGCAACCTCCTCCGAAATCGCGAAATCGCTCGAATGCGGTTCTCTACACAGTCGTCAGTTGAAGATTCTTGTGATGCAGCGCAAGTCGCTATGTTTCCCCCAACGGGTTACACACTTGTCGTCTAAGGACAGGACCATCATCAAGATCGCCCTGATTGCAGGTCCGGCGGGCCCGCGACATACCTGCATTGGAACAGGGTATCAGATTCTCCTTCGGCCGGCCAGCCTGGACTTAGTCCCTGCTGCATCCAGTATCGAAGCACATGTGAGAGCTACCTCCACCGTCATCATCATCATCATCATACATGCATGCCTCTGATGCATATTGCTGGGATTTGGATCGCTGTGGAAGAAATCTGGGGATCCATCTCTGTAATGGAATCACTGCTGGCGCTGGGCAGTGATTGACCCACCGCTCCGGCTGACTTTCAGCATGCTATAGGCGGGGTCTCAAAGCCTCGCAGGTACTCCCTGAATCTGTTCATAGAATCTGTTCATAACATGCCTACAGTATTCGCATGGACGCAGGATACGACAAGCGAAGACGTCCTCGAGCTTCACCTTTCGTATCCTGCTACTCCCCCTGATTTTACAAGGTTCACTTTCCGTATCACGAACACCACCTTCGCGGGCGGCGGGCTGGGATGCGGCGCGATCTGCGCGGCTCAACACTGCGGCCTGGGCGGTGCAGGCAGGTCAGAGTGCTTACCTTAACCCTGAATAACCTACCTTTTTAGGGTTCCCTAACTATTACGATTTCCTTTTGTAAGTCCTTAAAAAGGGAGGTTCTTCAGGGTTAAGGTAGGGCTTAGGGTTTAGAGCTCAGCTCTGCAAGCTGGCAAGACTGATCTTCCCAGCTGTCTACACGAGCGAAGGAGCCGGATCTTCTAAGATTCTAAACAGAAGGGAGCTCCGGCTTGGCCGCTGGCACTGTCGACTGTAGGGAGTTTGCTCGGAAGCAGGCACTAAGGCGCCCATGATAGTATAATTATAGTCGGGAACCCCCAAAATAGCATTGGTAACTATTCAGGCCCGTGCATCACCTTTCTTTTGAATGCTACCCCCTTCTCGACTGCAGTGCAGCTGCAGTGCGGATTGAACCCGCAGGTGGCCCGTGCAATGTGCAGTACCTGCTCACTGCGGTGAATCTCACGAAGGCCACAGCAATACTGTAATGCAATGATGGATATAGTAATCTATAGTATTTTCGTAGTAATAACAGAAATCCCAGTCCAGCTGCTTCTCTGGCTGCCGAGGTTCACGCTGGCGACAAGAAGATCGGCTTCGGAATCAGCACGGTGCGCTCCAAGTAAAGGCTATAAACTTCATGAGGGCTGGGGCTTGGTCTAAGTCTAGGAAGCTAAACAAGCAGTACGTAGAACACATGTTCTGTGCTAGTTAGTTGTAGACAGTCGTAGCATCATCCATTGCCTAATTCCCAACCCTCAAGCTCTATACCCTTATAACACAAAGCTAAATCCTAGACCCTGCGCCCCTACACTTCCTAAACTGCTCACATCGTATGGATGCATGACAGGTGGACCTGGGCTACGTGCAGCCCATGTTCCTCTCGCAAGACGACTCCCTGGGCGGCTACAGGTCCGGGTCTGGGCAGTGGACATGCGGCAATATGCAGCATATTATAGGGGCCTGAATTATTACCCGTACTACTTTGGGGTTCCTTATTATTAGAACTATAGTACAATATGCCCCAAAACCATACTCTAATTGTTAAATCCCCTACATAAAGTGGGGCAGGTCCAGCGGCTGCAGACAGCGCTTGATGTGCACAGAATGTTTTTTCTCAGAAGGTCAAGGCATGGTGCCTATCAAGCTCGGGCTCAAGACAGGCTCACATCGGATATGAAGACCGTGAATCAAGATCAAGTATTTTTCAAAATGACCGGGAGAACTCGCTGAAGCCAAGAAGGTACTGGAGGGTGCCAACATGGGAAGGAAACGCTCCAGTTTGGACCAAAACTTCCACTTTTTTGCACCAGCCCGATCGCGTCGTGGGTCCGAGCACTTAGCCAAGATCTGCGTGAGAATGGGAGTGGACTTGGGTGGAGATCGATCGGAATCAACAGACTCCCCTCTTCTACGCTGCATCGAGAGGCAATACCACAATGGTCAGGTTTTTGCGGAACCTAGGGTTCGAGGCAATTTTTCCCGTTGATCAATGAGTCGGCCATCTTCGACCCAATTAATTAGAAGCAAACACCCCAACAGAACTCGCATGCTAATCGCTGCAACTCCCATGTTATCCGAAACCCCGGCCGGAGACGCTCAAGACCACCAAAACTCATGACTCCCAAGCGATGCGTGCCCCGGTGCCTTTGCACGATCTTCGTTGAGCATCTGGGAGTGGGGCTAGGGCGTCGAGGAGGAGGCAGAGGACGAGGAGGAGCCCATGATAGAAACGAATAGTGCGAACATTGTCGTGCATAACGACGAACAAAGTGCAGACCTGCGCAAAGCGCCTATGCCGATCCGAGACGGATTTCATGGGCGGCCACGGCCACCTGCCCACAGCACAAACCCTGGCACGGCAATTTGAAGCTAGAGGGCGCGTCCAATTTGCCGGGTGTCCCGCTCGACTTGGATAAGGACCGTCTGAAAGGCATTGGGGAACCATTCCAGCGGGAAGCCTGCAACTCAATTCACCTCGGCTGCAGTTTCGGACAGCATCAGCACCATTGCAAGATAAGTCTTTGCACGATTCCCGCGGAGGAACTAACGATGCCACGGCTAAGTCGACCGATCTCATCAAGGGAAGCGTAGTAGCTGAATGAGTGCATTTCGAACTTTTCGGTCCCCTTGCAGAAATCAAAGTTTACACATATTCGGGCTTGTGAACTCCGAAACTCAGGCAAGGCTTGGGTGGATTGTTGCTCCGAGAAGCAGAGATCGCCGCAAAGAAGAAGGGCTCCATGCATTCGAAGGTCAGGCTGTCTGTTGGAGACCAGCGAGGCGGCAATCAAATGCCACCGGAACGCAGGCTTCAAAACGTATACGACACCGGCGCGTCGAGTTTCCCTCCATCCGCGTGCAATCACGTGAAATGGTTGCGGATGGAGAAAGATCGTCTTCGAATTGATGTTTCAATGGTTGTTGAAGTTTGGGGATCACGAGGGTCACTTCATCTTGAGATCCTCCCGAAGGCGTTTTACCGCTGGCTGGACTTAGGCTTCGATGGTAGCCAATCTGCTGAAACTGGTGGAGTGTGAGTCTCTTACTAAAGCGACACAGGTCCATGGTCAGCAGGCACCTGAATGGCTTCGCGAACCTTACCGGCTGCGAGGCAGGGCATGCTCAGGGATTGCGCACTCAAGCGCAATGGCTAAAGAATGACAGTCAAGTTTTGAACTGGGTGGGCGAGCCTTGGATGGTAACAGTCAGCCGCTGGGCTGGCTGTGTGTTTGATCGTTTTCGGAAGAGGAGCATTCACAACTTGCTGTTGTGAAATTTGAGTTATTGCTGTTGGACGCTTCCCAAATCTAATAATCTGGTGCATCGAAATAGCAATACGAATTTATTGCTAATAACACTAATACTACCAATAATCGAAACATTAAAGCGAAATTGATAATGACAATGTATATGTATATATAATATTACTGAGAAAAACCCTTTTCTGCCAGAGGCCCTCGAGAGCGAGGAGTGGGACCGAGCGGTCGCCTGCTCGATAGAGGTCCGGAAGCTGCAGAACTGTCCTTGTGCCTTTGGGGCCTTTAGGGCTTTGTAATGTGACTCCCAGAAACTTGGAACATGGATTTAGGACGATTACTGTAGTGCTGGGATGCCCTATACTTTACCTTAAGGGCATGAGGACAATGATGTTCCAACTTTCTGGCTCTACTAAAGGGGCTTTCTGCATCTCGGGACGTAAGAGGTTACAACGGATGGGCAACAGTACCGACAACCCCGCCTGCTCCTGGTTAGTAGTCGTCGTCGTAGTAGTAGCAGCAGCAGCAGCAGTAGTAGTAGTAGTAGTAGTAGTAGCTACAAGTACTGGTAGTGGCAGCAGAAGAAGTCGTCGTCGTACTATTCTACGACGACGGCAACTACTCCTGCTCCTGCTGCTGCCGCCATCACCACCACCACCGCCACCACTCCCACTGCTACGACCACGACCATGACAACGACCACCACCACCACCACCACCACCACCACCACCACCACCACCACCACCACCACCACCACCACCACCACCACCACCACCACCACCACCACGACCACGACCACTACCACTACCACTACCACTACCACTACCACTACCACTACCACTACCACTACCACTACTACCACCAGTACTGCTGCTGTTACCATGACAACTGCCACGGCCACTGCCACTACGCTACGACTACGACTACTCCGTAAAACCAGCCGGAGACCCTACCAAACTCTAGACCACTACTAATACTACTACTGCTGCTGCTGCTGCTGCTGCTGCTCTACTACTACCAAGCCGTAGAACCAGCCAAAGACCTTACCAATTCCTACGCCCTTGAATCACAGGTGCGTCGGCTGAATCTCTGGAGCGCTGACCTCGGGGACTTGAAGCTGACGGGCCATGGGCTCGGATCTGGTACCAATGAACCGACCGGCTTAGTTTAAAAGTCTTAAAGTCAGTCATATGAAGAGGATGGGGTTCTGATATGAATACATCGTTTTCCATGATGTATCAGAGATAGTGCCATAGTTTTAGACTACATGGTTCGGGCTTCTGGTTCGGACCGCGCCACTCCAATCTTTCTAAGCGGAAGCAAGGAGCTTGTAGGGAATTTTGGGTTGAAGTAATTAGCTGTAATTGTAGATGTCTTGGGTGTACCCCTGAATACTACATACGGTAAGCCCTTGATCCTTTCGAAATCTAAGTAGGGCCAGCGCCCGATAACGAGGAGACCTTCTTGCACAGCCAAGGGCCAGCGCCGAGATGCTACACAGCATAGGACTTAGGACCCGCGGAATGGGGACGATGGGTTGGTTTGTGGCTGTGGGATTTGCGTGTGAGGAGCGTGTCGCTTTAGCTTCAGGTCCTGGATACGATGTCGAGCCCAATAACAGCACCATCGTCAAGGCCGCTTCCGCATGTTCGGGCCTTTTTAGATCAAACTGCAACGTAGTTGAGAGGGGACTGCCTCAGGGGATTGTCACTCCGACTGTCACAAGCCGCGCATGAAATTTCCAAGACTTCCCTGCGTGTTGACAGCCAACCGTCAGTGGTTAAGACTAGCAGACTCCATGCCAGCAGCAGCAACCGTACTGACCTGCTACTTCGTATCATGATGCCTATATGACAACCGTTCATAATTTTGGGATTATGTGCGGTGCTCATGCGGTGGCCACGGTTCACCCACGAGATAATAAATGGAGAACTGTACACTGAACTGACGAGAAGATCCTCATCGCTGCTATGATTGCAGCATGATCATGGTAAAGGTAATTTCAACTGCATCACCCCCAAATCCTAAACCCGAGCTCCAGGGAATGAATGCGGGCAAGCTGATTTGGGAGCCCATGCATCGTGGTTACGGTGCCGTTGTCGCCTTAGGGCACAACTACAGCGTTGCAGGCCGGGGAAGCTCTAGAGGATTAGGATCTGGAAAATTTCGCGTGTGGTTGGGGATTTAATGTTTGGAAACAGGGTTGAGGGCGGCATGGGGTTAGTTCGGGGAGGTATTCGGAGTTGAGGACTTTAGGGCTTTCGTGCTTGTTTTGAGAGGTGTCTTGAGTTCGGAGCGTAGAGGGCGTGCAGCTTCACGGCCGGCTTCCGCTGCAACATGCAGATGTCGGCAGGGTTTTTTCTACAAACCCCGAGCCCAAGCCCCAAACCCATGGAATGTCTAATATAGTCGCCTTGATAATTACCTATACTATGTCGGGAGTTCCTTATTATGATTACAGGATAACATACCCCAAAACCCTATTTGAATCATTCAGCCCACTACAGTCACTACAGTAACCAAGATTCGAAGGCGGCAGCTGTCGGTCATAATACTGCCGCACATCCCTTTCGTTCTCGAGCCTGTATGCCATGGAGTTGCACCAAGTCACGCCCGAAAACCAAAGCTAGAGCCTGCGCCTGTCTCTACCGATTCGAAGTTTGCAAGGCAACTTCCGCGGCGATATTGCCACAGAGCTGTCGGATGTGGTTCTGGAGGCCTCGATCGTGCTCTGCACACAGTACACTATCATTATTATTATTATTATTATTATTATTATTCTTAATATTATTATTATTATTATTATTAGTATTAGTATTGTTATTATTATTATTACTATTATTATTATATTATTATATTGTTTATATTATTATTATTATTATTATTATGATTACTAGTAGTAGTACTATTATTACGAACATTATTATTATGTAAATCGTGTTACTATGTAGTCCCTGTGCCCCTATTTGGCATCGTGCTGAGCCCAAAAAGCCGAGGCGGAGACACGAGCAGTAGGTTCCCTGTTGCAAGGCCCTCTGAGTCAGGTGCCCTTAATTTGGCGTGGAGGGTAGGTCTCAGCTTCGGCGCCTTTTGCAGAACCTCCCAGAGACTCCAATATCCCTTAATTAAGGAATATTCCTTAAATCACAGTAGGATCCCTAATATGATTTCAGGAATATTCCTTAATTAAGGGATATTGGAGTCTCTGGGCTGGTCGAAGAGTTCTCGAGATGATCCCCAAGAAGCTGCAGCACTCCTCCCCAGCCGCCGACACCGAAAGCCCTCTATCAATCATAAACCCAGGACCCTGGCCAACCCCCGGAGCTTCACATGTAAGCCCGGAGGCCCCCCAAAAGCCCTGTTCTAAGGCCCTGGGCTCTCTCCCAAGCCCTCTCTCATAAATCTTTTCACTCTCAGAGCGTCTTAGACCCTGTCTATAGCTGCCGTGGGAGGAAGTCACCGGGCAGACGGAAGCAGTGAAGGTCACGATCGGCAACTACACCTGTCAGGCCTGGGCCAGGAAAAGGGACTCTCGGGGATCGCCCAGCCCTTTCCTCACTCCTCCCCCCCCCACCCCCCCACAATATCCGGTGATTATATTCCGAGGCTCACATGGAAGAACAGAGTCGACAAGTGAAGATCAGCGTTCTGGTTGGTGGTGCTGGTGGCAGAACTCGTGTCGATTCGTTTTGTGCATGTGGCCCAATTAGTCGATCTTCCGCGCAAGCTGCTCGAGCTAGGATTCGCGCATCCGGGGGGGGGGGGGGTTTGGGCCGCAGTTGCTGTAGACGGCGCTACGTTGGACTTCTTGCACTCGCCTGGCTTGTGCACGCAGGTTTAAGTTCAGAATTGCTGCAGGCTTGGACTGATGAAGGTCCGAGGACTGCAGGCGTCTGGTCTAAAACCGTTTCCAAAACCATGCTGTAATACATACATGTGTATATACAGATGTATGTACACTTACATATCTACGTGGATTCAACATCGCATCAAGCCGAATCAAGCTCGTCTTGCTCAGCGCTTTGTATGGCCAGGTGGCAGCTGCAGATGATCGCAGCTGGCTGGGCTTTTTGATCTGCAAGTCTGAGTCAGCCACGGGCGCTAGGTCCGCTGGGTCGACAGAAAGAAAGGGCAAGATGGGTGGTAATGGCGAGTCTCTTGACAAGTTTGGGTGGGATTGCTGTTCAAGGCCCCACTTACCAGTACTTACCCTGCGCAGACCAAGGTGTGCAGGGCCGTGCACCCTGGACGGCACCCAGCGTGTCCTGCCTCACACAGGCCTACGAGGCCCAGCTCGGAAAATGAATCTGCATCAGAGAGAACCTGGCATCCGGCTGGGCTCCGCGCAGGCTTCCAGCTTGGTGAGGACCACCACAGCTGCCGCCACCACGCTCACGGATGCCTGGCAGAATTAGCTTCAATGGGTCTCAGTCAAACTGGGCCCACGGGGTGCAATGGCCACATGCACTTGTGTGTGTGTGTGTGTGACATGAGGGTAAGGTTGGACAGTATAGACGAGATGACACAGGAACCGATCTCTGCTCGGAAAGTCGGGAGATGTTCGTTGCTCCGTGTTGTCAGCGCGGTGAGCCTTCGAATTGGAGGGCTCGCTAGGGCAGTGCTTACGGGAGGCTACCGTTCGTGCCCTCCCATGAACAACACGGTAGTACTCGTATCAAGAATATCTTTTTTGTTATTGTTCTAAGGGGGGGTATAGTACATCGGAGCCAGGCTACTACGACGGCTCCCGGGACATGTGGCCTGGAGTCCGAGGTGCCAGCTCGGATGTGGAAATGTTCCAGTTGTCGGATGAGCATCAGACCTAGATATCGTATATTATATGCCTATGTTATACACATATACACACATTAGGTGTATATGTATACATATATGTAAATAAGAAAAAACTCTATCTATGTGTGTATATATATACATACACATATGTCTCCTCGTTGCACCGGTGTCGGCCGGCGGTTCAGATGCTCCGCCGCAGCCTACTGAAAGCTCAGAGCTTCCAGTACTTCGGTCCAAGAGTTATAGTGCATCTGAGAGCCATGGTCAGAGCTGAACTTGCCTACCGCCTGACCTTCCTTGACGTGGTTGATGAGAAGACATGGATGGAGGATGCACCTCGTCGCGCCCGGAGTTTGTCCCCTACCCGGATGTCTGTGGCCGACCCGGAAACGGATCCTCCGGTTCAGGATGCCTGGGCACATCGTCAACTTCGCACTCTGCGGCAGGGGCAGAATGCCACCTTCGTCGATGCACCGCTCCCAAGTCGGGGCAGTGCAGGCCATCCGACCCTATGCAACAAACCATGCGTCGCCATGGCAAAGTGGGGTCAATGCCAGAGAGGAAGGGCCTGTGGCTTTTGCCACCACCAGCACGATGACGCGAAGCCCGACAAGAAGCAGCGTCTTTTGCTGAGCACGATGCCCAGAGCAGAGCTGCTCGGTCTTCTCGCAGATATGCTTCAGGAGCGTGCAGGGCAAGATGGACTCCATGATGTGAGCTTGGCGGTGGCAGTCCTTTGGCCGATATGGGCATTGTTTGCTGTGGCTGCTCGATGTGGAGCACCTGAAGACACGAATCCTTGAGCTCCCCAACATTGCCCGAAACCCATAAGCCCCGTCTGCGACGAGGTAGTTTCCGTCCAAGCAGGGCTTCTTCCAGGTCGTTTGCAGACGAAGCCTCGCAAGCTTCACAACCTGCGTCAGGTGCCGCGCACTGGCTGGGCACTCTTTGTAACATAAACGACTTGCATAACAACATGTTGATTGCGCGGGTCTGTGAGGGGGCTTAGAAAACATGGCGGGGGGCGAGTATGTATGTTAGGCTAGAGCTGGTCGTGGCTTCGAGGTGCTCCAGCATATTTGCTGGCTGGGGATGGAGGAATGTTCCGATTGGAGGCTCAAGATTTTGTGTTTCATGCGCAGGTGCTTCGGCGGATGAACTTCTCCGGCATCCTATCGATGGCTGCGAAGAGATGTCAAGGACGCAGCAAGGACGTGATGCTGCAGGAGTTGAGCGCTCTCCGTCGGCGTGCCGAGTGATCTGTGGGTCTTGTTTGAACCCGGCTGGCGTTTCAGTCGCTATCGCCGGTTCAGACCCGTAAGTACGGTCTCCGCGAACTGCGATGATAGCAGTGAGCCGACTGTTTTTCCATTTTCAGCATACAGTCGAAGCCCAAAAGTTGGAAACTCTATAGCCTCAATCCTTAAGAGTATTGTATAGGGACTCCCAGCACTATTTGGACTTAGTCCGGTTTCCTGTAAACAGAGAGTGCTTGCGAAGATTTTTTGCTGCAAGCACGAAAGGTGCAGCATCTCGAATAGTGGCTGTCAGGGGGGAGGCTGCTTGCGAGGCTACGAGCCTTCGAGACAGCCGAGCCTCATCTGGGTTCGGGGTCCTTATAATGAGTAAGGTTCCTACTATTTAGGGTACTATATAAGGGTCCCCCATTTTCAGGGTAATGAAGCTTGCCGACAAGGCAAGCTGTGCAAATCCAACAGTACGATTGTTCTCAACTCCAATATATCCGAGACATCCGGGCGTTTCCGAAGATTCGAATTTCCTTCAAGGGGACTTCACAAAGAAGTAGAAGATGTATGTTTTTGGATATCTCACTTTTTCGGAAACCCCCATCCAGAGATTGAAGATGTGAGATCGCGACGCAAGAAATTGAAGCCATTGCGAGGCAGCGGCGCGGCATTGCGGTATGTCAGGTTTTGGGGGGTGTCGCAGAGAAACATGGGGCTATACCCCTAAACCCTAAACCGTATTGGGTTTGGAGTTGGCACGAGGGTCGAACGAAGGCACGCTCCGGCAGCCGCCTGTCAAGCTCCTAGCGGCGTGGTGGCCCTGAACTAAGATCCCGTATATCACCACAAAATCCGAACTCTAAACCGCAAAACCCCAAACCCAACCATCCTAAACCCCAAATCCCTAAACCCACCTGAACCCCGAACCCCAACAAGCAGGTGCCCTGCTGCCCCGATGGAAGCTGCACCGACCAGTGCCGAGGCAGCGGCCCCCCTCAATCCCTCGGGGCCCCAAAGGAGCCTTCAAAAATACTACAGGGGCCTAAATAAGTACCTATACTATTTTCGGGGGTTCCTTATTTAAAAAATTGGTATAATGGGACCCTTTTTTTCTCAAACCCCCTAAACCCGATAGACCCTAAACCTCTTAACCCTATGAGAACCATATCTATACACCCTATTAAGTCAACCCTTAAGCCTTGCCTCTACCCCTTAACTCCAGAGGATCCTATAAGCCCTGAGCGCTGAAACCCTATGAGCCCTGTAAACCTCCTTAGCTCTCGGGATGAATCCCTTAACCATGTAAGCCCTATAAGCCGGTAAACCCTACCTAAACCCCCTTAACCCTATAAGCCTAAAATATACTTAATAGCTAAGTGGGTGACCTGTAAGGGTTGATATAAACCTACCATAATTGGAAAGGTTAACCATGTTTTGGGCTAGGGTACTCAGCCCCCGAGTATACGCGCCAAGCCCTTCAACCATGCCTTAACATTCAACCTCGCGAAAAAAGGGGCCTAAATAATGACCTATACTACTTTAGGGCACTATTCTAACGATTAAGGCCCCTCTGCCATAGAACTCTTTAAAGGAACCCGTGTTGCAAGGAACCCTATTCTAATTTTCCCAAGGCCCCTTTTTACGTAACTCTCGGGATGAGGGCTGCGAGCCCTGAGGCTCTGAGTGTTGCCCTACGCCCGAGGGTACGAGGACCTGCTCCTTGGCCTTAAGGCTTTTAGGGTTTACTAGGGTTCATAGGGTACAAACGTAGGCCTTAAGGCTTATGGAGTTTACTAGGGTTTATAGGGTACAAAAGTAGGCCTTAAGGCTTGTAATTATAGGGTTTACTAGGGTTCATAGGGTACAAAAGTAGGCCTTAAGGTTTATAGGGTGTACTAGGGTTTATAGGGTGCAATAGCAGGGCTTGTATACAATGAGGTATGCGGACTCAGGATAGTAGTTATGCAGGCTAGGATTTTGGAGAGTGCTTGTTAGGTACGGACCCTTGGGGTTAGGGTTTTCAAGGTTACAATAGGGTTCATAATAGGGTTCGGGGTTCAGAATGGGGTTTGGAATAGGGTTTAGGGTTACAATAACAGGGCTTATGGGGCTACAACAGGGCAACAGGGTTTAGTGGTGTATGATAGGGCTTAGGGGTTTACACTAGGGCTTGTGAATAGGGATCGGGGGTTTCTCATGGGGTTTAGGGGTATATGATCAGGTTTCGTGCTTAGAACAAGGTTGAGGGGTATATAATAGGGTTTGGGTTTGGAATAAAGTTTAGGGTTGTTCCAGAGCTCATGGAGGGGAGTGCCGGAGGGTCCGCGCTCAGGGGTTGAGAGATACTATAGGGGCTTCAACAATTGCCTATACCATTTTGGGGGGTTCCTTATTACAAATAAAAGTACAATGGGCCCCACAACCCTATTCTAATTTTTCAGGCCCCTATACTAAAACCCCCAAGCCCCGATAAGCCCTTAGCCTCACCCTATATGAAGCATTTGACTATTCAGGCCTCTATACTACTAAGACTAGGAACGAGTTGAGTCTTCAGAAGCCGGCTGTCCGCAGCAACTGCTGCTTCGATGCTACGGAGCAGGGCCAGATGAAATCGGGATAAGGCCCGGAGTAATTATGTAAGCCTTCGGGATTCAACACTGTGCTACTTCCAGGTGTAGCCTCCGATTCCGGTTACTATTCTTACATTACTGTCACTACTATCACTACTATTGTTGCTATTATTAGTTTTGCTAGTTGTATTGCTATTAAGATTATTGTTACTAGGTTGTTTCGGCGGAATACCAAGACAAGCCAAGGCCCATCTGCCTCTGTGGTCGAGGCCTGCGAATGGTTTTCCCCATGCCTGTATATTGTGTGATTATGCAATATTGATCTATAATTACATATTAATCTATGTGTCTATCTATATACCGTATTTCTGTATGTATATATATATATATATGATAGTATGTACTGTCCGGGGAGGGTGGTGAGGAGTTTGAGCGGCTCAGGTATGGGCTGCTGTTACAGGCTGCCACCTTGAGAACTAAGCTGTTCCTAGGTGCGGTCGCAAACTTCCGTACCTTCAGGTGGCCAGGTAATTGACGGGTCTTTTGGAGTACCTGCACTGTGTCTTTTGGGGGGAGGTTCCTTATTACAGGTATAGTATGATATCCCCCCAAAACCCTCTTCGAATTATAAAGATCCCTATATTATGGAACTATACTATAGACCCCTTACAGCTCCCTTTGGAGGAACGCTTAAAGGAACCCTATTCTAAATACTAGGGCCCCTCTGTTTTTAGCTCTTCCCTCCGAAGTCCCCAGCCTTACCTTTGGTTAGTAGGGAATGGAAGAATGGCAGTAATAGTAGTTATAATTGCACCCCATTCCTCCATTCCCTACTAACCAACGGTAAGCAGCGCAGCCGGGCGGAGGCTCCGACCTGCGAGCTGGGGAAGCGGCTCCTTGGCTTCCTTGGCTCGCCCTTTCAGCTTGGGAGCTTGGGCATGACATGGTGTTGTATTATATTGTTGTATTGTATTTTTACAGTGGAATTTATGTGTACATATGTATATATATATATAACACCTACAGATTATAACATGTATATGAGATGTAGAAATATATATGTATAAACACACACACACACACACAGGTGCAGATATAATTTGAATGTCGGGGGAAGGGTTCTTAATGTCACAGCTGGTGTTGGTGTTCGGCACATGACAACTCTGGCGGCAGCGATACTGCTACTGCTTCCTCTTCCTCTGCATCGTCCTTATCGTACCCGCAATCATGGTCACGATCATCATCTGCATGTGAACCATCATTCGTCATCTCATCACCGTTGCAAGTCATTGTTGTTGCCGTATGCGGTGTAGGCTTGAATTGTCCGATTGCCTGCGCTGCTCATGGTTCCATATCCCAGTCCTCACCACCTCGAGCACCGAGGTACGATTGCACTGGAAAGACGGGCGTCTCTGGCGCATGCCAGTTCCCGAACCCTCCAACGATTGGGTACCTGCCTGAGAAATGAAGCTCTCATGCCGAATGCACGTATTGAAACGTTTCGGCTTTGCGACGAGCCGGATCGCAGAACAGTGCGGAAGGTGCTTCGTGGGATGTCTGGGCGTGTTAGCGTTTGGCTTTTCCTGTGTTGCCCTTGTCTTGCACATAATTATCAGCCGTCTCTGAAGCAGAAGAAGCCGACACCTGGATGGTGGCCACTTCTCCCCTCCTTCTGCCCTGGAGCACTCGCCTTCCACTGCAACTTTCTTGCTTCCCAAGCCGCGATAACTTGCAACTTACATCAAGCTGAAGCTAGCTGACTACAGTGATCTGGATAGTCCTAATTGGGTTAAGTAAGGACCCTCCCAAAGGTACTTCTGGGATCCCTTCTGCCATTTCGGCAAGCTGGGCTGCTTCGCCGATGGTGCCTTTGATGCGGGTTCAGTTGCACCGGAGGCTTCTTAGGTTCGAGGCTCTGGTATTGTAGTTCCTTTTTGGGATTACCCAAAAGGATTCTGAATATTGAACCCCACAAAGGAACTAGTTCAAGCATCAAGGTGCAGAACTCAGAGCTTCGGAGTTCTTCTGGTGCTCGGGAGAAAGGTCCGTTCAGAGGCCTACATCTTGCCCCTAAACCCTAAGCCCCCAAACCTTAAACCCCTAAACCCTAAAACCCCTAAACCCTAAAACCCCTAAACCCTAAAACCCCTAAACCCTAAACCCCTAAACCCTAAGCCCCCGACGCGAAACTCTGCAGCCCTTGAGGTAAGAACGTGGAGTGCCGATTCTGTGGCTCTGGGGCCTTCCAGGCCGGGGCGCGGGGTTTGGAGGGAAGACTTCTCATTCGCCTCGATTTTTCTGGGATTCAGGATCCTAGTAGTAGAGTAGGTAACCTTTAATCTTCTTTAACCTTTTTTGGGTAGTAAAAACCCTATATAACCAAAAAGCGTAACCTTTAGTTCCCCATGATACCCGACAAGTAGGGGATATTCGGATATTGGTGAGGGACCAAGCTTTCTTCAGCCCCTTTGATTGGCCTTGGGCTCGACCGTCCTCAGGAAGTCCCATGCCAAACGACGACAACAACATCGACGAGTACCACGACGACCACGACTACGACCACCGCAGGCGCATTGCATGAGAAACTTTCTGTGTCCGTGGGTTTGTCTGTCTGTCTCTTTGTCTGTCTGTCTTTGTGAGACCTTGCCTCTGCATCATCTGTACGTATTGTACACGTATGATCCCCCACTGTTAACATTGGCTAGGAGCTTGGACCCGCGTCCGGAACCACCCATACCGCTAGCCAATATTCCGCTAGTGTCATCAGCGCTACAACGCCACGTCCGGACGCCAGAAAGCGGCTAAGCCGTTTTCTAACGACCCCCACCCCGAACAGGTAGGGGATCACGTATGTATGCATGTATTTTGGTATGACATGCTTGTCAACGTCTGAACGGATGAATGGATAGATGGAGGTAGTAACCTAAGTGTGGGTGCGTGTGTGTGTGTGTGTGTGTTTGTGTGTGTGTGTGTGTGTTTGTGTGTGTGTGTGTGTGCGTGTGTGCGTGTGTGCGTGTGTGCGTGTGTGCGTGTGTGCGTGTGTGCGTGTGTGTAATGTATGTATGGTATATTATGGTATGATACGGTAGGGTAGGGTATGGTATGGATGGATGGCAACGCAATGCGATGTAATTCAGGACGTATGTATGTATGTATGTATTCATGCATGATGTCTGCACGGTTCTTTGTTTGCTTGCCTTTTGCGTGTACCTACAGACACGCTACATATGTGTACACGAATACATTGAATACATATGCAATGAACTTGGCTTGGTAGTGGTGTGTTTGTCTGTTTGCTTGCTTGCTTGATTTGTTTGTGCTTGGGTATGTGTGCTGTTGTTTGTTTGTGTGTGTGTGTGTTTGCTTGTCTGTTTGCTTTTTTGTGTGGACTGTTTGTTTGTTTGTTTGTTTGTTTGTGTCTGCGTGTCGTTGGATTGCTTGTTGATTTGTTTGTTTGTTCGTGTGTTCGTGTGTCTGTTTGTTCGTGTGTTATGGTTTGCTTGCTTTTTGACTTGGGGGCTTGCTACTTGTTTGCCTATTTGTGTGGTTGCTTGTTTGTTTGGTTAATTGTTGTTGTGTGTGCGTGTGTGTGTGTGTTTGGCTACATGCTTGTGTGTTCTATGCGTCGAATCTTCAAATGCCGGCACATGCCTGCGTACATTTCTAAGGCATCAGAACACGAAGCGGCATAACGGCAACGCCGTAAGATGTACCCCCACATAGGCTCTTACCATGCTCGCGCACACACTCGCACATGTTCACAGTGTTGGTCTACGGCAGTGCTGGCTTCTTCACCTACTACTACCACAACCACTACCACTACTACTACCACTACTATTACTTCTACTACTATGTTCGCGTACAGAGGCGCATGTTCGGCCTTGGGGAACGTCCTCAAGCGCTGCTCCGATGACGGCTGCACGGTGCTGGCCGGCGGAATGCTGGGCAGGCCAGTAGTTGTCGCCACCGTTGCTGCTTGAAGTCGTAGTAGTAGTAGTAGTAGTAGTAGTAGTAGTAGTCGTCGTCGTCGTCGTCGTCCTAGTAGTCGTTCTAGTCGTAGTCGTCGTCGTAGGAGCTATAGCAATCGGTCGGCGTCGTTCTGAGGTCGCACTATGGCAGAAATGGCAGAAGTTGTAAGTACTGCTACAACAAGTACTACCACCGCCGCCTCTGACCCTACTCGTACAATCATGGTACAAGTACCTGCACTGATGCCAGAAAAGTTTGAAATGCGATCTGCAAGAGACAGAGACCCGAATTCGTTTTTCAGCGGACAAGCCGGGTGTCTAGGCTGACATTGTTCGTTTCGAGCCACGAAGTTCGGTTGGAGCTTCGCGCAGGTCCTGCCATGACTACTGTGAAGAGCATCATTTGCTCTGCGCTGGGGCGCTGGGATCCCAGAGCTTGCTTTTGAACTTGGCTTTGGCTTAGCTGGCAACTTTCATCTTCACTCGTGGTGGGCCCGGCTAGACCCATGTACTGCTTCAGAGCTGGTTGAACAGGCTCGCACTTGACTCGGCGGAACAAACTGTAGTGCCTGTAGCTGACACAAGCAAGTTCGCACGAGCCTGGGAGGAGTTCGGGTGGCAGCTGTCTCGTCTTGTTCGGCAAGGGCTGCTCAGGGATTGGGTATTGGGCACTTGAATAGCGCCTGTCATATGTGTATAGATTCATACTATGTGTATATATATATATACACACAGTTTACATATATACATACCCTGTGTGCATCTGCATAGACGCACAAAATATGCACACATGCTCCGGCCCGGCTCAGCGAATCATCAGTGTGGCATCGCGGCACAAGCATATACGTACATAGACTGGCAGGCACAGATATATCTATCGGGCACATGACATTGGTAAAGTGCGCACATACATCTACAGGTACATACACTTGCCGATATGCCTACTGATACACGTGCACGTGTAGGTATACATATACCGTTATACGAATGCATATACAGTATAAGTCTGCACAGACTCCCTTGCATGTGTGTATATACACCCACGTACCTTGATTGATGCCCTTGTCAGCACCGAACCACAATGATCCCAGACCTGTCTTTCAGGCCTCATCAACCGCGGGTTCCAGAAACCCCAGAAATGGTTTTGAACACTAATGGCGGGTTCCAGAACCCTCGGATACGGTTTCGAGTTTTCCGAAGCTCCACATCAGCTGCACATGTCCCGCACGATATGATCTCGAGACGCTGGTGTCTGATGGGAGCACACGGGTGAGATAAGTCAGTTCTTGCCTTGGAGCGCGGTGTGGTCTATTGCGCCATTGAATCTGCTAACCGAGGGTTCTACGGACCCAAATCAATGGCCCACAAACCTCGAGCAGAGCCCAGGTGGGAGGATTTGGACGACGGTTGTGAAGCCCTCACATCCCTGTCGTGTACGGCCGTGTATCAGGCAGGGAACCTGCATGATACAATACTGACAGCCTCCGAACTGCTGCGCGCTTTGCAAAATTAGCAAGGCTGTGTAAGAGCAGCAGTAGCACTGGCAGCACCAGCAAGAGTAGTAGCAGTAGTATAGCGTCCTCGAAGGTGTTGGCATTGGCGCCCGTCCTGCAGCCAATATTTCGGATATGCGTGTCTTACGTTTTCCGATGCGAGTGTGATGTGTGTGTTTCGTGCTTGTGCCGTGCTGTTGTCCTGCGGCCCTCTGGTCATCTTCAAGTCGTCGATGCATACGCTGTCAGTGTGTGCTCATCAAAGAAGGGTTGTGTAGCCGGCTCATAAACTCTTAAACCATATACGTGGTTGCAGCATCGGCTGTTTTTGTTGCTCCGATGCCTTGATGCTCGGGAAGATTTTGGGGCTGCAGCGGGTCTTACAGAGGCCACTGCAGCAGCTAACTGACTCACAAGAACGGGAACGATGCTGATCAAAGTGACAAGCGGTGACAGTAGCGACGATGCTGAATATGATCGTGCTATTCGTAGTCGAAGCCTTCTCCGTAGTAGTCGTAATGCAGTTGTGGGCAACACAACACTAGTTTCACCAGTACGTAAGGAACCAGAATAAGACACTCACACGGGCAGCAGTTGCAATGGTTTGAGACCCGGGTGATGATGGCAATCGCCATCCCTTTCATCATACACATCGCCAGAGTATCAGTGGAACAGTCCTAACGGGATGAAACCCCAGCTGCTAGCTCCTTAAACGAAGTTTCATATCAGAGCGACTCGCCGTAGACATGAACACACCACATGCATCGCCCCATCTTGTTGCCACAGAGCCCAGTACCCTTGTGTTCAGGAAGGCACCTTAAACCATCCAGTACCCATGGATCAAGGAACGTGCTTTAACTTCAACCTATCCAGGACTAGGGCCTCTTACCACGGCCTTGTAGGGTCTTTTGAGTCTATTCCTTGATATGATTTTGCTGGGGCTGTTTGGGCTTGTCCTCAAGAACCAAACCGCAAGTTGAGCCAGGGCACCCCGGACCTCATCTGCCAGTGCGCCCCAGTGCCGCCCCCGCCTTCGATCTGGATCCAGCTCCCCGACAGCTTGAGGGTTTCGGGGTCTCGGTCTCGGGCTTTAGGCTTTGGCTTCGGTCAGAGAATTTTGGAGGTTGCAGTCATCTTGGGCTCCTTATCTCCATTGATGAATAATATGTGGAATACTTTGTGGCAGCGAACCTAGGAGGATCATAAGTGCAACTCAGAGTCTACAAGATGAGCCGGATCCCAACACGCACCACATCGAGACCACAGCCACATGTAGATTTTGAAGCGATCATGCCGGCACCCTTTGCCACACATTGTTTTCCTACGGCTCAGGTACTCGGATGGACAATGCCTCATGGCCAAGGAGCGGACAGGGGGTGCAATATAGCGGCCGGAAGAATCAATACAGCATTCCTTATGGTTCCCAAATGTTTTCGTAGGAAAGGACTCCGCTATTTTCTTGTCTAACTTTCCAGACCCCTATGTTAATGATTACTATTGCCTGCTGTTAAGGATTCAATTCCAACGCAGAGAAAAGCGCATGCTTCGATGCAGGGGGCTTTCTGTTGGAATAATGTCAGTCCTCCGAGGAGTACAACCGCTCTGGAGCTGCAGTGACCCTTGGCTAAGTCTGTTGTAGCTCAAGGATTTTTGGTTCACAGTTCTAGGATTCAGCATGTTCTGATTCCGAAGCTTTGTTTGGGTTCCCGGGGTCACGATCTTACTTTCAGGGCTTTTGCCCCCCCCATGTCTTGCTGCTTAGAGTTCTGGAGAGGCAGATGCTGGCTCAGCCTCGAGGGAGAAATTCACATACCCGTGCATAAGCTCGCGCCGGTGTAAACCGCCATCCTTCGCCTGCCAAGTACATTTTTCAAACCTTGCCCTGTGCCTTGAACTCTAAACCTGAAGTCGCAGCAAGGAATCTTCATCGCTGCTTCCTGCCAGCTGTGCCTGCAGAGCATCTCGGTCCTCCAAGCTGCTCCAACATGGAGTTCACCCTAAAAGTTAATGTTGCGGGGGGTGTGCTTCGACGACTTGCGGGCTTCGGGATAGTTTCGGGTTGCCCGAAGCGCAACAAGAGTAATACGTAATAGCAGCAGCATCAGCAGCAGGTGGTGGTGGTGGCGGTGGTCGGCACGAGTCGTGTCAACAGTTAGCAAATTCAAGAAGACTGAACAACATATAGGCAGAAATAGAGAGGAGACAAAACCGCTTCGACTGAGGCAGTGGCTGCACCACCCTTCGACGGGGCAGCTGACCAATGCAGAGGATACTGTCGTAGCGCTTTCTGCAAGATTGTGCAGGCGTCATCCGTTGTGGATAAATTTGGGTTTCTACCGCGATGCAGTTGCTGAAGCCACCCGGCTCCCGAAGTCACAGCTGAAAGGCACGGCTTCCCAAAGCAAAGCCTAAAGCTTCGAACAGCGCAGGAGAGCTTGCGATGCCTCCATGCCGCCGAGAAGACGACCCCAGGCTCGGGACTACTCACCTTGGCGAGGGCCTTTCTTTCAGGGTTCGAAGGGTGGCAAGGGTCTTGGGATTTCTACCCCCTCCCCCCATCTCCCCCAATGTTACATCAAGATTGCGTTTGGGAGGCACGCTCCTCGTGATGTGGCCTTGCTCTGATGAGGAGCCGGCACAGTGTCTTAGTCGCACCAGGGATGGAGCAGAACCCATGCAAGACCTGGCGGTACCTCGACATAGTCCCTGAGTATGCGGCTTATGTGCGGTTCAATAGACAAGTATGTAGGTGCCTAAGTAAGCGAGCAAAGCAGTAGACTGCTGAACACACGCACCTCAGTTTTATGCATCTATATCGTTTAGATTGTGCGTGATTTGTATGTAAGCATGCATGCCTGCATGCATGCACATGTACTTGCACCTGCATGTTACATATATGTAGGTACAATACGTGCCTAATTATGCCACATGGTATGTATGTAACATGCATGTATGCGTGCTTGCACGTACGGATGTTTGTATGCATGTATGTCTGTGTCAGTGTGTGTATATGTGTGTGGGTGTGTGCATGCGTTGGCATATGTGCATACATATTGGTCATACGATGTATGTGTACTGGACATGTATATGGACGTGTATATCGATGTGTGTGTGTGTGTGTGCGTATACAGGCATGTGTGTGTGTGTGTGTGTGGAAATACACACATATGTATATATATATATATATACACACATACAAGTGTGTACAATTGTGTATATATATATACATATTGTGTATACATGTGTCGTGTATAAGTGTATGTGTGCATGCAGGCATGGATGGATGGATGGATGGATGGATGGATGGATGGGTGGATGTAGCTAGGTTATGTCGTGTATGTGTGTATGTATATATGTATATACATACATACATACATACATAAATGGCTGTGCCTGTGTCCTGTGTGCACGTGAGTGAAGATGTATTTGTGTTTGTGTGTGTGTGTGTCTCTGTGCGTGTGTGTATGCGTGTTTGCATTTTTGCAGTGCTGTGCATGTATGGATGCATGGATGGATGGACGGATGGATGGATGGATGAATGCGTTTATATGCAATTATGTAAGCATTTATGTATGTCGGTATGTATTATGTATGTATGCATGCATGCGGTATGTTGGGTATACCCTGAGCAGAGACTAAATGCGCACACTCAACATGCAAGGAACTTCACGCTGGATGAGGTCACCGGTCAGATACGAACTGCAGGCCGCAGGATGTTCCCGGGAAAGCGTTCCATTCAATAAGGTCTGCACAGCTCAGGGTGTCAGTTAGTCTATGGTTTTAGCAGCACCGGAATGTCAAAAAGGAGTAATTAGCAAAATCAGCACAATCACTTCAGCGCCACGTCTGCATTAAGAAGGAGTTGACGACAGGGAAGGGTACGGGTCATGGTGACCGTGACGATGGTGGTGACGAGGATGTTGATGCTGCTGTCGGCGTCATGATGGTGCTTGTGGTCGTGCGAATAGTGCGAATCATTTAATGACACTTGTCATTCTTCCTTTTGTCAACTACGAGTTTTTGTGGAGCCAACTCTTGCGGTCCGTCGACACTTAAGTTGGCGGATTCCAGGAAAAAGAGTGTTTGTGTTGCTTTGGTTGCGGCAATTGCGTACGGGTAAAGTCCAAGACATGGTGACCGTCTGATCGGCTTCGGCGTGGAGAAGGGTGACTTCGCCGAAACCTTACGCCGTATATTCCCCGCGCCGTTACATTGTCCGGTGTAATAGCTACTGTCTCCATGGACATGCATACAAAACACATGGCCTGTCTCCCTCTCACTGCATACATACATATATATATATATATATATAGTTATATATACACATACCCACATATGCCCACACACACACACACACACACACACGAATTCTCGTCACGGCTTTTCCGATGGGTCCCCTTTGAGGCTGCTGAAATCCGAGAGCCGACGGTGCAGCCCAAACTCCAGACATCCCGAGGGCTTGAAGCCCAAGGACACCCACACCCGAAGGGTTTAGGGTTTAGGGGTTTAGGGGTCGCCACGCACCGGGGAATCTCCCACAGAGCAAGACAGCTTCGCAGACCAGGTGGCCTGTGCCTCGAGGTTCGCCCCAGGCCGGATGTGGAGTGGAACGAGGCGGGCTTTCGGTTTAGATTTCAGGGGCTGGGGAGTTTGAGCTTTAGGATGGACACATGCTAGGGTCGAGATGGGAGCTGATTGGCTGGGGATGTAGGGTTCAGGGAAAGAGGCGATTCGGCACTGAAGGCATGCAATCGCCTTCCCAGGCGCTTCAACATGCGATGTACTTGCAATACAACAACTCATAACATACGACGACTGAACAATGGTCCTCAAGTTCGAGAGCCTGAGGTGGTTACCGCTGTCTGCACGTCCGAGGCCAACCAGTTCCTCGGTTCGCTTGGTCGGGGCTTCTTAGAATTATGGGTACCTTCTTTAGTGGTCCTGTAAATTCAGAAGGGATACTACTACTAAGTCGATGGTTGGGTAGCTGTCATTGGTTTTAGGGGGGGCAAATGCCCACTGCGAGACATCAGGATGTGGTATTGGGGCGAACAGCAGCTCGCCACCACAACCACCACTACCGGCTGGACGGATGGGGCCTCAGAGCTTTGGGCTGGGTTCAGGAACCTTTGACGTGCAGTGATCTTGTCCTTCTTCTCTGGGTAGCATCGAAAATGGACCTTTCTAAATATAGCTCCATCCGAAGCTCAAAGCCCCAAGCCTTAAAGGCCCTTTCTCTCCAAAACCCGAATCCCACAAGCTCCAATGCCCAAGCCCTAACCTCCCCTCCCACCCCCCCCCAAAAAAAAAAAACAAGTGAAGAAGCCAGACAAGCTCAGCCTGGAACCCGCCCTCCACACCCGCAGGACCTACCCTGACCCCACGCAAAAGACATAGCAAAAAACCCTATAGATTTGGCCCGAAGTCCAATAGCCCTATAAACCCTAAACCCTAGCAACCCCGAAACTCCCAAATGTTGTTTGATCCCCCAAAAAACCTCTAAACTGCCCTGGACCCTATAACTTTATACCCTAAAAACCCTAAGACCCCCTTATAAACGCTCTAAAATCCAATAGCGCCCGAGGCCTCCTGGGGCCGGCCCAGCCCCAGCCAAGCGGGGCTCCTGGAGCGGCAAAGCGGCAGCAAATGCGCTGCGAGGAGCGGGGCGAGGCGGGGTGTGTTGTTTAGGGGGCAGAGGTTGAGAGGTTTGAGCTTTGGAGGTTCAGGGTTTAGGGGAGGTTTTCGGTAGAGCCCTTGAAGGTTCACGGCGTGGTAAAGGGTGCAGAGTGCAGGTAGGTGTTGAGGATTTGAGCTGTTGGGCTTCAGCCTTGGGGGGGGTATGTGGCTGTGTTATCTGAGGTCAGGACCGTGAGGTGCTGGCTGCTGGCAGCTGACAGGTTTATTGACTTTTCCTTCTCGCTGCGTTTATGTCCACTTCCTTTGGACAGCAAAGCTTTGAGAGATCCTAAACCGTAAACCCTGAAGGATATATGCAGAAGGCAAGGCTCCCCCCCCGTCCACAAAAATCGCCCAATCCCTCAGCCCTGCCCTCAGCTTGGTCACGGCGGACTGCGACGCAACCAGCAGCACGGCTTGAGTTGTTTGCATGGCGCGGGGTCCCTATGTAAGCCCAGCCGGAAACCGTCAGCACACGAGATTTGTGGTAACAGGTGACATGGCTTTGCTGAGAGAGAGAGCCCTACATCACAAATTTGTTAATGTGTGTGTATACATGAAAGTATAACTCGAGAGCGAGACAGAGCTATAGTACTGTGACACTCATGGCTTTCTGCATGTTGGGCTTCTTCGGACATTTTCAACCGTGCAGACCCAGGCTTGGACCAGTACATTGCCTACAACCAGACAATTCTGCAGCTGTCTGTGGCAAACGGCGAGTGCGTGCAGAGTGGAAGTCGCTTGTTCAGGTTATAACTTTAACTTTTGGGTACAGGTGTGGTCTTATTGCTGTCGGTCACTCGATCTGTGATTCTGGTTGTGATGGTGTTCGTCTGCGCTAATGTGAGCACCTTTTGTTCTTCGTCGAAATATCGGGTGCAGCATCTACCCGCGAAGCGGCTACTACTGACTATAGTGGCAACAGGATTGCACGCCTGAAGCGGATACGCGACGTTTTGCTTTCGGGCACCACACGTACAAGTCAGAGCCGAAAGAGCAAGAAGCCTCATTGGATCCGGGGTTCTACGCTGAAGCATCGACTCCCTGAGCTAGGCATCGTTGGGGCGGTCCTCACAGTGAGGCCATGCGAGGACATCAGGCTTCAGCGCTTCGCAGCCCGGATCTACTTCGAGATTCGGAGCCTGAAATTCGGATTTATCGCCTTTTTTTGTGAAGGTCGAGCCTGGAGGTCGGGTTTGGGGTTAGGTCATACACTGTTGAGGCCACACATGATGCAGCTTCCGGGCACGGACAGCTGAGGCCTACGACCAGACGGCGGGTCTTGTGTGGAATCCGCGGCTGGGCTGCGAAACCTTTGACTAATCCTTTGAGAGAATCTTAGGCTTGATCAGAGGATGCAAATCTCTGCCCTAAACACTAAACCCAACACCGTAAGCCCTTTGCAGGGCCAGACTGGCCTTCTGGGCAGCATTACTCCCATGATCTCTGATGTCTATAGGATGGTCCAAACCTTGACTTACACCCTGATTCCGCCTCTCAACAATCCTGAAAGTCCTAACCCGTAGGAAACAAAAATCGTCATGACAATAATGCAACATATAAATACCGATAATATTATACATAAGGCCCATACCCGAGACCCATGGGCATGGCATTTGGAAGGTGGGGCCTTTGCGTGGAGGCAGTGGACACAGGCCTGGGTTTCAGAATCTCAGCAAGGGATCTTCCGGACTTTCATCGAAGTAGAATCAATGAAAGTAGCGTGCAGTATCGTGTGATATACAAGTCTTATGATACAAACGATTTTCTATGGTTAACGGCAGCATGGTGAGAGAAGGAAGACGTATTTCTTTGGTGGCTGTACCCGTCGCACAGCCTGAAGGGAGTGAATCCTCTTGCAGGCTTTGCACGATCCCGGCTGTGGCGAGACCAACCCTTACGAGCCCCAATCCCAACTCCTTAGCCGCAGCCTTTTAGCTTGCAAGCCCTGAACCCCGAAGCTCGAAATACTGCGGCCGCAAGACCCTCAAAAAGGCAGACACCGTAAACCCTCGAGAAGAGGTTCGGGACTTCGCATGGCAGCTTGTGATCCGGACAACTCCAGGCAGCATTGGCCGCTTGGTTCTGGAGTGGTTTGCGGTTAAGGCTTCGACAGCACTCAGGGGCTCGGGGTGATCACTCGATATCAAAGGCTTTGGGTTTACATGGCTTGCAAAATTTGGTATTATTTTGGCAGAGCTCAGAGCTCAAGGTTTGTGGGGTTGCGCGGTATGTCATGCACTTGCCCTTTGTAGCCCAGAGGCCCTCGGCAGCCTCAGCCGAGCCGTTCGAGCGCAAGTTGCAGACTCCCTTCGAAGCCAGCGAAGCAGAGTCATCCTATAGGCCCGTATAGAGAGACATCCCTGGACCCTATGCCATAAGCACTCCGTCCATGGCTTCAGACGACCTGCTGCTGGACCATGTCCATTCTACCCTCAAGCCCTACAAGCTGGACTGGGTAACTTTGGCCGAGGCGAATCAACGGAATCGCCACCACGACGCAGACGCCGGTCTCGATGGGATTCCACGTAAGGCCCGGTAAAGGTGCAGAAATGTAACAGCCGTTGTCTTGCGTGCACCCTGGGTCAACACTCCCTATTGTTACTATGCTGAGCATAGCATTTGGCTTTCGCCTTCTGCATCTTCTTCCTGGCACCATTGCCATAGCTGTGGTCAATCTCAGCCAGAATTTTATCAGTCATTGTCGTCATACTTCTGAGAACATGCACATATACAAGTCTGAGCATGACCTTGTTTCCGACTGGTGGGCTACGACTGAGCTGCCACCTGAGCTCGCTATGCGGCTACTTCTGTTGTTGGATCAAAGGGGAAAAGGAGGGACCCTTCATGGTGACCCCTACCTTATATTGGGCTATATAATGGGTATATAATAGCTATATTAAGGGTATATACCTTGGGGTCCTTATTAAGGGTCGCTCCTTTTACCCTTGGATTGGAGGCTCAAGTCCGGCATTTGCCTGGCGGCCAAGGATGGCAACTCCAGGTGCGGGCAGGGCTTTGGACCTGGGGGGGATTCGAAGTAATGCAGGGGCCCTAATGATTACCAATACTATTTTGGGGACCAGGGTAAATAGAGCAGGGTTTGGGTCCCATTGAATTATATTCACAATAAGGAATCCCTCAAACAGTATTGGTAATTATTTAGGCCCTATACATTGAGGGGGCTTCGAAGCACCCTGCCAGCGGACCCAGAGGGTTTCGGACAGTATTGCTGGCCGGGTCGAAGACGTCGCTAAGCCGCCTTTCAACTTGTGGATCTCGCCCAGGAGCAGTCTTGAGATGCGCTCTTGCGACGTCAGCGATGACCTTCAGGAGCCTTTCGGGTGTCTCCTTGATGGGACATGAGAGTTTCCGAAAATCAGGGTATTTCAATACAGTACCCGAAACAGTAGGATCCTGGATCCTTACTATCAGGACCCCCAAAATAAGGTAACCCCAATTTCGGAAACTCCCACATAGCTTGCGGCTTCCAGAAACTGAGAGGAGCACACTTGACATTCGACGTAGTTGTTTTCACACTTCGCGAGCCCTGAACAATGGAAAGAAGCATCGTCGACGAAGCCATGAAGTGCGAGATTCGGATGTGTTGGGATCATGTGCCCTCACCGAAACCTCAAGAATCCTGGAGCCTCTTGAGTGTTGAGCCGCCGGATCCCGGGCAGACCTGGTTCTACGACGAGAGTCTCGAGCAGTTCAGGCCAAACCAGGGGCTAAGTTTGTGGCTTTCTAAGTGGACTGGTTTATTGCCCTCCGACGAAGAAAGGCGGCTTCCTTTGTTTGCACACAGAACGGGTGTTTTGGATGCCGCTCCTATCTCAGAGGTCATCTATCGATACTGCGACAATCTCACAGCTCTTTGTCCTGAGCTTTTGTGTCTTGGCATCACTGGCCTGTTCGCATGGCAGGAACGGCCTCGGGAAATGCCTCATGGCCCCACATGCCGGTGGCATCCGTCAGGCCAGGCCGTATCCGCCCCATGGCAACTGGTGGGATGCCTGGGGATATGTCCGACTACATAGACCAACATGGAGTGGCCGAGCTCTGGCACGACAGATCCTTTTTGCTGCTTTGCTGCTGCTTGCAGCACTAGGGTCCCGTAGATGTGCCCCTCCAAAGACTACCTCACTCTTGAAGCAAAGGACCCGCAAAGTCCTAGTGGTAGGAGGCACTTGCAGACTTGGCCCTCATGTGCCACGTTCAGTCGTCCAGGCAAAGCTCTCCTTCACTCCGGTCCGTGGTGGTGAAGACATCGCCTGCCGGGGCACCGACTGGCGCCTGCAGCCTAGCCGGGGTTTGCGTTGACATTGGGTGGTTGTCAAAATTAGGGTCCCTTTTTGGGTCCTTATTATACTGCGGCGCCTATATTATTCAGGGTACCCAAAAAGGGACCCTAATTTTGACAACCACCCAATCTCACAGGTTGAGTCAGCGGAAATTCGGCGCTTGACGGCCGTGCAGCCATGGCATGGGCCCTGCCCAAAGCTGAGGCGACAATGACCGGTCGAATTACATCGCGTTTCTGAGAGTCGACGATCTGGAGACGTGCCAGGGCTACTGCAGCGAGAGGCGCGTATCATGGTGATGGGGGCTAGATGTAAGCTGCAATCATACTTCCTCAGAGTTCCTCCTGTTCTTGCAGGATCACCCTGCCCCCCACCCGAAAACCCAGGCCACGGTCATCGTCAGAGCATTGGTGTAGTCGCAACTACATTATGCTTTGCTGTTATACGCCGAAGGGTAAGGTTTTGGCCCAAGCCGACAGCAACACTAGTCAGATCAGATATCTGGCGAATCTCTTTCAGCGGTTCCTGCAACAGCCAGTGAAGACGATGCACTGGTGTCAAGTGATCGCAGCCCTTGCAGCCACTGCTGGCTTGGCTGGAGTGGGCAGGATCGGTGTGAACAGCGCCTGGGATAGATGGCAGACTGCGGATGGAACGGTGGAGACGTTCTGCTCCGACGTCGTGGAGGTGAAGATGTGCCACGCCAAGTGTGGCCACGATGGCGCTTGCCACAAGGCGTGCCCCATGCCCAAGGATGCTGATTTGGAAGCTAAGCTGGCGAGCAAGATGGAGTGCCATGACAAGTGCGGGGCTGACCGTGAGTGCCACCGTGCATGCGGCTGCCCATTCCAACAGCTGCAGGACAAGTGCCCGATGCTGGAGCATTTCCACCACCATCACCATGGCTGGCACCATGACTGGCATCCGGCCGTCGTGCAGACGGCGTTCTGCTCCGACGTCGTGGAGGTGAAGATGTGCCACGCCAAGTGTGGCCACGATGGCGCTTGCCACAAGGCGTGCCCCATGCCCAAGGATGCTGATTTGCAAGCTAAGCTGGCGAGCAAGATGGAGTGCCATGACAAGTGTGGGGCTGACCGTGAGTGCCACCGTGCATGCGGCTGCCCGTTCCAGCAGCTGCAGGACGAGTGCCCGATGCTGGAGCATTTCCACCACCATCACCATGGCTGGCACCATGACTGGCATCCGGCCGTCGTGCAGACGGCGTTCTGCTCCGACGTCGTGGAGGTGAAGATGTGCCACGCCAAGTGTGGCCACGATGGCGCTTGCCACAAGGCGTGCCCCATGCCCAAGGATGCTGATTTGCAAGCTAAGCTGGCGAGCAAGATGGAGTGCCATGACAAGTGTGGGGCTGACCGTGAGTGCCACCGTGCATGCGGCTGCCCGTTCCAGCAGCTGCAGGACGAGTGCCCGATGCTGGAGCATTTCCACCACCATCACCATGGCTGGCACCATGACTGGCATCCGGCCGTCGTGCAGACGGCGTTCTGCTCCGACGTCGTGGAGGTGAAGATGTGCCACGCCAAGTGTGGCCACGATGGCGCTTGCCACAAGGCGTGCCCCATGCCCAAGGATGCTGATCTGCAAGCTAAGCTGGCGAGCAAGATGGAGTGCCATGACAAGTGTGGGGCTGACCGTGAGTGCCACCGTGCATGCGGCTGCCCGTTCCAGCAGCTGCAGGACGAGTGCCCGATGCTGGAGCATTTCCACCACCATCACCATGGCTGGCACCATGACTGGCATCCGGCCGTCGTGCAGACGGCGTTCTGCTCCGACGTCGTGGAGGTGAAGATGTGCCACGCCAAGTGTGGCCACGATGGCGCTTGCCACAAGGCGTGCCCCATGCCCAAGGATGCTGATCTGCAAGCTAAGCTGGCGAGCAAGATGGAGTGCCATGACAAGTGCGGTGCTGACCGTGAGTGCCACCATGCATGCGGCTGCCCATTCCAGCAGCTGCAGGACAAGTGCCCGATGCTGGAGCATTTCCACCACCATCACCATGGCTGGCACCATGACTGGCATCCGGCCGTCGTGCAGACAGCGTTCTGCTCCGACGTCGTGGAGGTGAAGATGTGCCACGCCAAGTGTGGCCACGATGGTGCTTGCCACAAGGCGTGCCCCATGCCTAAGGATGCTGATTTGCAAGCTAAGCTGGCGAGCAAGATGGAGTGCCATGACAAGTGTGGGGCTGACCGTGAGTGCCACCGTGCATGTGGCTGCCCGTTCCAGCAGCTGCAGGACGAGTGCCCGATGCTGGAGCATTTCCACCACCATCACCATGGCTGGCACCATGACTGGCATCCGGCCGTCGTGCAGACGGCGTTCTGCTCCGACGTCGTGGAGGTGAAGATGTGCCACGCCAAGTGTGGCCACGATGGCGCTTGCCACAAGGCGTGCCCCATGCCCAAGGATGCTGATTTGGAAGCTAAGCTGGCGAACAAGATGGAGTGCCATGACAAGTGCGGTGCTGACCGTGAGTGCCACCGTGCATGCGGCTGCCCATTCCAGCAGCTGCAGGAGAAGTGCCCAATGCTTTCCGTGCATCAGGGTAAGCTACAGAAGCTTCATATGCTGCCGACTATCCTCATGTAATGAGATGTGAAAGGTGTTGCTGCTAGTGTAGCTAGGCTCAGCACTTTGTTGTGCTCTTTGGCATGCCTGGCATGCTTGTACAGCAACGACGAGCTCCCAGCCATTGTCTGATGCCAGGAGCTTTGAGCATACTTTACTTGTTTATGACAGGCGCGGGCCTTTTGTATTTTTTGGTGGCTTGGGCCCAGAATTTTAATGGAATCGAATTGTTTACCCATCCTCCTCAGGCAGGCAGGAACAGCCTAAGGCTGAATCCCCATTTTCTCCGCGTGCTGGAACTGTGAACATGATCCTGATTTGTAAGGAATGAAACAAGATGACGATCATGCAGGAGTTTGTTGGTCCACGCAAACCCCATGCATGGATGGAGCGCTTCCAACCGTGCATAAGGAAACCCTGCAGAAGCAGAACGCTCAAAAGGCATCTATGTCAACCGGCTCAAATCTCACATCGGGTTGGGCTTGGCTTTTCTACCGGTCTTTCCTCACAAAATCCTTGAGCTGCTGCCCATGATAGGGTCCTGGCCTTTGAAGCCAAGCCTCAAAGGCTACAATCCCCCAAGCCGAGTCTTCTCCACAGCCCATGAAGCTGAGACTCTGCATCCCTAAGCCTACGCCATTCACCAGACTTCCTCCGCTTCGGCCAGGGCCTCGTGCATGGGCATCGAGTTCAACCCCAAAATGCGGCGCTGTGAGGTCTGGACCAAAGCCGTCCGGAGTCCCAGTCCCTTCTTATCCGCTGATTCATCAAAGGGGCACCTTAGGACTATAAGACCTAAGCCCTGAAAGGCTCTGTAAGCGCATGACAACCCCGAGCCCCCCTGTCACCGAGAGTTTGCTGGGACTACATCGATGTAGAGGCGCTGGATGACAGGCCTTGTGCGCCAGAGTCCAGCAGGAAATCGGTCTGGCGATGCCAACACCGCGAAGCACCCTTTGAAGGGGGGAAGATCCCTAAACCCTGGGAAAAGAATCGCCCAGGTGCAGACCGGAGTGATCGCAAGTGGCTTCACGTGCTACACAGCCTCGCTGGTCTTTGCCCCAGTTTGCCAGTCGGAGTCTGGGCGTTTTGGCCTCGTACTGGAGCAGGAAGCAAATTCTAATAAAGAGATTCCTTAGTAATTTTAGGTCTATATCCTATGCTTATATTTATTATTAGTTGTAGAATATTATTACCTAATTCCTGATGCTAGCGACTTGACATCTTGAAGATATGCAAAGTCCAGTCCGATCGAAGCTCGGGCTCAAGATCTGCTGACATGAAGCCCGTGAATCGAGATCGTTTCTTTCCGAGGGATAGATGCAGAATCGGCCGAAGCCCAGAAGGCGTTGGAAGGTGCCAATATGACATTCCGGCCTGGATCGAACAAGTTCGCTTTTTGAGGCAGCCCGAACCCGTCGTGGGTCCGAGCTATTAGCAAAGATCTGCGTCAAACTGGGAGTGGACTTGTCCGCCGTAGACACAAACCAACAGACCCTTCTATTCCGCGCTGCATCGAGAGGCAATATCGCAATGTTGAGCTGTCTAGTGAATCTGGGGTTCGAAACGAATTCATCGGACGGCTTGTTCCTTTAAAACCGTCCACCTTCAACCTCAATCAGATCCCAACACCTCCGACCCCTCATCCTCCGCAGACGCACCCAGGAGGATCCCACGCTGGCAATCTTCGAGGAAGTGGACGGGGGCTCCAACCGCGTGTGTCGAGGAGAATCCCCAGGCTTGGCTGATGCGGATTCGTTTCGGACTTCAAGCGGTCGGGGGATGATTCTGGCATTGGGTTTAGGGTTGCTTCGGAAGATTCTGTGGCGTTCGGGTGTCTGATCGGTGGTCCAAGGCTTGCTGCTTTGCAATCTCGGCATCAAAACGGTTCTACTGGCAGCATCACTCCTTTGTCCAGGAAAAGGACCTTCAGCCCAGCCTCAGTAGTGATACGGAAGGGACTATCGTTGCACATCATTCGTCGCGAATGTGCAAAAGAGAGCAAGAGAGGGCATCCTGCTGAGGTGACAACAAAGCGTCGTACTTCAAGGTGACTACCGCAGAATCGAAGGAGGCACCGGCTGTGAGGGATTTATTCAGGAAAACTGCGTACAGCTTACGCTTCCCATACTCGGATCTACGGGACTTGGGAAATTATGTAGGAACCTGATTAAGAAGCCTTGGGTCCTAATTAGGGTTCTTAATATGGATCCTACTATATTGGGGGTTATAGGCCCAGTGTTTCTTAATCAGGTTCCTACATTGAGTTAAAATGAGCAGGCAGCTTCAGGTCAGCATCTCTGTAGGTGCCATGAGCTTTATGGGAGCGGGGCTTTAGGGCACTGTATTCCAGTAGACTGATCATGTTGATACAGGGACGACTACAATGGGATAGCATTTCTGATCACTTCATGTTGGGCGCGATCCAATTTCGAGGACGTTCTCTGCGTAGCCCTTTTATCCTCCTCAGACTTTCCGGCCTCCGCCCTTCGATTCGATTCCCGAGCCACTGTGCCCATGGTTTTGAATCTTGTGATGACAGCTTCCATCTTCCGAGCATGGCTCCACGGAGTTGCTCGACTCGGCTGCTGAGATGCCACGATCCCTTGATGTTGGCAGCTTACAGTCAGTTGCAATTTAACACCAACAGCAATTGCACGCCCCAGTGAGGCAATAACGACTGCAACAAGGCAAGGTTCACCTTATGAGCTCGAAGCCCCTTCAGCAGCATGCAAAAAAGCTTCACGAGAAGTTCTCGACACTGACCTAGACCCGAAGCAGTTTACAGTGGATGCGGTCAGCCGTGCCTGGTTGTTTCTGACAGGACTGCCAACGGCAGTGCTCGATGGCGACAGGCTATTGCACAGGCAGATTTGTCAAGACCAGTGTCGTTGAGCCCGTAGGAGCCTGTTTTCACTCCCATGTCATGGCTCAGAGCCCAATCGCGCTTGATCTGCATGCTTGAGAAGTAGCCGAGTGGCCGACCTCAAAGTCTACTAAGCCGAGTTCGCATACCCAGCCTGAAGACCGCCAAAAGCCCCGGAGCCTAAGCCGACAAGCCGAAAAAGACTGCGCAGGCTTCGAGTACCACACGTCCAGCCGCTGCGAGCTGTGGCTGAAGCCGGCCGCTTTCTCAGATCAACAGGGCCCTATGGTTCAGGGTTCAGGGGCCCTACAACCCAAAGCTATCGACTCCGATCCCTAAAGGGGAGGGTTCTGTTGCAGGCCCTCAGCTTCATGCTTCTTGCACATAGCACGTTACGTGTCGTGCATGCTCCTCCGGACTCGGTTCTGATGGGTCCCTGAGAACGCGCAAAGCATCGGAATCACTAGAACCAGAACATCAAAGCTGCAGCCAGAGTGATAATTTGTCCATTCGGGCTCCGGCTTTCGGACGACATTCGGGGTCATAGCTAAAGATACTAGAACTGTAGCATCTCTCACGACTGGCACATGGCTCTTCTTCGACCTCTTGAATCTCCGTTTCGCATTATTAATCAATCGGTCTGTCCACACGTCTATCTATCGTTCGATCTGCCTGCCTAGCTGTCTATCTGTCTGCTTGGTCCATCTATCCGTCGATCCATCTACCCATCTGTATCGATCTATCTACCTATCCACCTATCTATCCATTTGCATATCTGCCTATCTGTCGATCTATCTGTTTATCGAACTATCTGTCGATCGATCTATCTATCCATCTGCCAGTCTTTTCATCTGTTTGTCTGTCTGTCCAAAATCTGCAATAGAAAAGCCAGACGGACCCCCCTGATTGACAAGTGGGATGCACCATGCGAAATTTGTCTCCCAAGAGGCAACGAGAATCGCCAGGTTGGTGCCAGCGTCTTCGTGCGCGGCTACCACTGCCGAGCTTTGGCTACAGCCTGCATCCCAGTTTACGGTTTACGGCTTGCCAGGGTTTGGGAAGTTTAGGGTTGGGGGGTGGTTTTGGGACTCCGGATCCATGCAAACCTCCTGCTCAAATCTGGTGGACTCCAGGTGTAGTTGCTTCCGCATGCACTTTGAGAGCTGGCATTCCAGACAGGTTGGTACATCACATGACATTTGCTATCCGATACTCTTGACCGTTGACCGGCCCTGCTGCTGCCCGGTGTTGAAGTCCCGAAGTGGCAGAAACTCAAGAATCCGAAGGTGGTAATGGAAGACTGCAACACGAGCGACTTCCGCCAGCTGCATGGCTGACTTTGAGTGCCTCTAAAGGGTTTCGAGTCTCTCCGGAGAAACCCCAGACAAGTTCCACCGGACTGCTGATCATGATATTAAGGCTTCTTCCTTGACTCAGGGATATTGGGATCTCGCAGTGTCTTCGAAGCAAGCAAGAAGTGCCGCCCGCGATATAACAGGTTCTTTCAAAAGTAGATGAGTAGATTTAGATAAGCATATAAAAGCAAAGGAGCTTAAAGGGATACGAGTTTCTACGGACAGCTCTGAGTCCACGCTTAGACCAGGCCAGGACGTTCAGCCTTCTCCTATGGCCCCCAGCCCATGGTCTCATTCCAAGCATGGCCCAGGTGGGTAGCAAAAGGGTTAAGGGTCCCTTCAGGAACGTACACGCGTATCAGACTGGTTTAGGGTTTAGGGTGCTTGGAGGATCATGGGACTTAGTAAGTGATGGGTCTGTTGACGCTTTGACCGAGGCTGTGGCATTTTGATACCTCGAACGGCGTCATCTCGTCCAAAGAGGAGCCCCTAAACTCTAACTAAACCCTAAACCCGAATGAAGAGTCGGCAGCCGGGAGCAGCCCTGTAGTACTAGTAGTACTAGTAGTATTAGTAGTATTAGTAGTATTAGTAGTATTCTTAATATTATTATTAGTAGTAGTAGTAGATCGAAACCTACCTAAATGCCTAGAGGGTGGCAGTAGCTGGTTCGGCCTATACAAGTTATTATTATAAAGTTTCTGTCTGGGGCCCCTGTTCCATCGCTACCAATCGAAAAGAATCCTGAGAGGCAAAGCCCCATTCGGACTCACACCCGGAACCCATGGTATGCTGAATTTGCGATGCCCGAACCTTGCACAGCCTTCACTTCGGTAACGTGGAGCCCCTTGCCGTAGCCCTTGCACGCCCGAAACCTGAAACCTGGGATGCCAACTCCCAAACACACGAAGAGCACCACCAGATGGCACTAGATCCTCAGCCGTCAGGACGGTGCATGCCTTGGTGCCGTGGGAACTGGAAAGACTGAAGGCGGCCGTCTGTGCGGGAACCTGGCAGGGACAGAGTTTACACGAGTTGCAGGGCTTATCCTGGGGCTTCGGAGTTTAATCCAGGTTTCCTGGCTTGGAGCTTCGCGGCTGTAGGGTTTTAAGGTTCCCTCTTAGGCTTTACAGCTAAGCTGGAGGGTGTGGCTCCGGTGGTTCTTTTGAAGAGCTGCAGTCCTGCCAAAGCTGTAAATGGGGCGTGGCTTCTGACAGCGGCAGTGACGTTCATGGCTCCGGAATGCGTTCCTTGCAAGGCTTGGGACTCAGGACGCTTCGGCAGCTTCCTATTTCCCAGGTTTCAGGGCAAACCGATCAGAATGGCGCATGGGGAGGACGACACGTATAAGGAGAAGGCCGACGTGTACACGATGGCCTGCGTCGAAGCCACTTTCCGGGTTTTCGTAGAACCCCCGCAGCCGTGTCAAGCGAAACCGACCATTCTTCAGATTTCCCCTTTCCGCTCCGTTAAATAGCTGCTGCACTTCACACGCTATATGCCAAGAGGGTGCAATTTTTCTGCTTTATCCGGAAAACACAGCCGCAGAGATTGCAATTCAACAACTGCTTGCCTCATTTCCCAGTTCCCAGCCGCTTACCGGAAATCACAGCCTAAGAACTTGGGATTCCGCAGTAGCTTGCTCTACAAACTGGAATTTGCCAGTACAGTATGTCGCCGCAAATCGCAAAACACGGGACCCAGCACACCGGTGTTCTACGGTGGTTTGCCGGAACGCACAGCCGTAAAAATGGCGATTCCCCAATTGCGGCAAGTTTGAACTCGACAAGTTGGAATTAGATTACCCACAAGCTTGCCGCGAATCAGAACCTTACAAAGTGCAATTCCGCAATAGCATGCAGCAAAACAGGACCCAACATACTGGAGCCTTGCTAATCCCGAAGCTGTGATGGGACTGGTCATTGTGTGTGTCTGTTCCGTTCTCTAAGATCCGGTGCAGTTATTTGGTGGTGATCCTGCTGTACTTAGGTTTTTAATCTGATCCGGCAGCCTTCTACCCTCCATTATACTATATTATACTCGAAATACCTGCTTTGAGAAGCTATGATGTGAGGGGCCATATACTGTTTTGCAGGGTACAGGGAGGGTCCTGGATCCGTGTAGGCTTGTAGTGGTAGCTACCCAGGCGCTTGCTCACCTGCAACGCTGCGAGCAGCAGCCAGCCTCCCGGCCGCATCGTTCACAGCAATGGAAGTACCCTTATACCGAACAATCAAAACAAGAGTAGTTAATGCAATGTTGAATATCGCTGCGTGGAAGAACCTTTCCGCGCCATATCGCCTTGCTTACCAGCCGCATAAGGAGTAGAAGATATAATACGCATTGGTGGGGAAGAGTTGTGTCTGGATTGTAGATCAAGGTGAAAGATCCTACATGAAACAATCTTCTCATGGAATGTGCAAGACATTGCTTTTGTCGCATGATGCAAGTGGCTGCGCAGACGGGTACCACGTTGCTCCTTGTGGCTCTTGTCTGAGTTGTATAGGTACCATATATTAAATAGTTTGATTAGAGACGGCTGCTCGAGTGCACAAGTGCATGCTCGAAGGCACCATGCAGGTTGCAGTATGTGTCGTGTGCCAAGCGCATTGTGCTCCAACAACTACCATGGAAGCTTGTACTTTAGGGGCCATCATAATTACCTGTATTATTTTGAGGGTGCCTTATTATATATTATACAGTACAATATACCCCAAAACCCCATTCTAAAGGAGTTCGCAAGCCCCTGCTGCCAGGGCCTGGATGGCGGTGAATCCGCAGATAGAGGAAGTCCTGGCCCAGCGCAGGCCTTTCGACTAATGAAGTGTGCAGTTTCCGACTGTAGAGTCTTTAATAATTAGGTATACTATTGTTTTTGGGGAGGGGGTCCTTATTAGGATTATAGTATGAAGGGCCCCAAAACCTAATTAACTAGTAAGGCCCCCATATTAGGTTTCTACATCGTCGCGTCGGATTGCCGAGTAGTTAGTTCGGAACGATCGTTCTGCATTTCTAGGGGCCTGTTTTGCAGCGGCCGGACTACGCAGGGGCTTGAAGTAATGTAGGAGCCTTCATAATTAGAATAGGTTTTTGGGATATAATATTGTACCATAATCATAAGGAGCCAGCAAATAATCTTGGTAACTACTGACTTAGGCCCCTATATTAATCCCCTGAGAGCCGTGCATGCATGAGCCTTGAGCTCCCCGAGCCCGACACCTGGATTTCTGCAGATTTGACAACGAGGTCGGTTCGAAGGCCAGCCCAAAGTGGTGTGGCCCAGGGCGAGGTGCGGCGTGGGTTCCTGATTTAGTTAGAGGAATTGGAGTCTTTCTTGGAAGGCGCGTGGAGTTGTGGATTTCAGGGGCGCAGAAGTGTTTATCTTGCGCTGTGCTTCTAGGGCGGTTGGGGGTTTTGCGACCGAGGAAGACTTCTTCATGTAGGATCTGTGGGTCATGGGCTCCCCATCTTGTGTTGCTTTTCCACACTCAACGACTCCACCCTCTACTGTTACTCGATGAGGCTTGGACTGAAGAGGGCTACATCGCCCGAGCACTTCCCACAGAGCAGCCTACGTCCAAGTTATCTCAAAACCTAGAGCTCATATGCCATTGAGGCCGCGGAGGCCGGGAACTACCGACCCTCGCCCGTCAGCATGCCCGAAGCGCAGCCATCGCCCCAGAGCCGCATTTCCGTGGTGTCTCCGGGTTGTCTGCTCAGTCCTTGAGTGGTGTCAGAAAAATGGCAGGAGAGGCCCCGGATGGAAGGTATGTTCACCAGGGCGCATCTTGAATGTAGAGAAACAGGAGGCTGGAATCCTGAATGATATACAATACTCCAAAGTGTTGTGGGTATCCCCGAAAGTTAGAACCCATTCCCAACAAAATACACTCCAGCTGTTCATGCTGATCAGGCAAAGACCGGCGCAGCCACCACAGACCACCCTCACGTCCTGATTCCTGATGGCTTCAGGAATCCGGATGTAATACAATAGGGCCTATATGACATAGTGCTTTTCGATGCCCAGGTTGAACTCGGGCTTAGAGGGCTTAGTTTGAGGGGAAATCGGATGCAGCTTTGAGGTGGTCTCTTGTGTTCGGACTGCGGGCTGCTGCGTTGAATTAGGCCCCGGATGATTGTGTCAATGGCGGCATCGGGCCGTGAAATCCTGGCCGCCCTCTTCCACGCGGCAAGGTCGCGTCGGACCGACAGCCAATGTGCCGTCGATTTGTAGTCTTTGTAGTGTATCCCTAGGAGAGCTCCTATAGCCTCTACAGTCGCCCTGCACTCAGCGAAATGCGCTGTGCAGGCGTCTTTTCGTTGCTTTGCAGGCAAAGCCAGAGCCCCTTCTTTTTTTGGGGCGTGGAAGCTGCCTAGCAAGGCAATGAACAGTCAGATCCCACTCCTTGGGCTGCAGGGCAACGCTGGCAGTCACTGGCAGTGATGAAGAGGGCACAGGCTAAGGTGTATACTGTGTAGTCGTTACATATTGGTGACATACGTCTTGAATTCTGAAGGCACACATCTTGCGCAGGAGCACATCACAGTCTCATAGACACTCTCATCATGTGCATCATGTGCATGGTTCTATGCATTCTAGCCTTCGCAGCGTTGCCCTCTACGCCTGACTCCGGCCGTTGAGCAAGGCCTCGTCTACCCTACGGCTCTGCGCTGAACCGATTCCTGGAGATACAGGTTCCGCAACTTCGGGATTGTGGACGCTCCTCCTGTGCCGGCAAAGCTCGCTTACGGCATTACAAAGAACCTTCATTATCCTGCCTTGGGCTTGACGATTAGCACGACAGGTTTCCAGTACAGCTCTCTCAAGATCCGTTTGTGAACAGTTTCCGTCTCTCCGCAGATCGCAAGCGAGAGCCTATTAAGACATGAGATCTCCGCGCAGAGCCAGGGAGAACATGGCCTTCAGGCCTCTGTCGCTGCGGTCGCATTTTCGTGAGCGCGAAAGAAAAGACTTGCCGGTGTCACGAGACTGAGACTCCACCCGAAGAGCTGGATGCCCCTTTGAGTCACTTCTAGTTCTCATTGTTGCTTCTTGATGCACTGCCGAGAACCATTGCTTGTCACACATGTTGGTACCAATTTTGATCAAGCACCTTTGAATGCCACTTGCCTTTGGAAGAAGATTCTCCACATAAAATTATGTACGTGTGATCGTTGTTTTGTTAGCAAACACTAGGCATCAGCAGTGGAAGACCCCCTCCATCACGGATGCAGTGACAAGCCCGGCCTACATGAGACGAGCAGGTAGAGATTTCCAGCCGCAAGCAGAGGTGCTGAAGATCGGCAGCTGTAGCCCAAACACAAGAGAACCTGCTCTCATGATCAATGTTGTGAACGGGTATGACGAGTCTTTCTCTTGTGAGCCATGAGTCCAGCGACGACCTGTGGAGGTGATGCCAAGGGGGTGGGAAACAGAAACTTTCAGTAACTAGTGGAGTAGATGACCGTTAATCTTTTCAGGGCATTGCAAGCCATGTATAAACCCAAAGCTTAACCTTCAGATCCCCGATGCTGCAAGACAGCCGAGGAAAGGAATGCGCCCATAGCTGCAGAGAAAGGTTGAAGAGCTTGGAGAACAGGGTCTAGGATCTACAATAAGGTGATGGCCTTGAGGAAGTCTTGTGGTATCACTGCAGATTCCAAAATGATTTCCATCCCTCAAAGATCCCACGCACGAGTTTGAAAGATTATAGAGGATTTTGAAAGGACCAGGCTATGTCGGTGAGGGCTTTGAATTGAAGTAGGAGGCCTTCCCTGCTCATCGCGAGCTTTTGCTCAGCTCGGCTCGGTCAGTAGAACGGGTGAGGAAGCGGCAAGCGTACATACATGCACACAGCAGCACATGCATATGTGCTAGACGCAGACTCGTGCATACAGCTCACCTCGCGCGTCGTGACGTTGGCAGTCACTGGTGAGGATTTGGGCAGATTCGTCAGCGGATCATGTGGCTGAAGCTTCAATCGTAGGTTTGTGGTCAAGGGCTGGGGGTCCATATGACAGTTCATATATGTTTACACATGCTTTGGTAGTGGTAGCGGCAGTCTCGCATTGGCCAGATGTTGCCAGGCCACGAGTTTCTGCTGTGCTGATATGAGGGACGCTGCCATGCCAACGTGCTTCCAAACTCCGGTTATTGACTTTCTCAGTTGCCATCCGGTGACGAATTGAAACTTGAAGCCCCATCGGTGAGGTGGAAGACCCAAACCCAAAAGCTCTAGAGGCCCAAGTCGAGGCCCTGAAGCCGTAGATCCGAAAGTCATACAACTTCCGAAGACCCGGAAGCACCGATTCCACGGCCGCCCAGAGTGAGGCGCTCCGCTGCGCGCTGATGGATCGTCCGGGTGCAGCCCTTATCCAGGTCAGGGTGGTTGTCCAAGTTATGGTCCCTTTTTGGGTACGCTAGATATTAGGTGCGGTATTGTAATAAGGATCCAAAAAGGGACCCTAATGTTGACAACCACCCATGTGGCTCTGTTTCGGTCTTGGGCATGTGGTAGAGGGAATGTCGCTAGTATACGGATCTCATCGAATCTGTGAGCAGTCTTTGCGTTATTGTCTTCCACAGCCATGTTAGCTGTACTATGCAAGGCCAGCAACTGCTGCTTCCGGGCAGCGCAGCGGAGCCTTCGAAAGCTTCTATTGGACAAACCTGGTGCCTTGCAAGAGAGCGGCGGCCCCACAATGTAGAAACCTGATTAAGAAACCCTGGCCGTATAACCCCCGACATATTAGGATTCATTATCAGGAACCCCATAAAGACCCAAGGTTTCTTAATCAGGTTCCTACATCAATCCACATTCAGCCCTCCCTCAAGGCTGTCAAGCTTTCCATGTAAATCTGCAGTTCAATTCGGCTTTCAGGATGTTCAGGTCTAGTTACCACCATAGGGCTCAGAGGGGGGGGGGGGGTTGTTGCCGGTTTCGGCTTGACGACTAGCTCAGTAGGATTCCCGGGCTTTTGGCGAGGTGGACCGACCAGAGATGCCTTCCTTAGCCTTCCTTCATTGAGTCAGGCTGCTAAGAGCGCCGTGTGCCGAAAGTAGTTGTCCATGAACAACTAGTAGCTAGTACTGTACTTTCAACGGTTTAAAAGGAATAATTCGGAATAATGTTGGTTGCCATTGTGACAATACGAGTTATTTCAGCCGTAGAGGCCCCACGACATGTGCCCCAGGTGGAGGGTGGGCTCATCCAGGACCGGCCTCATGATTACTGTGATCATTGTGGCCACTCTGGCCACAGTGACGGTTGTGTGGTCATCATGCTGATATTATGCCGACTTTCTTCTTTGGCAATCCATCGCTTCTGTTCAGCATTCCCGGGGGCATGTTCCGGATGTTTTTTTTCTCCGCGAGCTCTATTGCTATGATGCAGTGCATGAAAGCTTTTTAAGTTGGGGATCATCAAGCTTTTCCGGAACATTCAGAATAGAGGGAGCTACTAGACAGACACTATACCTTTCAGGAGGGTGCCGACTGGGAAGCCTTCCTGGACTGCGCCGAGCTTACGAGGGGTGGAGGATGTCTTGGTCTCGTGACACCGTTTTCGGTCTCGGGGTTCGTCATCTTTTCAACCGGTCTCGTCGACTCGGCATCTTCGTGATCACAGCGACCAGAGTATTCAACACACTCAACATGGAAATGACGGTCACACCGGCGCTTGCATCAGAGCCCTTAAAAATCCCTCGCAACAGTCATGGCACTGATGTCATCATTGTCGAGGAGAGCAAGAACAGCAGTCGGAGGCATGCCAGCTGTCACAAGAGTTGCAGCAGACTAGTCACTAGTCGATCAAGAAAACCACACAGAGCAGGAACGGTCCCCCGAACAACAGCAGCCAGAATACTGTGCATTACCAAAGAGCCTCAAGCGGAGTGACAAGAAACAGCGGGTGCGGTAGAACAGCAGATATCAGCAACAATGCCAACGATATCAATCTTACTTGAGGCATCAGAAGAAAACGGCGCATAGTCGTGAGATTCATGGCTAATGTGTCCAACTTGGGTGCTTTGAGGCCTGCGCCAGCCTCTACCGTCCACCCTTTGGGTCACGCCCACAGATCGGGATGCAGACAAAGTTCGCAGCTCTTTGCCTGCATTTGGTTTGTGCGCAGGGAATCCGATTACTGCAGTCTTTTCGAGCAATAGAGCGGTGACAGGCAGAAGGGACCAAGGATTATCAAGACGGGTATGGGCTCCCCCATGGATGCCGAAGTCCAAAACCGCACAGCTTGTTGCTAGACTTTGTCTTCGTTTCCCAGATTCTGCTAGACCTTGTCTTCTTTTCCCAAGGTGCCCTGAAAAAGTTCGGAGCGGCTGCCGCCGCAGCCGGAGCGGATGCAGCAGATCTTGAGCCCAGGCGATTAGTAACGGTATCGATGCTGGGTTCTTGTTGAGGGGCTTGATCTGAGTTACAGTTACCATAATAAGGAAACCATATGCTTAAATTAAGGTACCTTGCGTTAAGTTCTAGATCCTAATTATGGTACCTTGAATTAAGTTCCTTAACAAGAACTCAGGATGGCACATGACGAGGACGAGGAGTAGGACGACGACTACTAGTTACTAGTGGTACTGCTCCTAGGCTAGTCGCCATGGCGGTGCTCATAATTGTGGCCGCAGAAGTTAACTGGTAGGAGTCTACCAGCAGCAGCAGCGGTAACAAATGCGGAAAAGGAGGAGAACAAGCTTGACTTCTACTACTGCTACTGGTTCTTGTCTTCCACCTTCTGTTGGCAACCATGCCGCGCAGTGGAGGCTTTGCGTGCGGCCACTCGCATGGATGCCTGACGAGCTGGGATGGCGCGTGCCTCGCAGCAAGTTGAGATTTCGGTAGGTTGCACCGCGGCAAGATCTGGCAGCTCAGGTGGACATTCCAAAGACGGTGCTGCGGAAAGACGCCTGGCTTGCTATAAGGTTCCTTGCTGAGACGTGCTGTGGAAGCCGGATTTCGGTCGCATCCTTCCAGGAGGCCATGATGGCCTGCAGTTGCGGCCTGTTGCCCCAAGACCTGCCATCAAAGAGCTAGTTGAAGTCCGCAGGGCCAAAAAAGGACTTGAGGAGCTCGAACTGTATCCTGAACTTCAAACCTTCGTCCTCACGAGTTTGAGTAATTCAAGATGCTCGTAAACCCGAAGGCCGATGTCTTCTCCTACTCTTCAGTGTAGGATACCACCATGGCTATGCTTCCCTACGCATACTGTAGTGACAACGATGAGTTCTGAAGGTTATATCATATTCGTCATTCGCGCCGTTTTATTGTGGCTGGGGCAGTGGCGCAGTGAGACGGCTGACGTTGCTGTTGCTGCTTCTGCTAGAGTTGTTGGTTGAGGCTCTTGCTGTGGTAGCGGCTGTGGCCGAGCACAACAGAGAAATGACAGTTGCACAACGCAGTAAAATATTCTGGCCGGCTCTTTCGGACCCTGACTTATGTACCAAAGCCTTTTCACCCATAAGCCCTAACTACCCTAGCTTGCATTATACTAAGTTCGGCCTTTGCCCCGAGGATAAGCAGTTCAAGCCGCTTCACGAGATGCTCATTGACCACACAGCCAAGGCTTTTTTCGACTTGGTGGCTCTGAGGGTCTTTGTGTTGGAGGTTTGGGGTTGAGGGTGCAGAGTTTCGGGGCTACACTCAGCTGCTGGACCCTATACTAGGACCCAAACCCCTCAACCCTAAACCCTTTACAAGGGTCCTGATCCTGGGTTCGACTTCTCAGCTGCTGTATTGTTCCATCCTTCCCTCCTCAACATGGCAAGGGCACCATCAACCGCATGGAGGAGGCAGGGGCCCAGGGCTGTTCAGTTTAAGTGTTGGGTTGCGGTTCAGGGGTCTTCCGCAAGTGAGATTTCGCAGTGATCGTGGCTGCCCGGGAGTCGGCAGTGCAGCTTTGACATCAATTACCGTCACGCTGTAGAAAGAACGGAGAAGCTGAAGGCAAGAGACCTGTCTTTCAGGTCTCTATGCTGCCGGTGGTTCTGTTGGATGTGCCTCGGCTAGCTAGCATTTCTTGATTCACCTGGCGAAGGGCTCCTGCAATGAGCTGTCGGTTCGCAGCATAGCGGTTTGAGAAAGACTGCTTCTGCAGTCCCGCTGTAGCAAGAACGGCGAGTGGAGCATTCTGATCTCGAGCCACAAGATGCTTATACAAAGAAATTGCAGGTCCAGGCTGGCCATCGTTGCCTCGACACCTGTGCCAGCCCTGGCAGCAACTTGGAGAAAGCTCCAGGGATATGGTGACATGTGCTCGTGCCGGGTGCTGTTCCCGGTAATTGCCACCACCTCGGGACGCAGGCAAGACAGCGCAGATGCTCGTTCAACTTGCAAAGGCCGCGTGTCAGCACTGCAGAGTCATGTTCGTGGAGGTGACAACGAGGCTTCGAGGCTGGGTCATAAGTTGAAGCTTGTAGACACATGGGTGGTTGTCAAAATCATGGTCCCTTTTTGGGTCCCTAATATAGTACGGCACCTAGTATTTAGGGTACCCAAGAAGGGCCCATTATTTTGACAACCACCCACATGACTCAGCATGCAGCAGAGGCATGAACTTCTCTGTACAGGAGAGCCAGCAGCATTTTGACGTTGAGATTTCAACAGTACTGGGCCTTTGGAAGACATGTCTTCTGCCTAGGCTGTCAAGGCCACATTGGAAGCTTTGAATTCTCGTGTCCTTTTCTCGTTTTGGTCGTTTTGCTAAGGCGAACTTTGCGAAGTGGGGCAGGCATGTGGGCAGACTGGCAGCGGGTTGGAGGGTCTTGTGCTTCAGGAGGTTTGTAGGACTGGAGTCTAGTTTCGGGATTGGGGGATTCCGTGGCTTCAGCTGTTCAGGGTGTTGGCACTGAGGCCTTGACTCAGAGAATACTGCATGTCACGCTGCCATTCACGACTGATAGCTTCACTCCCCTTTTATGCCGGCATCTTGCAGCGGATGTCTTGACAACGGCTTATAGCTACTATGACTTTCCCCGAAACCCTATCCATTCAGTACATCTTCTTGGCAGCTTTGCATCCTACGGCCTCGAGCTATGTGAGGGTGCGCCGAAGCCACCACCTGAACCCCTGCAAGACCGACGATTTAGCATGTCTTATTATGATTTCTTCATGTTTACATATCCCTCAAAAGGGTTTTTCCCCTAATCCCTGAACCGATCAGGGTAGAAGCCTAAAATACCCATAGTCTAACTATACCACAGAGGAGCCCGGAACCCCATTTTTATTTTTTAAGGCCCCTACCTTAACCCCCCATCATACCCCTTCTAGTAATCCTTATAGACCCTTTAAAGGAACCCTTAAAGGGAACCCTAACATTAGGGTAGCACCTGACTCCTCAACGCGGGGGCTCGGACCTGGGCCACTCGGGGGACTTAGTAACTGGTTAAAGAAGGACTTATAAGTACCATAAGCCCAATTCGGGTCCCTTTTAGGGTACTTATAAGTCTACTTACTACCTACTTACTATTGTAAGTCAAACCCTTAACCATATAGTACCCTTATAGAGCCCTTTAAAGGAACCCTTATAATCCCCTTTTAAGGAGCCCTTACTAAGTCCCCTAAAGACCCTCCAAGCAGGGGCCTGGAGGCCATCTCGGGCGAGGCGAAGCAGCGCTGCTTGCGCTTCCTGCATGGCCGACGCTGGCTCGGGCTTAGGGCTGTTCAGAACGAAATGTATGTACGTAAACATACATATAATACATGTATCTTATGTAAATATCTATCATATTATCTATCCTTATATATATATATATGTGTATATATATATATATATATATATATATATATATATATATATATAGATGAGGCCTATCTTCTTGTGCTACCAAAGCCAAGATTATAAATGTCATGCAGCTCGTGAGAGACTACATAGAAGAGAGAAGCAAGGAGAACCCGAAGCTCGCCCATTTTCAAGCCTAGGCCTTTCTGGCAAACGCAGCCTTAGGAAGAAGCGTCGTATAAACTGTAGCGGACTGCCGAGAGCTTTGGAGGCTTCGTTGCTTCAGGCTTTAAAGGAGTGTCTACAGGATTCGGAGCAGTGAAAAGAGTGCATCCCAGGAATCGACTACTCCGCCGACGAGGGTTGCGTGGTCGCCAACGAGATTTCGACGGACCGCGCAGGGATGCTCGTGCATCAGATTGCCAGGCAGGATCAGGGCCGGGCCGAGCTTTCAAAGATGTTAAAGGTTGGTTAGTCCGGATGGCCAAGGTTGTCGAAGGGCCAAAGAACGCAGAATCAGGAATGGAGCTCCCCAGTGATCCCTCCGCATAACAGTACCATCCGTCCGAGAACACCCGAGCTACTGTAGCGACAACTCGTACCATGAGCCTTTCAGAGGAGGATATCGTGTCTTTGGGGGTTCCACCTGAGGCTTGTCCTCCGAGTTCGTGTGTGCTCTTCCAGCCATGCAGCGAAACGCGAATGCCCCAACGTCTGCGGAGCAAGCAGTGCAAGTAAAAGCGTTGCAGTAAGAACGACAGGAAAGAACGATGCAATCTCCAGGCCGTTGAGTTTAGGGTTTAAGTTCTATGGAAGAGTTCCGATAAGAGTCCGGGAGGCACCAGTCGCTGTATCCCCTGGTGATCTTCACTTCCCACGATGCCCGCTACTTCCCGAGCCTTCGCGACGAAGCGGGCCAGGAGGTGCCTGAGCAGTACGTGGCTGTAGACCGAAATCAATTGAAATGTCTGGGCCTGGCCGATCATAGTTTTTGCCGATTCAGTTTTGCACCCGCACTCCGATGTTTTAGCTTGGATCCTCTATTTCGCCTTTGCTGCTTGCCAGGTGCTCTTCGACCGCATTCTTTGCGACGTGATGTGCTCCAGTGTGTTGGGCCCAGCGTAGGAGTCGGTGAACGAGATCTGAGATTCCCAATAGGGCTTCAGTTACCTGAATAATGGGGCAACGGGTTGCACCTGAAGCCTCAGACTTTGAGAACGAATCTACCTGGCTGTTTTTTTCCTTTCTACTCCTGTCCGAGGACGGAACACTCCGAAAGTCACCCCACCTTTGGCGTGAGTCTCGGCTTCAACTCACTTCCGCGTCTACGTTGCTTCGCTTGGGGGCACTTTGCGCGGGACTTTCGGAGACTCCCCACGGCCCCAACCCCAAACCCCTAAACCTGAGCTCCTAAACCCCGAAACCCATTCAGCCACATAGGCCCTATATATATATATATATATACATATACATATATATATATGTACATACATATGTATTTAAAAATTTTAAAGCCGTTAAATTCCTAGGAGTGGACTCCGAAGCTCGGCTTGGAGCTGCATGCCTCGCAGCTGGCGGCTGCTCGCCTGCAGGGCCCTCCTTGATCTTTCTAGCCCGAACCATGAAATTAAATCATGGTTTAGGGATTTAGGGTTTACAGGGTTTAGGGTTTAGGGATGGTATACCTCAGACACTGGACCCCTGGAGGCTTCACAGCCGATATACCGATGCAGAGTTGGGCAACCCCAAAAAAACTCTTGAACTTTGGGCGGCAAGGTGGCTCTGCGCGCCCTCCGTCTTCTACGCGTTGGGGGGCGCCTGGTTTATAGTCGCTGGGCTATCAGGCGTCTCAAGTGAAGAAGTCACACAGTTTTCGAGAAACTAAAGCCTCCCGGGGGAAGATCCTTCTCTGCTGTACTGTTTGCCATGAAGCGGGACAGGGAAGGTTCACCAATCATCTCAGATCTGTCAGCCATTTGCGTGTATCCCAGGCACCTGCAGCCTTTCTCCAGTCGAAGACGAAGCTGTCGTGGCGGAGATCCTGCGCACGGGCTGCGCTGCATCTCGGCTCGGCGAGTCTTCCCCCAGCCTCAGCAGCGACAGTGGCTCTCCTGCACCATGCACCCTAAAGCCCGAAACCGAAGACCAACAGCTCCCCCCCCCCCCGCGCCACCATGAGAAACACGCGGACACAAGCGACCAAAGGAGGCCATTGCCTCATGTTTCCTCGGCCTGGTGGCTGAAAGAACTCGTGCAGAATGATTACCGAAGCATTTACCCCTAGAAAGGGTGCGACCGTCTCTCGCGCGCGGAGTAACTAACTTGGACATGTCTTCACCTTGTCGACAGTCCCGCAAAATAGTCAATCTTCCACGATCTCGAAATTTTGATACCCGAGTAACGCTGCCTGCAGAGGCTGGGAAAGGCAGAAGCTCTTGGGGGTTAGGGCTGCGGAAGCTGAAATGCTTGGGTGGCACCGGTGGCACCGAAGTTCAACAAGCTGCCCCAACATGGGAAATCCTAAAGCAGGGCTTCGGAGAAAGCAAACCTCGGTTATTGGCTGTAGAACCTCATAAGAAAATCCGAAAGACCCTCAGGACGTGTCTATCAAAGTGTTCATAGAGCCCAATACCCCTGAATTAAGGAATAGAGCTTAAATCATAATATGAAGACCTTTACAGTTTGAGCCATGTTCCATGATTAAAGGGTATTGGGATCTCTGGGCCGAGCCACAGGAACTCAAAGAGGTTCGGCAAATGCTCGCGCCGCTGAAAACGGCCCCCGGCCTGCGGACATGGAAGGTGGCGGCGGCTTTGTTTGGTGCTTTGGAGGGCTTGTAGCTCTTGAAACTTGAAAGTACGGCTTTGCGACTGCTTCACAGGTTTCAGGGGTCGGGGACTTCGGCGCTGTATATCAAAATTGAAAAATCTGAAAAAGCTGAAGTCCTCCCCAAACCGTAAACCCTTAACGCCCCAAGCCCAGACGCAAGATGATTGAATCCCGTGATGTAACGGTTGTAACGGCAATGGGTGATCGTCAGAAGACTTCTACTTCTAGATTTTAGGCATCGCACGCGACATTAAGCTGCTAACGGCGTGGAGAGCATTGCAGTGAGGCTGGTAATTAGCAACGTGGATGTCACTGGCCCCAAACGTTACAAGCCCTGTAAGTACTATAAGATCCGACCATGACGTTAAGATGCCAGTACATAACAGGATCTTTTGTATCTTACAAGCCCTATCTTATAAGGACTTTAAGATCCTATAAACCTTAAAGCCCCGAGTTGAGTGCTCCGACCGGGAGGTGGCACATCCAAGCAAGCGGCAGACATTCTCGAGCTTTGCGGAGGCCCTGCCCATGGGAAATTTGCAGGGGATGAGGCCTTGGGGTTTGGTGGAAGTGCGTGTTACGATGTGAGGGATTTCTGACTGACCTTGAAGCATCAGGGGAGCGAGAAGCTAGCCACCGATGAGTCTTTGCCGGACTTCCAATTTTCCTTGCATTTGTACAGAAAGCCGGCAGGGTTCTGTTCGATCAACAGGCCTTAGCAGTATGAGCATTATCGTCGCCACGATGACACAAGCATGATGACAGACATGCTGTTGCTGATGACGATGATGATCACGGAGGTGATGACATGGAGCAGGAGGAGGAGGAGGATGAAGATTCTGACGTTTTGCACTTCTGCATTTCGTATTCTATGCACAAAAGTGCAGATTGATGAGTTTCCAGTCATGCCTCAACATGTGTGAAATTAAGGTCCCGTTTTGGATACCCTTTAAATGCCGTACTAGATTAGGGACCTACAAAGGGATCATAATTTTGACAACCACCCAAATAGGAATTTCCGAACATAGGGGACCCTAATATAGTAGCCTAAGGCCTAAGTAGTAGGATCCTTATTATAAGGACCCCAAAGTAAGGTACCACTAAGATGCCAAGCCGAGGCCCAGGCAGCTGGGGCGAAATTGGTTCCAGGCCTCCGAAGCGTAGGGTTCGGTCTCGGGACTTCGGCTGGGAAGCTCCAACACAGGGACCCTGATAATTACTTCTATTTTTTTTTTTTTTTTTGGGGGGGGGGGGGCGGGATCCTTAGTATAACTACAGTATAATATTACTTACTCTATTTTGGGTGTCCTTACTATAACTGTAGTATACTATGAGTTTCAGGCGGACAGGACCGATAGAAGGAAGTCATATGAAGCCTCCGAACAGCATCCTCAAGTTTCACGTCATTTGTATGGCAGCGCCCGTGCCCTATATGGCCTGTCTATCCTAGTTCGAGTACATCCTTGCTGTTCAAGGTGTTGTTGGGCTCCTCACTTTGCATGGCTGAAGGGCGCGCTCATTGCTTGTTGGAGCTTGTAACTGTCGTTGTTGTGAACTACGCCGAGGGTCCTGCTTGTGGTCTTTATCGTGCCAGCCTCTTCTTAGTCCAGGTGCCTTCATTGATTGAAGGCGCCATGCTGCAATTAGAGGTACCGCCCACTAAGCAGGGCATCCTTGAATCACATGTCAATCGGCACGAATCCCTCATCGTCAGAGTATGGCTTCAGCTTAGTCTGGCACGACGGCTGCTTGCCGCGACTTGACATTGAGTATGTTCTTCGGACCCTGTGGCTAAGCCTTAAAGCCCTCAGCGACGTAGCCTAGCAGGGCCTAGCATAGTTACCACAATGTTGCCTCTGTTCCTCACTCAGCTTCACTGAACTTGCTTGATGCCCCTTTGAGGCGTCTTCCCGCCGGAGGAGAGCACCCCGGCGAGCGCCCAGCTGCCAAGGTGTATCCGCATCCTGCCACACCACAACGACACCGGAGGCGCCGGCTCACAGGATTCAGGCTTCTTCGTTTTTAGGGCCTCGATATTCGGAGTTACGTTCTGAGTTAAGTCATGGTTCGGGAATCAGGGCCTGAGATATTGGTTCGCGACCTCGGGATATCCTGTAGTCTAGCCCCCAAAAAAGCCTATTAAAATCAGCAAGAATGCCCCGTATATGACAGGCTTGCCATTTGGGGCTTCGAAGTGCTCGGGGTCCTGGCTTTCGAGTGAAGGTTGCTGCTGTCGGAGCATAGCAAGAGCCAAATACGCCACAGACATGAAACATCCTTGAACCATAGAAAGAAGCATAGCTTTACTGTATCTTCCTGGATGTTTCGGTTCGGTCTCCGGCATTGGTTTGCGATAGCCCACGAGCTGATCAGGCTTCTTCATCGCCGCCTCTTGCCATGACAGCTACCCTTTATTGCTGCGCGGAAGGAATTGTGGATTGCGTGTTGTCAGGGTGCAAGGTTTCACGTTCGCACGGACAGAGCTACAGTAGAAGCCCAAAAGTTGGAAACCCCATAGTCTCAATCCGTAAGAGTAGTGTATAGGCAATCCCAGCACGATTTGGCCTGGGTTTACTATAGTATGCAGAGGGGAAGCAGCGACTGCAAGTCCTGCCTGGAGTAGACTGGCTCAGCCCTAGATGAATTGAGCACGGCACTTCACAGCAGGAAAAGCCTCCCTGAGCTGGCTGACCCATGGAATGGCGAAGGTAATTTTGCTGACAAAACCTCTGCAGTCCTCGCATCACCGCCTTAAATTGGGTGGTCAGGAGGGACATCAAGTGTCGACAGCTTGCGAGCCTGAGGTCTTCGAGAAGACAGCTGACCTCTCTCGGAGGAAGGAGAAGGAGCGGATGGGATTCGAGTACACTTCTGTTCGGCAGATTGCTTTGTTCTGTTCCGCGACCATCGAATCGCACTCCCCGCAAAGCACGCCCAGATCATTTTCAGACTTTGGAGGTTGCAGTATATCCCTGCCTGTGTCATCCGAGGGGCGACGGCACAATGCGACCCCCAAACTCCTGATGTGATGTCAATATAATATAGTACTACATATATATATATATATATATATATACATAATCATATCCTGTACGCCCTAAATTGTCAGAAGCCCTGAGCCACAAAAAGAAATGCTTGCCTTTTCTCCAGGAGGACCGACTGATGGGCTGCCGAGCCCGCATTAGCCTGGGTTTCAAGCATGTGCACCTTGAGCAACCGCCTGACCCCCACATATCACATGCCAGCATACAGCACACATATTCGTACCACACGATAGGCAAGCGAATGAATGTGCGTGCGCGCCTGTGTGTGTAAGCATGCATTGCACATAGGTTATGACAGCGATGTGGACAGTGATGGCGAGGAGGCATCCAGTCTTTTGAGTCTGACGAGCGAGACATGTCTGGGCCGCAAGTGCAGCATTTTCTTCTCCTAGGCTGAGCGCGCAGCTTGCAACTTAGGGCTGCAGCCAGCCAGCATCCGGCACGCAAGAAGTAGGATCATAGTTGTAATTCAGGAATATACCTTAAACTATAGGGGAGCTCATATGACGATTTAAGCTACATTCCTCACCAAAGGGGTATCAGGCTCTCCTTTGGGCACCAAAGCAAAAGAACCGAAGAGGCCGAGCGTCGAAAGCAGCTGCGGAAGCTCGAGGAGGCGATTCCATGGACGCCCCACGTTTTGATCACTGTACCGTTTAAACAATAGTTATAATAAGGAACCCTCAGAATAGTCAAAATAGTACCATTTAAACTATAGGCACGGGAACCCTCAAAATAGTCAAAACAGTACCATTTAAACTATAGTTATAATAAGGAACCCTCAAAGTAGTCAAAATAGTACCATTAAATTATAGTTATACTAAGGAACCCTCAAAATAGTCAAAACTGTACCATTAAACTATAGTTATAATGAGGAACCCTCAAAATAGTCAAAATAGTACCATTAAACTATAGTTATAATAAGGAACCCGCACAATAGTCAAAATAGTACCATTTAGACTAAAGTTGTAATAAGGAACCCTCAAAATAGTCAAAATAGCACCATTAAACTATAGTTATAATAAGGAACCCTCAAAATAGTCAAAGTAGTACCATTTAAACTATAGTTATAATAAGGAGCCCTCAAAATAGTCAAAATAGCACCATTTAAACGATAGTTATAATAAGGAACCCTGAAAATAGTCAAAATAGTACCATTAAATTATAGTTATAATAAGGAAGCCTCAAAATAGTACCATTAAACTATAGTTATAATAAGGAACCTTCTCGCCGACCTTCAAAAGAGTCAAAATAGTACCATTAAATTATAGGTGTAATAAGGAACCCTCAAAATAGTCAAAATAGTACCATTAAACTGTAGTTATAATAAGGAACCTTGAAAATAGTCAAAATAGTACCATTGAACTATAGTTATAATAAGGAACCCTCAAGAGAGTCAAAATAGCACCATCAAACTACAGTTATAATAAGGAACCCTCAAAATAGTCAGAAATAGTACCATTAAACTATAGTTATAATAAGGAACCCTCAAAATAGTCAAAATAGTACCATTATATTATAGGTGTAATAAGGAACCCTCAAAATAGTCAAAATAGTACCATTAAACTAAAGTTATAAGAAGGAACCCTCAAAATAGTACCATTAAACTGTAGTTATAATAAGGAACCTTCAAAATAGTACCATTAAGCTGTAGTTAAAGTAAGGAACCCTCAAAATAGTACCACTAAATTGTAGTTATAATAAGGAACCTTCAAAATAGCGCACAAGGGTAATATATGGGGGGCCTGAGTTGGTGTTCAAACCAAAAACGCTCCAGGTTTATGAACACCAGGTCCGGCACAAAGCCCTCAACTCTAAACGCTTTCTGTATCCCTAATGCCAAACCACAGACTGCTGATGTCCCAAGACGCTCTTGCCTTGACCCCCCCCCCACATCTGGTTTTGACCCTGCAGAATCCACTGTAGAAGCCCTCCAGCCGCCAAGCTCAGCTGCCCTAAAGGCACAGCAGTAACCCTAGCCGCCTTAGCCCTCGAAGACTCCCACAGCCTTCCTGAGCCCCCGTAGAGAAAAGCTGTAATGTAGGAACCTGATGACGGAATTTTGGGCCTCTATGCGGGTTCTTAATATGGCTCCTATTATTTTGGGGTTATAGGCCCAGGGTTTCTTAATCAGGTTCCTACATTATACAGAGCGCAGGCTGTGGAGGCTGGGCGGAGCGAGCAGGTGCCTCGGATCCAAGGCGAGCTCGTGTGCTAGCGAAAAGTACTACTATTTGTTTAAGAACCACCCAAAAATAAAAAATATATTCCTTATGGGTGTAATATAGGGAGTATTATTTTTTGTTTTTGGGGGTTTCTTAAGCAAATAGTAGAGTAGTAGGAGTACATCATTCCTCTTACTGTAGTACTAGGGCAAAGTGAAAGCCCACATTGAGGAGTTTCAGAGAGGAGGAGACTCCCGATATTATGGCTCCTTCAGAATATGCCGATTGAGGGAGCTCTTTTGAACAGGAGCCGTATCTTCTAAGAGGACCTCCTTCGTGCTGGCTTTCTCCCATCTCGGTCGCTCCGCGGGTCTGTGGTCTAAAGGCTCCAATAAACGGTTTCTGGGCTTTGGAGTACCATACCCCCATCAAGACCCTTATCAAAGCTCCTGTAAAGCCATATATGTTCTTATAGAAGTTATGGAGCCCTACAGATCCAATCAAGACCCTCATTAGAATTCCTTTGCCAAGGAGAGGCAGAAAGCCGAATCCCGGCGCGAGCGCGCGAGGCAGAGCCTTTTGAGACCTTTGGCGCTTGGGAACGGGATTCGGGTTGGGAGCACCGGGAGTTGCAGGGGCTGGAGGGTGGTGCAGGGGTCGAGGTGGGGTGTTTTGATAGGTTGGAGGTACAGTCGAGGATCTGTTTTGGGCCACCTTCAGACGTCCTTCAGACTTCCATGCTGGCCACTCCCAGTTGTCTTTAAAGTGCTGGACGACTCTCAACCTCCTGCCAGCCGTCCAACGCGAACATCTGCGACACTAATGAAGGTACCTTCAAACCTATATGAAGCCCTGTCAAAACCTGATTGAACTTGTTGCAACTCCTATTAAACCCCCAAACCCAAGACCATAACAGCTAAAATTGAAATCCTGAATAGCGATCATGAAAACCTGTCGAGTCCTGAGAAACCGAGCCAGGAAGTCGGGATCCTTGTCTCGGGAAATTGTTCGCTACGAGCCGCTCAGCCAGTCTCCCGAGCAGGCCGCATCAAATCCGACATCAACCCGAGAATTATGTACGTCACTGTAATCTGCGAGAGAATAATGTATGCATACTGTGAAAAATACGACTACTTCATGTTACTCACACTATGCGATGTGTGTATATATATATATATATATATATATATATATCGAGTCACCTGCCAAGAGTACAGTGGCACAAGGCCATGGTCTGTCAACAGGGGGGGGCGAGCATATACATATATATGTATATATATATACATAGACATATACATACATACACACACACCTATGCATGACATGTGATCTGAATCTGTTGAACCCCACATCTTGGAACCTCCAACAGCAGTGAATCTGCGGCCACAACCGTGAGTGCGACGACCGCTCCACTACAGTTTAAAGTTGTCTGTACCCGTTCCGTGTTTCTGACATACACCAGCTACTGCTACTGCTGCTGCTACTGCTACTGCTACTACGGCTCCTACTACTACTACTACTACTACTACTACTACTACTACTACTACTACTACTACGACTACGACTACGACTACGACGACGACTACGACGAACTACGACGACGACTACGACGACGACTATACTACGACTACTACTACTACTACGACTACGACTACGACTACGACTACTACGACGACTAACGACTACGACTACGACTACTACGACTACTACTACTACTACTACTACTATGACTACGACTACTACGACTACGACTACGACTACGACTACTACTACGACTACGACTACTACTACTACTACTACTACTACTACTACTACTACTACTACTACTACTACTACTACTACTACTACTACTACTACTACTACTACTACTACTACTACTACTACTACTACTTTCTGATAATGGCATGAATAGTAGTTCACCAGTACTTAAAAGTGATAGGAGAGAAGTTAAAGCAGTGAGAAGGAGCATCTTTGCAGGCTGCCGCACTGCGCTGCTTTTACGGACTGCACGACAGCTTCCCGGAGGAGCGTCCTGACAGCATCGTCATAAAGGCAGCCACGTAGCAATCAGATCCATCGTTATCACAAAAAGATTGACCATCACGATGGTGTTCATCGTCACTATCTTCACGGATTTTGTCGTTGTCGATGTCGCTGTCAATACTACGAATGTATGGACACTTTTATCATCATTGCAGTGATCGTTCGCACACCACGAACATCAGGCTTGGCTACGGAGGCGATAGGTTCGATGACGCCGCTTCCACAAGCACCGTGAAGCGACCTCTCGACAGTTGAAGTCGTCCGTCGCCCATCATCCGTGTCATGCACTTGCTTCAAGGCTGTCAGGTCCCGGCCAGCAGGAAAGGACTTCAGCTCTCTAAGTCTGCACTCTACATCTCCAGCAAAATCTGCAGGGTCTGTATTTTTATCCAGCTTTGGCCCTGCCGCACAGCCTGAAGTTCCGAAAACAAGTTCAGGCTTTTCTTCAGCCGCCGGCATCTGGAGCTGGATGCCACGGGGGAGCTCGTGCAGACGCATTGGGGCCCCCGGATGACAGAAGAATGCCTTTCCTTCTTCTTGACTACTTTTTTTGCACATGAGTGAGAGATTCAGAAACTCTGTCCCATCAGCTAGCGAAAAAGCGTCTAGCACTAGATTGTGCGGGTGTGGAATGAGTCACGGTATTTGCAGGTCGTGCCTACAACAGAGAATCTTCCCAGGAATGTATAAGTTGTTGATCGCAGACCGCCAAAACTTCAAGGACGTAAGAACCCAACATCGGCAGTCGCCTAATTATAGTCCTTGACACATCAGCCGCAGACAGCGACGAGGCGAAGCGAGCCAGCTGATCTTTTTGGCAAAAGCAGCCGCGCGGCTGCTGCGCCTGGGCACCGCCGAGGGCGCCAAGCGCAAGCTGCGGGTCATTGCAGGCCCGGCGGCGTCCGGACAACCTCCCCCCCTAAGCCATGGAACCCTGAAGCTACAATCAATAAGCCTTATAGATCTTATAGGGCCTGAATCCCCTCTCTGTGTGTGTGTGTAATGTGTACATACATATACATACATACATGCTTGAAACCAGCGACGAAGAGCCATGGACCACTCCCGTCAGGGGGGCTCCGAGTCTTCGAGAAGGCAAAAGGGCCTCCATGCCTTGGTTGAGCTACGGGGGCGATTCCGTCGTTGCTTTTTTTGGGACAGGGGTTTACGGTGTAGGGTTGGGGGTTGAGGTGCGGTTTCGGATTTCCGGACTTCAGGGTTTCGGGGTTGAGTTGAAGGTGGCGCGGCGTGGGAGTTGGCCTGTCACGCATTGGAAGTCGTTTGAGCACGTATGGAGTTTCTTGTGTGGAAGCGAGGGGATCGGACATTTGCTTCGGGGTTGAGGCTAGCTTTGGCCTTGGGTGTCGGCTTCAGTTGGGAGTTATACAGCGACCTTCGTGATTATGCGTTATCTTATCGTCGATTTTTTGGGGAGATGACCACGAAGTCTTCAGGCAGCCAGATTCCAACCGTTAACGGCCCCCATGTCACAGCCGTTTGCAATCTATTTTGCACTACCTTTCTAACCGAACCTTATTCGTCTTAGCAAATCAGTGTTCAGCAGCAGTTGTTTGAACTCGCTTTGCCCTCGGACCTCAGGTTCGTATGGAGATGGGTGTTCTGTTGAGTAGATCCTTCAATTAAGGACTCCTAAGCTTAGGAACCTGAATGCGGGATCTCATGGGCGAATCATGGGAGACTGGGTTGACCCGTCGTTTGCAGGATCGCTTCGACGTGCCTGACAAAGCTACGCAGTTCAGGCCGGAAAACTGTTCTGTCGGTCTGTGGCTGCTTTCGAAAGTCCTTCTAACTCTCTACTCAACTTGAGTCGTTTTCCATGAGTACTTGGAGGTTCATGGGTAGTTATAAGTGGGGTTATTAGTCCCTGAATATGGGTTATGACTATAGTTATCCTACTTATAACCCTACTTATAACTGACCATGAACCTCCAAGTCCCGCAGTCAACAGGGGTATGTGGTTCCCAGGGGACTTGGGAGCCTTCTTTGTAGGAATAGGCCATTTTTTGGTTAAGATCTATCGAGGCCGAGGCCCAAACAGTTCACTCTTTTTGGCCTGTCTACTATAGGGGCCCTTATAGTTAATTAGAGTATATTCTACTATAATTCCAACAAGGAACCCCCCAAATAGAAAAGGTAATTATTCAGGCCCCTAATTAACTGATTAACTACTCTTGGAGTCTTCGAGGCCCTAGATGCAATAGAAATGCATAGAGGCATGCACAAGTTTCAGTGGGAGTTGAGCAGCCAGGATCACAGTGCAGTAGTAAGACCGGCGACGACCTTGATTGTTTGAAGCAATCCCACTGAAGCCCAAACTCCTAGTGAGAACCCTAGGCGCCGCTCTAGCACTCAGCAAAACAGTAAAATCGCAGCTGTCTGAGGGTGCGAGTGCCGACTGGATTCCGGTGTGCATGGAAGCTACCTGCCAGGTTTGCCCAAGAAGCCATCGAGCCGATACTAGGCTGCATCCGCTTCTTCTCGAAGGGTTTTCGACTCCCGTGGTTGCAAAACTCTATGTCTTTACAGGTATGCACAGACACAGACAGACAGACAGACAAGCAGACAACTTCCGGTGTGTCTTGGCATCTGCGGACCTATGCGAGGCCGTTGGTAGTTGCCTCCTGTCACAGTCCGGCACGTTCCGAATGCAACTTAGGATGCTGCCATATGTCGGCCGGCGTGTTGTTGTCCTGGAGGACTGAAAACCAATTTTCGAACCTCGGGGACCCTAACCGCCACTACTCGAAAGCTCTGAACTTCGGCTTGCTTTGTCACAATCTCTTGCTGCCCTTTGCTGCTTGTGGTGCATCCTCTTCGTGTCGTCATCTCAACTGGCAGGCGGCAGGATCTACCTGTATATTCCATCCCTACACCCTCCGTTGAAACGAACTACCCAACCATCCCTGAAGCCTTGAAGCATATCATGGTTGCAGACACCAGCAAAGCCGGAGGTCCACGAGGCTGCACCCGAATCCCCAAAGCCTTGAACGAAGCTACTCCACATCTTTGCCGAATTCCCACTTTAGCAGCACCCACAACCCTCCGGGGGTTCCTGCCCTCTGAACGCTTAAGCCCGCTACGTAGGTAGAACCGGGAGGTGGCCCCCTTCAACGTGAAGCACGAGAAGCACGGTGGGTAATGGTGTTGTGCACATACTCTGTCTGCATCTAGTCTAGATGCCCCCTATATATGAAATTATATGATGTAGCATGATGTAAGCACGACACAAACACTGCATTTGTTTAGCCCCTGTATAACTCGTATAGAACGCCTATATACGTCCTCTAACTATAATAATGATATAAGCCCTCAACAGAAATCCCGACATAGCCCTGCAATGATCCCTGTATTGACTCTCTCTACAAGACTGTGTAGAAATTCATGAAAATACTCAGATAGTCTACATTATGTCTCTCTACAAGAATACATCACAACACATAAAAATACAAAGATTGCCTATATCCCCTAATCTTAATCGGGTTTGGGGGGTTCCTTTTGTACTTATCGTAGGTGGGAGGTGATTTAAAGGGACCCCCCTAAGGGGGTATGCCAAATCGAGTTTCAAACGAGACAAGCAGCTGAGATAGCAAGGCCTAGCAGGCACTAGCAAGCCCTAGCAAAAGCTAGTAGGCCTTTATAGTTTGTTTCGTTATTGAGCAGTTTCGGGCCTTAGTAAGCCGTAATAGGGCCTGCAAGGTGATATCGAGGCACACCGTCAGGTTGTGAGCAGTAGGACTACAACTCCTCCCACTCCTCCTCCTCATCTCCTCCTCCATCAGCGTGAGCAACCTGTGCGCAGTGGGGCGGAAGGCTTTGGAAAGTTTGCGTAGTCCCAAGCCCCGCCGAGTGGGGGCAGCGACGGCGGTGAAGGCGCCTCGGGCTCGCGTCGAGTGGGCTCGAGCTGGAGCGGCTCACTCGAAATCGGGGTCGGGCTCGGGCGCACTTCGCGCAGAGCGGCGGGCAGTGGCGGGGTGGGCGGCGGCATCGGTGGCGGCACCCTCCTTGACTGTGTTGCAACCTTTGCGAGATTTTGCGAGTGTTGTGGAGTGCTGCCGGACGACGAGGGGACAGCACTCCGCAACGCTCCGCTGCCTTCTCGAGCCGCAAGCGATTTGATTCCTGCACCACGGCCAGCGGGTTGGGAGGAGCGGACACAGCAGAGAAACCCTGAACAAGACGACGAAAATCATAGGCGGGCAGACAGGGGTGGGTGGATGCCATGGGAGGATGAAAACAGATGTGCGCAGATGCGTTGCATGCGCATCGGATTCTCGCCAGCCCTTGCTAGTAAACAGTGTTTGCCATACCCCCTTTGGGGGGCCCCTGTAAATCACAGTTCAGTAGGAGCTCTCGGACACGCGGCGGCTTCTGGGCCTTCTCCGCAACGCCCCCGTCGCGGCCCTCGCGGCGGCACCGGCACTGGAGGCCTTGAGCCCAGGCCGGCTGAAAGATATGAGAACCTTAGGGTTCCATTGTGGTTCTTTCTTTTGGTTTAAGGTTTAGGGGTTTAGGGTTTAGGGAGATTCCCAAAATATGGGATCCTAACATAGTTCTCAGAAAATGGTAGGATAATGATTGTAGGGAACCCGAAATACGGTAGCCGATTAATTTTCGGAAACCCCCATATGAGAACCCTAAACTCTACAGGCCATCAGGGTTTAGGGTTGAGGCCCCAAAAACCCTAAACCCAGAAAGATGTCAAGGGTTTTGATGCTTTCTGCAGGATTTCGATGTGGGCCTTATGATGTTAGGGTCTTCGTTCGTTTGAGGGCCTCAACACCGTTTTTGTGCGCACAGAGTGTACTGCGCACAGAAGGCCAAAGCGTAGTCCGATCGAAGCTCGGGCTGAAGGCCTGTTCGGAAGCCCGTGAATCGCGACCGATCGCTATTGTTGAAAGTCACAGATGGACATGAAAGAGACAGCAGTGTTGTATCGTGGATCGTGGTGTCGATGTCTACAAGACTGTCGAGAAGCATGCGGAAGGCATCCCCACAGACCGTCTTATCCAACTCCCAGCCCGGGATATTCAATCCCACGCGAAAGCCGAGAGCATCTGACTGCCCGTCGGCTTCATGCCCGCATGCCTTGGCACGACCTTTACTGAGAATGCTAGAAAGACGGAAGAGGAGCGACAGGACGAGACAGAGCACGTGATTGGCAAACAGAGTGGCAACAGCATGTTGAGCAGAACGAAGCTTTTTCGATACAAAGTCTTGTCGTGTCCGCCTGAGAGGTGGGTGCATCCTCCTCCTGCGCGCGGCTTGCGGTCCCATGGCCACAGCTGGGGAGTGGTGTGCTTGTGCATCAGACCGTTGCTTTTGTGGAATCCATGACAAGCGTTGTGATTCCTGCAGAATGTAGTTACACTTGCGTACAACCGTACTGCTACTGTATGACTTTACTACTACTGCATACCCTTCTGAAGAGCCTATTACTCTAGGGCCGGAACCCATCTAAAGAATGTATTTCCCTCTACAGCCCAACCTGCGACCGCGAGGGGGTCCACGGGAGCATATCATTCAAGGTATAGGATTTTCCTTACGAGGGGGAGGGGGGGCTGGCCATCATCGAACACATTGCCACATCACCGAATTTGCACAAGACTAGGGCCATGTCCGGACAGGCGGATATTTGGGATCCAAGGCCGCAACACTTAGCCGCTCAAGCAACAAACTATGTGACGGCCTAAACAAGTCTTGACTAGAGCTCGGGCACATAAGTCACCGAAGTACAGTAGTACCCTAGTAGCACAGGATAGCAGAAGTAGTGCAGAAGTACAGTATCAGTACAGCAGTATCATAGTAGGAGGGCTCAGGGGTACCTAGAGCTGTGTAAGGGGGCCCTAACAGGAAACCATGTCGATCACTCCAAAGTGCATATTTTGCGATCAGTTTGGCTTGATCCTACTACATACACTCCCTAAATCCACAATCGAACAGCCTGAGGCCTGAGTAAAAAGGGACATGACAACAAACGCTGAGCAATTTTTGTCGCAGTAGAGAGGACCGCCCAAAAAATGCAAATTCTGGATAAGCCACGGGAAAACGCACTAAAGAGGGTCGCCTAGTTAAAAGCAGTGCCACATTAGTCCACTGTTCCCAAGTTGTTGCCGTTGGGGTTTAGGGTTTCAGGGTGTGCTTTTTGATGTTGTTTTGTTTGTTGATGGACCCGTAACACTCCAAAGTACTCCTCAGGGGGCTTGCTGGCAGTTTCTGCTTTGCGGACACAGAAGGCCAGGTCCGTGATATCTGGGATTTTCTAGGCTTGTACGGTGGGTGACGCATTGGCTTTTGGGAATTTCGATGCTAGAATCTGGAAGATGTATGTGCCTTTCGAGCCTGTGGTTTCCAGTGCTCCGCAAGTACCCATTTCCAGAGCATTCTGAAGCAAGTTTGAGTGGAGTTGCCGTGGCTCGTTCATGATCCCAAAGCCTCTGTGTAGTTAGTAGCCTACAGTAGGCTATGCCAGTTTGAGCGGCTTGTGAGAAGGTGTCCTTGACCTGCGTAGGCTGTGAACCTGTTCGTGAACGACCAAGCCATGCCGCACATGTGCGAGGCTACTGGGTTCGAGCATCATGAAAGCTCCTGCAGTCGGCTGCGATGATGAAAATAGGCTACGCACTTGTGATGAGACGCTCCACCTTCGTGTTCAGAGCTAGCGAAGGCACCTCCAACACCAGAGCGCATCGGGTTCATGTTTCCAAGAGACCCGCACAACTCCCATCCAGTTGTTTCAAGAGGCCCCTTGGCCACCCGCACCTGCATGAGTCCTAGTCTCTCAACCCGTCTCTCAACCCTGAACTTCCTAAACCTTAGAAGGTCCTCCAAAATGCAAAACCTTATCAACTCTACGTCTGGTGGAGGTTGCTGGCTGCCCCACCGGCTCGCAGGATGATAGTGCGAAGACTCATCCCAGTGCAGAGACCGGAAAAGGCCCCCGAGAGCTGAGCAGGCTGTTGAGGGCTTAGTCCCTTTGTCATAGTTGGGTAACATGTTGCATTTTCATGGGTACTTAAACCCAATAATGAGGAATAAAAATGTACATGTTTAATCCTATCCCAACAATGAACTATAGGTCCCTGGGTTTTTGCCGCACTTCAGGGTTGAGCGTCTTTAGGACATTCAGGGTTTGGGTGTATGAGAAGAATGTTGCGATGCTCGAGCCTCTGCTCTGCTCACGGAAGAAGGGACAGCGGCTGAGGGATGACATGGATCATGATAATCGAAACTGTAAAACCACGCAGCAACTATGGCTACAAGTATCCCCTATAGCGCATGCCTACTCGGTCTTTGACGCAGCTGCACCTGTTGACAGGGCGCGTCCTGAACTGGAGGTGGTGGAGGCAGATTCTATGTGATGCTGGAGCCACTGCTCTGTCCAAAGAAGTGACAGTATCAGTATCTCTCCCCCCCCGACGCATGAAACCCTAAACCCCTACACTTCAAACCCTAGACCCACATCCCTTGGAGGAGGGCTCCGAAGCTGCAAGACCAAAGCCCAGAAACCTTCACCCAAGGCCCAAGGCCTAAATCGAAAAGCCTACTATAGGGGCCTAAATAAGTACAGTTGTGCTCGCAGCCATGGCGCGCCCCCCCGGCCAGGGACCACCCAGGGAGACTTGGCTGAAGTACTATAGGGTCCTTGATAAGTATGATAGGGTTTTGGGGCCAATTATATCATGACTGTAATAGGGAAACCCAAAACAGTAATTATTTAGGCCCCTACAGTAACTATAGTACTCTTCTGGTGTGCCTGCGTCACGTTGTGATGGTGATCTGATGCTGACGGGGACGATACTGCCGATCGTGATGCTCTACCCAGCCCCAAAGAAGCGATCAAATCTCCCCCAGACCCCGAACCCGCCCCACCCCACGCCCCCCAAACAGCCCCTGCTTGGAGGTTCATGGTTACTAAGTCCGCTAATAGGTTTTATAACTATAGTTATCCTGCTCATAACCCTACTGTACTTATAACTACCCATGAACCTCCAAGTGAAGCCGCCTCACCAGGACTTCGAGGCTTTGATCCCGGCCCCAGACATCGGCTTCTGGCAGGATCTCTGGCTAACACAAAACTCTGATTAAGTGGTAGCCATATGGGAGTTTCCGAAAATTAGGGGTACCTGTTTGGGGGTCCTTAGAATAAGGATCCTGCTATTTAGCGTACTATATTAGGGTCACCTATTTTCGGAAACTCCCATATAATCGTAACCGCAAGCATCTTCACAATCGTGCTGCTAGTACGAGCAACAGTGGTTAAGTATAAGAAGCTTTCTGGATGCCTCAAGTACCGAAAGCAATCATCATCGCAAACATTATCACAGCCGCAATTATTCGTAGGCGGCTGATTTGCCTGGCAATAGAAGCAGTAGCAACATCCCCCAGTGTCATATTCTAACTATCATAAACACCACGACAGCATGCAGGATGATACTATTGTTGATCAAGGGAACTACTCCAATCATGACAAGACGAAGAAAGAAGAGTGAATAGTGCCGACAAATGAGAGTTGTTTCTTCTCAACAGCAACAATAGCGATTAGTCGCATGAATTAGAAGAGCAACGGGACCCAACAGTGCTCGTCAGTCGGAATCGCACTTACTGTAACCTCATCCTAGCGAGTTTACCAGCAACAACTGCGTATAGTACAGCTATCTATATCTATCGTACTGGTCGTCGTGATCATCATCATCATCATCATCGCCAGCGCAGGGAAATCTAACCGCTGTACAGAGTCCACATATCTTCGGGTGAAAAGAGACTAAAAATTTGCTGTTCAGCCCACGGCTGTGTCAAAAGCCCGCCGTTGGTAGGGGCTCTTCGAACGTTGGAGTTTATTTAGGGCCCTGCAGTAGAGTTTTAGCAATTCCAGAAGATAGTGTCTTTAATGTGTCTCTTTTCTGAAACTGTAATCTGAGTCCATGTTCACTTTCGTGTGTCCTGAAAGGAGCTTAGCCGCCGAAAGCTGGATGTTTGGCGCCCCCCGGATGCTTTTGCTGGGTCGCGATGGGGGTGTACAGGTTGCCGGTGCGCAGCGGGTCTCTCTGTCTCTCTCTCTCTCTCTCTCGCTCTCTCTCTCTCTCTCTCTCTCTCTCTCTCTCTCTCTCTCTGTCTGTGTATACATACAGATATACACATGCACATGTATAATGCTTACCCAAGGGCTTTATGAAAGCACCTTTGACTTTGGGAAATGCACTGCTCGCAGAGACCCTCGGTGCGGCGCGGCTTCTTCGGAATCCCCCCCCACACATCCAGTAAGCCCTGAACCGGCAGCCTGGAAACCCTAATTTTGACAACTACCCATATGTACATGTATATTATAGAGATATACACATTGTAGAGACACACACACACACATATATATATATATATATATACACACATATATTCGGTACATGTATTCAGCAACATAGTATCGTATAGCTTTGCAAGACATGAAGACTGCGATACTCGAAGGCCTGGACTCCTCGAATGTGCCGCTCACGGCCTACTTTGAGGCTTCCCAAGCGGCTTGGCGAGGTGTGGCGAAAGAGGTACACGTATGGTTTAGAAGCTGCCCCCACCCTGTAATAGTGACTATAAGGATCATACTAGGGCCCTATTATATTCCTATTATACCACTATTACAGGGTGGGGGCCCCTTCTAAGGTATGGTAGGGTTCAGGCATGCCTTGGGATTTGGGACCGGCCGAATCGCTGCAGCTCAAGAGTAGGGGAAGTGCCAAAGGGAGCTCTGAATTTCGGGCCCCAAAATATTTCGAATTAGTATGGTACCGTTATCATGACTCAAGGGAGGTCAAGGAGAGCGAAGCACTTAGCCACTGAAGGCAGCCGGTGTGCCGGCGAAGTGCTACCTCCAGAAGGATGCCTTCGAGGATCGCTTTCAGTGTTGAAATGCTGCGGAGTGTACCTCCCCTGCAGCTGGGCCTCCGACACCAGCTTCTGAATTCCCGCCCGAACGAACACGACGGGGCGAAGAAACACGGTGGCCTTGATGTGCGTGCAAGAAGCGTCCATGGCACAAGGCACCAACAGAAAGAAGCCGACATTCTATATGGAGTATGAGCGCCGAAATCCGATATCTGAAGCGCAAGACCCGAAGCCCCAAATCCTGAAGCCCAAACCAGAGAGCCATGAACCCTTACAGACTACATCAGCCTGCGCGCCCTGAGCCCTGAACCTGAAAGGTTCTAAGCCGAATGAAATCTACAAGCCCGAGAAAGCTATGCGGCCCTGAAGGCCCTGTTGAGCTCACAGAATAAATCTAGCTGAATGTTGCACCCTCAACCCCGTGGCCACGGCTCAAGCCGTTTCAGCGTCTCTCAACTCCGAACTCCCACTGGCAGTCACTAGCTATGGTGCGGTTCCTGGCTCTGTTGGCGGCAGGCGCCCTGGCGGTGCACCCGGATGGCAAAGGTGGCGGCGAGCCGGTGCCGGAGGCAGAGCGGGAGGAGAACGCAAAAAGGATCCCATGCCCTTTTCTGGCAGGGTTGTACCAAGAAGGGATCTTGAAGCCGGATCAGTATGGCCGCGTCAACTCCCAGCACATGAAGGAGGCCATGATGGCGGCTGGATCTACTATCCCAAATGCAATCTTTCCCTCTTTTGGCACGGTGCGCTTCAAGGAGGACGACCTCCACCAGACCAAGCGACACTGGGATTATGGGCTGATCCCCAGCGGCGTCATCGACGACTTCGGGTTGGAGAAAGATTTGTCGACGCTGTGGCTGAACATCATGACGATGAACGTCCCCGACAAGTGCATCGATGCCGCGGGGCATGCTGCCGTGCCAAGCAAGTTTCCTTGCAACGCGAACCCACAGCATGTGCAGCACGGCTACTCCACAACCATTCGAGATCCCAGGTACGATGCGGAGGACCCAACACGTGAGAAAAGGTACAAGGACTGGATAGAGCCTACTCTGGTCAAGAACACCACCCTCAATGCCACTGAGCGGGTGATGACCTTCGAGGGCTTCACAGCTTTGCTGGCAAGAATGACAGTGGAGGGTGACCTCAGTGGCGAGTGGTCGCTGAAGCCGAACTTTGAGTATGATGGCAGCAACGTGCAGCACTACCATCCCCATATCAGCCAGGTGAATGCCGAGGCTCTGTACCACTGGGGCCCCTGGCTGGCTTGGGTGGGCCTCTGGGAGGCCTACGGATATCCGTACCCGGATGGATCGAAGGCGAAGTACATGACGGAGAGTGATCTCCGTCGCTTTCTTCTTCAGGGCAAGCTGCCGCTTGGCTGGAGCCCGAAACCCTTCACCTTGGAGGATGTCGGCTACACGATGATTGCCTTCAAGGGGCATCAAATCCCATTCGGCGACCTTTACTCCGAATCCTTAGCCAAGAAGTTTCCGCTCACGAGCTTCCTCCCGAAGGTGCTCGGCACTGAGTGGAGGTACATGAGGAATTATGCGGACAACCAGCGCTCTCTTGGCTTCTTCGAGGACAACATCGTCAATCCGATGCCTGGGCCGAGCGCCCTCATGGTCTGAGCCTTCAGGGGCCAATGCAGCGCGGGCTGCGCAGATCATGAACCCTCACACCTTGCATCTCCTTTGCGAGCCCGACAGAGCCAAAAAAACGTCCTGAGATGTGCAGTCTGTGAAGAAGGTTGTTGTCTTGTCGATGTTTTTCTATTAGTACTATTGTTATGATTATTCGTACTGCTACGAGTAGGATAAGGCAGCAGCAGGAGCAGCAGGTCGTCTCGCACAGGAAAGCCTCGGAGCAGGAAAGCTCCAGCATAATCCAGGGCATGGCTTTGTGGGAGCAGTCCCAAGGACTTTGCCCCCTCGAAGCAAAGCCACGAGGCAAGTGGATGGTATGTTTTTCCGACGGCTTTGAATTTGCTGTCAACTTCTTGTAACTCGAAGGGGATGCGACCCACACTTCATGGTGCAACTGCGCCGCCATTTGCGGATCTTTCAGTAAGATCCCATTTCAGATTCTCTGACCCGAGGGGACGTCAGTCGCACCAACCGGGCAGAGAGCAAAACCCGGGGGTAGACGGCTAGACAAGGGACCGTCATCACGCTCTTGTCTTGACTGTGCTGGTCGCGGTCCCGATATGCGCCTGTCGCAGATGCCTTGCTGTTGGGGACTCTGGTTTGGAGTTCGCGGGGCTTGCCCAAAGTGCTTAGCCTCTCTTGTCATCGCTCGTGTTCAGACACCTCACTCACATCTTCCCAGCTGGGATGCTGGGATGTGAGAGTCGGCATACATAACATGAAACTTCTACAGAATAAGCCCCAATTTAGAGAACTACGAAGTACAGGGCATGCTGCCCAAGGTCTGCTGTTGTACGGACCCCCATGAACGAGTCCCTCGAAATCAATAGCCGAGAGTTGCTTGCAAGGAGGCCCACTTGCCTGTTGGATCCGTGCACATATCCGGTGAGCTGCGACTTCGGCTGCAAAGTCAAGAGTTTTGCCGTCCCTCCGAGAGTCGGTTCTCGGAGCAATACTTTCAGATGTCACCGCTTCAAAGGAAGTGTCGCAGTTCAGCGAAAGTTGCAAAGGCTGTGAGTTCTATTAGTATTATTATTCTTATTCTTATTATTATTCGTATTCTTATTCTTATTATTATTGTTATTGTTATTACAATTATTATTACTATTATTATTGTTGTTGTTATTATTATTATTAGTAGTAGTATTATTAGTACTATTAGTATTATTAGTATTATTAGTATTATTAGTATTATTAGTATTATTAGTATTATTAGTATTACTAGTATTATTAGTATTATTAGTATTAATAGTATTATTATTGTTATTATTATTATTATATTTAGTATTATAACAATTATTATTATCATTATTCGCCGAAGCGAGGAAGAACTTCAACACCGAGGAGGAGATCCCCGTTTGGGATCGAGTTTGGTGGTTTGGCTCGGGCTCTCTGGGTGTCAGAGCCATATGTTAGAAGCTGCCCCCACCCTGTAATAGTGGTATAATCGGAGTATAATAGGGCCCTAATGTGATCCTATATAATCCTTATGGTCACTATTACAGGGTGGGGGCAGCTTCTAAGTCAGAACCATATGGGAGTTTCCGAACATTAGCCGTACCTTATTTTGGGGTCCTTATAGTAGGGATCCTTCTATTTAGGGTTAGGTCATTAGGGTCCCCAATTTTCGTAAACTCCCAGAGGACCTTGGGCTTTCTGCAGTCCGGCATCCTTTCGCAAATTGACGGTTCTGTTTGTTTTCGAAGAGTCAGAGGTCAGTTATGAGGTGGGGATTTGGGGTTCAGGATTCAGGGGCTCGTAGCTGGGGAAGGGCAGGCGCCATCCCCTCAGCATCCCATAAAAGAACTATACCTCAATTTAACATATGCGTAAAAATTTACGTACACATACACATATACACATACATATACATATACACAAACATAGACATCAGACCCCTGTTCTGACTATTTCGGCCCTATCTCAGTTTTCGGGATAGCGCTCAGCCGATTCTCACAGGAGTTCAGAGGCTTCCTGGGCAACGCTGAAGCGCGCAGCAGCTGCCTCGCCGAGGATATTGGGGGCGTTGGCGTCATGCTGCAACTTGATGGGAGGGTTTCAGGGTTTGGGGTGGTTAGGTGGTTTGGAGGTCATAGGGTACTAGTACACTGTAGGGGCGTGGAACGAAAGCTGGCGGGATTTGGGATATTGAACCTCCAGGGTAAAGGCGTTTCTGGGAATCCTTGGGTGACTTTAATGTCATCTCCCTGAATGCCTTCTCCTACTCTTACTTTGCACCACCCAAACCCTGGTTTCACTTCATAGAGCCCGAAACACCCAACCCTGCAGCCTTACACTTCATTCCTAAACCCTCCAGCCCAAACATGCCAGAGGATGTCCCTAACCCCAAATCTCCAAAATCCCTCCCCTCCGTAAACGGTTCGAATCTGTTAGAAAACGAAGCCTAAATCCCAAAGCCGCACACCGTAGACCCTAAACCCGAAATCCCAAAGCCGCCAAAACCCGAGATTACAAAAAACAATATTACGCATATAATATCAGGGCGTTTTCTGGGGGCTTAAAGAACCCTGAAGCAGGCAGTGGGCCAGATCCGCAGCGACATCGAGTCCGGAGCTGCCCTCGAGGAGCCGGCGAAGCTCAGGCACGTCAAATTGTGATCCCGTAAGGGAGCCCTTTAAGGATCCTTTAAGGGGGACCCTGAAGGGTTCCTTGAAGAGTGCCTTTAATGGATCATTTTAAGTGAACCCTCAAGGGTTCCTTCTAAGGGTTCTTTTACGGGAACCTTTAAGGGATGGGTTTTCGGGATCCTTTACAGGGAACCCTACTGTGAAACCCATCATACCCTTAAAGGGAACCCGTCTGAAACACTACAGTATCCCTTAAAGGGAAGCCTCTCATGTCCCTTAATGGGTCTCGGAGGTTTGGGGCAACTACCATTTCTTAATTGTTAGTACTATTGCTAGTAGTCTTACTCTTATTCGGGTTCTTATTAATGTTCTTGTTGTTTTCGTTGCTCGTATTATTCATTGTTTTCCTAATAAACCCTAAACCCTAAACCGTCGTGTTATTCATTCTTTTCTTTTCTGGTCTTCAGGGGTCGGGGCTCGGCAGGTGGGCGTCGGGGTAGGGCTCCGGGCTAGGCACGGCTTCCAGCTGCGGCGATGTTGAGCTGGAGTCTTCTTGGGGGCATTTAGGGGTTTAGGGGTGTAGGATCCCGAACCCCAAAGAGCCTACCCCTTTTCAGGACTTGTAACACCCTAAACCCTAAACCCTATAAGGAAATCATATTAAGGATCCCTAAAAGGTTCTAGGGCTAGGGCTCCGCTCCCGGTGGGTCCTTCCGGAAAGCCGGTTTGATGGGACTCAGGGAAGGACAAAGCTCTATCTCCCTTCCTCCTGGCTGTTATCTGATTTATCGTATATGCTACATATTCTGTACCGCATAGTATATAATATGATACATTTTAAACGAGTTGCGTCCCTTTTTTAATTGAATGGCGAGGGTTCAGACTAGTACTCTGTTCTTGAGACAGAGGCGGCTGCTGCTGTGCACCTTTGCTGACCTCAAGAAGCCCCTCAGCTCGGATGGTTTCCGCGCGCCATGAACTCATTGCGTTTGATTACCGGTGTATTTGTCTTGATAGTACCGTGAATGGTGGAGAAACCAGCTCCCTTGGCATCACTACACTGCCACCAGATCCCTGAACCCATTTAGGGTTCAAGGCTTACGAGCTGTAGACGAGCACACCCAGGTGTCAATACAGCCCTACACCACCTACACCGCGAAAAGCCTTCAACACCTGTTGAGACTTGCGAAGTCCCCCGATTTCTGCGGGAGTCACTGCAGCCCCGAGCCCTCAACGCGATTGAGTCTCCCCAAACTCTTGAACACACCCCTACAAATCAGCATGCAGTTGTCACTACAGCCACACACCTAACATCTAAAGAGCGCACTCAATGACTCAAGAGCTACACCCCTCAATCCTAAACCCTAAACCCCTGAGCCCTTAAACCCTAAGGTATCACTACAGCTATTTGCTGAGCTTACCGGCTCTCCGATTGGCTTCGCCCTGGGCCTGGCGGCCTGCTGGCCGGACAGAGGCGAGCACTTGGGGTTCTTTGGGAGCTTCAGGGTTGTAGGGTTTTAGGGTTTAGGGTTTGGCGTTTTGGGTTTAGGGGTTAGGGGATTTGGGTTTAGGGGTCTTGGGTTTTGGGATTTAGGCTGTGCCCTTTTTCGGCTTTGCAGTGCCCTTCACAACTCGAAACTCTAGGCTTTGTTCTGGGGTTCAAGCTTGAACAGCCTTCCCTCGAACAAGCTAGACAGCGTCATGCGGTTACGGCCTGGCTTGCACTGCTGCTTGCAGGCAGTCCTGGATCGCGCAGAGGTGGTGCAGCTCGCGCGAAGCCTCCGCCGGGGGCGCCAGTCATGGGGAGGGGGGAGTTTGGTAGGATCGGGTTGCTGTAGACCGACACATTTATTGGAACACGGATTGTGGGCGTGGGGCATAGACATTTACAACAGCCGAAGAGCCCAAATGTCAGCAGTATCTCGACCCTTGTTCAGGACGGGGGCCCCGAACAGATCAATGTCGGCTTTTGTCCTTGGCCTTAGGCTTTCGTGTCCGGGGCATGGGGTCTGCTGGCGTTTCAAGGCTTGTGGGTGCTCTAGAGAGTTGAGAGTGAGTGTGCGTGACACTAGGCTCAACCGCAACATGACCATAGGCCAACCAAATAAAGGGAACTCCAGAAAGTTGGAATATGGATTAATGGTAGGATCCCCTATAATTTACCTTAAAGGGGTTACGATAATGATATTCCAACTTTCTGGCTTCTTCTGTAGTGTGATAAAGAGCTCAAGCCTCAAGCCCTGAGGAGGCCTCGAGCTTCAACGAGCTCAAGCCCGCCATGACGAGCCCTGAAGCCTCAACCGAGCATCCCAACAAGGATGCTCAGCCCGTCAGCCTTAAGCTTCCGTCTCAGATTAAGTATGCTCTGGCGAGTGAGAACACAAAAGATCCGAAACCTTAAGACTTGCTAAAACCGCCATGTGAGATTGAGACGCAGGTGAGGACACGACGCATTCGGGCGTGCGGCTGCTGGTCCGGGGCGAGGCAGGTAGAACGCAATGTTGATTCGTCATCTTTTCTGCTTCTACTCTTGCTTTCAAAATCCGGCTGTAACTAGCTTTCAGCCCAGTGTTTTCGCACCCCGCGGCACTGTGCACCTCACCGTGTCCGAATCTGTCCTCATGGCCTTGCAAGGGTTGAAGCCGGCGAGCTCCCAGGCTACCCAATGCCAAGTTGCCGACCCAAACACCACAAATGCTAAAGCCCAGAGTTGAAAATTGACACTGTTCGAATCATCTTGGCTATTGTACAGGGCAACGAAGAGCCTCAGTACGGATCAGGCTACAACACAGACGATCGAAGTAACGAGCCGAAATGGCTTTACAGGCCTTCATCCCTTCAGCTCCTGAGCCCGGCAACCCCGAAAGGCAACAAGCCCGGCCCCCCCCTGAAAGCCCGATAAACCCTGCAAACCCTAAACTAAACAAGAGCCATGTCAGTATAGTAGCCAGTAGAGTACCACCCCCATCAAAAACCCTTATACTGTAGTATATTATAGTAGCCTTTTGAAGTACCTCCCCTATTAGAAGCCCTTATTACTGTAGTATATCATGGTAGCCCTTCGCAAAGTCGCCTTAGTAGCTGAGTGGATACACTTTACAATTTTTGGGGTAGTATCACCCACTATAAAAAACTGAAAGCCTTCACTTTTGGGGGGCTTATGAACTCAGCAACTAAGTAGCCTGTACCCAGAGGCTCCATAGTAGTTCCTTCTTGGGATTACTTTACAGGATTCTATATATAAACCCCAAAAAGGAACTACTATGGAGCCTTAGGGTAGAGGTACCCTTATCCGCACCCCAGGCATGGTCCGTCCAGCCGCTTTCGGAGCTCAGGCGCCTGAAGGCCGCGGCACGACTACTTCTCAGTGTGTTAATATATAGGGGCCCAAAGAAGCTGCCAATATTTCTTATTGTAAGTATAACATAATGGGTCCTCAGACCCTAGTAGAGGTATGAATACGGTATGGTTGCAGGATAGTGATGGACAGAGCCGGAAACAGCAAGAAAAGGTGCCTGGGATCTTGGGGCCTGCAGAAGAAGCCTGGCCACACATCAGCAAGGTACAGTTCTTCAAAAGTGCGCTGTTCGCAATCACCGTTGTGTTCTTATCGCCATCATCATCATCATCATCATCATCATCATCACCCTCATCAGCATCATCATCATCCGGCATAAATCACGATCATCATCGTCGTCTGCGGCGGCACCACTACCATCGCAATTAAGCTTACCATCCTCAATATCATAATCATTCGCATCCTGATCTTGACCATGCTCTATCGAAGGCACGACATTCTCATGAGAAGTCGGCAGATGCAGACCACTTGGAACGATTGCGGGCGAGGACGAAGGGAGTGTAGCCCGAACAACTTTCACGAGGGGAAGCTGGTAGGGCTTCTAAACCTCCATGTGCTTGAGACTGCGAATCCTTGAACCCTCGGCTCCCACCCCAGACCGTGTATGTATGTGTATATATATATATATATATGTATATGTATATATACACACATACACATACATGCACGTGTTCAATTTCGGCAGGGCCTGGCGCCGGATGCCTTGATCGTGGCTTTCGTGGACCCTGCCTCGGACGAGGCCGGCCAATATCACTGGTGACGATAACGATTATGAGTCGTTATAGTGGTGGTGGTGGTGGTGGTGGTGGTGGTGGTGGTGGTGGTGGTGGTGGTGGTGGTGGTGGTGGTGGTGGTGGTGGTGGTGGTGGTGGTGGTGGGTGGTGGTGGTGGTGGTGGTGGTGGTGGTGGTGGTGGTGGTGGTGGTGGTGGTGGTGGTGGTGGTGGTGGTGGTGGTGGTGGTGGTGGTCGTGGGTAAGTGGTAGTGGTGGTGGTAGTAGCAGTAGTAGTAGCAGTAGCAGCAGTAGTCGTAGTCGCAGTCGTATGATGATGATGCAGAAGCCTCTACCTTTCTCCACCCAAACTGCAGTTCATCATAGTTTCGCTCTTCCTCCGAGTCCAGTCCACGAAACAGGCACCTGGCTGGCCTCTCCAGAACCTTGGCTGCGAGTATCCGAGGTCTTGAAACAGTTTCGATTCAAGTATTTTGGACAGTCTGCTTTGAAGATCACGGGCGAATGCCCGCTCGGGCACTCAAGCTCGACTTGCGTGCTACGTGGGCGGAGGAACCTCCTCGTGCTGCTGGCCTTCCACCGCCCGGGGAAATACCGCATTCTCGGCTTTCGTCCCCCGCCTGCGAGGGAGGCTTGCAGGAACGCTTCGTTGGAGTTCGGATTGTTCAGCTTGGAGATTCTTTCCAGGGCAGAGACCTTCCGATTGCCGCTGACTGAGGCCCTGGAACTACAAGGTTCCGATAAGGCTAGTTGATAAGGCTCGTATAAAGGGTGCTAGAATGCTAGAACAGTACTATATGAGCTCAGCTTGAACTCCGAGCGGTTTTGGGGCCCATTCTACGATAATAAGGAGCCCCCCAAAACAGTATTGGTGATTTTTCAGACCACTGTATTATCGCACAGCTTCCTGTCAAAGACCAGTCATGGTCACCGGCGATGGTGAAGCGAAGTACAGGTCATAGCTTAGACCAGGAACAAGAAAACCTGAACTCTACAGTAGAAGCCCAAAAGTTGGACACTCAATAGCCTCAATCCTGAAGAGCAATGTATAGGGAATCCCAGCACTATTTGGCCTTAACCCGGTTTCCAACTTTATGGGGTAGAACCCTAAACCCTATACGCTACAGGTCGAAAAAGGCGTTCAAAAAAAATACGCTATAAACCCTAAACCCTTGAAACCCTAAACCCTAAACCGAAGCCTGGGCTCCTAGGTTGCCCCTGTCCCTGGCCCAGGCGACTCAGAACACAAGCCCCGAAATGAAGCAAAGCAGCCCTGGAAGCCGTTTTGTAAGCGGCAATGTGGGGGCATAAATAGTTACCCCTAAGGCTGTTCCAACTACCCAGGCCCCTACACTAAGCATCAGGCCTCCTTGACGTTGACCAGGTGACCCGCAGCTGGCTGCCGGTTCACATGGCTACAACGGCACCACAGGCAGGGCAGGGCAGTTGTGCCCGTCAGTTTAGCCGAACTGAGGCACTCACAGGCTGAGGTGTCCGGCAGCCAGCACCATTGCTGGTTACTTTTTTGCCCATTCTTCCATGGACGGACTGTTCAAAGCATACGACACACCGGCGCATCGAGTTTCCCTCCGTCCGTGCGCGCTAACATGAATATGCCTCTTAGAGTTGATCTCTCAAAGTTTCTTGTTTATGTTCCACGGTATGAAGATGACGGGACGAAGACTGGAAGGACCTGTGTAACAAGATCGCGCAATCATGGATGAGCAGGGTGTTTGATGTCAAGTTCCGCGGTGCAACGCGAATGCGCATGCCCCAGTTGTACCCGAAACCTACGTTCGACGCCTTGCATATCGTAGATCCTGTCTTGAGCCCCAGGGTCTTTCACCTGGTTGATCCGTTGGCTCCGAAGCCCCCCTATAAATGATCTCGCAACAGGCTCAGCACCTCTGCGGTCGCGGCTCTTCGACGTCGACGTGCCGGCAGCGGAAGCCGTGCCAGCGGAATGCCGGCCAGGCTGGTCGAACCTGGGCCGGAAGAGGTGTCCCAGTGATTGCGTACGACATGTTTCTTTGTGGCCTGCTTCCGTTGATTTGCTGGTTCACGTGATAACATGTGATGTTGGTGACATGCAGCATAATCGCGAATGAAGAACCCACTGAAAGTGATTACACTTCTTGCTGCCGGTTGTGGGCGCAGATTGCAGGAACGTGCAGGTTCCGTGCGTGGGACCCTGACTTGCAAGACCTGTCTGTGTGCCCCGCTGCGCTTCTGCTGCCAAATGCCAAAGGCTGCAACGAGCAATCGCAGCCTTTGTTGAGCATCCCCACAGCTCGTTTAGCCATTCCGCCCGTTTCAATGTTCTGGTTCGGGCTCCTGCTTCTGCCGTTGATGGCTTGCTCCCTCCAGCATGGAATCGTGGTGGGCAAGGGAATGGATGTGGGCAAGGAGCACACAGCAGTTGCTTGGGCTTAAAGCCGAGGCTTGTGTGAAGTTTGTTTGTTAAAGCCTCTGTGAAGTCCATCGGGCGCGGGATGCTGTGCTGAGGTTCTGAAGCCGGAGGTGCAGAGCTTCAACTTGGAGGAGTTGTTACATGGTGGAGCTCTGCCACAGGGCATGGGACCCTGGACGACGGTGTTTCAGGCCTTGGGTCGTGGAAACCGCATGCCAGCGGATGAGCTGATGAACATCATGGACACGAGTGGCGTGAGTGGCGAGCTCTCTGCGGCTTACGTCGACCCGCAGTTGAGGACCGAGCTCGGGAACCAAAGCGTGAAGCAGCAGATTCGGAAGTTGAGTAATGACACCGGAATGCTCATGAAGGCAGTGCAGCAAGACCCCCTGGTGCAACAGCTGGCGGCGATGGACCCGGCCATGTCCAAGGTCATCAGCAGCCCAAGCGCCTTGAAGAAGATATTCAGTCCTGAGCTTTTGGACCAAGTGCAGCGCGGAGAGGTTCCGGACGAAAGTTCCATGCAAAGCATCTTGGATTCGGCCAACTCGGACGGGAATCCCCACAGGGCATCCACGGCATCGCCTTCAAAAGCACCTGCCACCCTGGTGCTGGAGAACGGGTTGAGGCTGAAGCAGGTGCGGCCAGGAGACGGGCAGCACTTTCCGCAGCAGAAGGATCTCCTCTCCGTGCGGTACGCAGGATATCTGACGGATGGCACTCTCTTCGACCACGGCGAGTTCGGATTCGAGCTCGGCGCTTCAGAGGTCATCCGGGGCTGGGAGATGGCTTTGCCCCACATGAGCCTCGGCGAGCGCGCCGCGCTGCAGGTGCCAGCTGCTCTTGGCTACGGTGCTGCAGGTAAAGGCTCCATTCCGCCCGGGGCCGACCTGATTTTCGATGTGGACCTTCGCAGCATCAACAAGCTGGCAGCACCTGCTTTGGCAGAGTGAGACCAGACAGAGGCATCCTGAGGCAATGTTGTAGCTACTATCATAGATCGTAGTGCCTAGTACTGTGCCCCAAGGGGCGTGCAAGAAGACTCGCTGCACCATTGCGAGTCTCGACATGTGCATGTCGGACCCGGTATCGGCTGAAAACAGACAGGCGTCGGCTCTTTGCAGCAATTGCTTGCGATGAGATCCGAACTATCGAAACATCCCAGGAAAATTGCGACTACAGACCTCACCCGGTTTCTCGACTCCAAGACCGTCGCAGCGGCCCGGCTGATCACCTCTCTTTCAATGTCCTTTGCACTAGGACTGGGAGGGTCTTTGGGTTTTCGCTAAGGCAAACGCCGTGGATCTCAATATCAAGCTGATGCAATGGCGCGTGCTGCCGTCGCTACAGCCGGAGAAGATGAAGGACACACCGGCCTTTTGCCTAGTTCGGGACGCCGGTCGCTTTCAGTTTTTTGGGGGTTTAAAATCAGCCGAAGCCCCTTGGGCTCTCCAGGATCTGCGGGTCTTGCTCCTCGGTGCTGGCACCTTGGGCTGCGGGGTGGCTCGTGCGCTCATGGGCTGGGGCTGCAGGCACGGGTTGTTTGCACCGAACTTCGAACAAAGTCAACAGTCATCACGGCAAATAGCAACCACAAGGTTTCAAGGATGACCAGAATGCTGTCAGAAGAGTTTGGTATCAATCAAAGCATCTGTATGCAGCTTTGAACG